GTTGCCCTGTGAAGTTCAAAATATAAGGAACTTTTAGATTAGACGATCTTCTGGATTCTTCTCACCCATAATTTGCATCACCTGGGCCCTCCCTGCCAACAACCCTTAGACTGAAGTGTCGTAGGAAGAAGGGGAGGAACATAAGGGAGGGAAAGGGGGGAAGAGAGAGATTCCTGTGTGCCATTCTGATAATTTTCACACGTCACAAAATATTATTTTTCTTTTTCTTTTTTTCCAACTATTTGAAAATACAAAAATCATTCTTAGCTCAAAAGTAGTGCAAAAACAGACTGCAGACTGGATTTGGCCTGTGGGTTGCAGCATGCCAACTCCTGATTTATACTGCAAAGTCCATGAACTACCACGTTATGTTCATCACTGGGATTTTACATCCCATTGTTGGGGGCACAGCGGCAGTGTGAGGGGAAGAGATACATCTGAGTCCCTCCCGCAATGCCTCAGTAGCCCACAAAGCCAGCCGATAATTAAATACAGCACAGTGCTTGAGAATATGGCTGTGGGTCAAACCACCTGGATTCATATCCCCCAGCTCCATTCACAACGACCTCTAGCCTCCGACATCCAGTTTTCTTAGCTATAAGGTGGAGTTAATTCTAGTACCTACCTCACAGAATTGTTATCGGGTGTAAACGAGGCCGTGCATGAGGCAGGGAGCCTGAGCAGTGCCCTATGCAGTCACTGCTCAAAAAATGTTAACTATCGGGGCACCTGGGTGGCTCAGTCGGTTAAGTGTCTGCCTTCAGTTCAGGTCATGATCTCTGGGTCCCAGAATTGAGCCCCATGTCAGGCTCCCTGCTCAGCGGGGAGTCTGCTTCTCCCTCTCCCTCTGCCTGCGCTCTCTCTCTCTATCAAACAAATACATAAAATCTTAAAAAAAATGTTAACTACTGAAATCATCATAGGATGGATCCAAGTTCATTTCCTCTACAGCATCCTTATCATGGGATCCTTCAGAGTGAATGGTGAAGGCCTCTTAGACCTGCTAGACTCAAAACATTTTAGGACAAGGAAAAAAAAAAAAAACCTGGAGTTAACGATTATAAATCCCACTCACTGCCTTACATGAGATGGATGGAACTTTCTTACCGATTTGTTCCCAAATGTACCAGAGACCTCTGATTGCCCCCTTCTTTGTCAGAGCCAGTAATGTGCATGCTTGCTGTCGTCCAGAAAAACAAAAACGGGTGGCTGATTTAGATGTCTAGACTAGTGGTGTCTCCCTGGACAGGGCTTGAAAGATAGGAAGTGGCATCTCCAGTGAGATTTCTGCGATACCCAAGTGGGGCGACAGCGGCTCTGGGTGGGGAAGAAGGGGCCACCGCGAGCACAGCGCATGGGTGTCATTCCCCTTTACTGGAGGGCATGCTGCCAAGGCTCACGGTCAGTTGCTTAAGGCAGACACGGGATGGAGGGGCCCTGCGAAGAGCAGTTCATGGAGTCTGTCTGGCTCAGTCAGCCACACTTGGTCAGCTCTTTTCACACACAAAAACGTTCGCCTCAGGCTATTGGCTGGGCAAAGGATCAATAATCATAATGCAGAATCAACAGACCTGCTCAGTAGAGTGTTAACCAGCTTTGAATGCTGCCAACTTCCCCTTACCCTAAACTAGGCCAGGCTGGGCGTGGGGGAGGAGAGGCTAGGGGACAGGCAGGAAACTAGAATATGTCACCCCAAATATGTCTCTCTGACATAAAAATTATTTTGAACTGAAAGCAACAATGAAGCAGTAAATGCAGAGGAGGCTTTTTATTTTGTTGCATTTTTTTTTTTTAAGATTTTATTTATTTATTTGAGAGAGAGAGAATGAGAGACAGAGACCATGAGAGGGAGGAAGGTCAGAGGGAGAAGCAGACTCCCTGCCGAACAGGGAGCCCGATGCGGGACTCGATCCCGGGACTCCAGGATCATGACCTGAGCCGAAGGCAGTCGTTTAACCAACTGAGCCACCCAGGCGCCCCTGTTGCATATTTTTAAAGGGGCATATTTTTCAACTTCTCGGAGGGTTTAAAATTTTCCAAAAAAAACCTTTTCAGTCCAAGCAACTAACAACTAATTAGCCTGGTGTTAATTTTAACTTGTATTAAAATAACCAAGGCTTTTAGTTTCATTTTTTTGCCACTTCATCGATAGTTGTGCATAATTCATGCGTAAAGAAAATATCCCAGTCACAGTAGAGCAAAACAATAGCAATATGATTCATATGTCTTGAAATTCCAGGTCCAAATTGGCTGTAAAAAAATTACCAGTTTTCCATCTACCCATTGATCTATTTAATCAATCCACAAGCATTGGTTGAGGATATATTATACATCAGGGTTACTGATGTGAACTAGACTAAAATTCCTTCCCTCCTGGGGCTTACAGGCACCAGGGAAAATATACATTAAACATAGGAGCAAATAAGAAGGAGGACCTGATGTCATTTGGGGGCGAACATTTGTTCAAGCTAACACTGAAAGATTCTCAGTAACGAACAGCAAACATGGCTTTTACTCCAAGAAATAAAATAAGGCCTGTCTCATGACCTCCATGTACCTTCTCAGAGGTTAGAGGATTGGTAATTTACTTCCTCTTACCCGTGGTCCTGAGAGTCTCAGAGAGTGCTGTGTTGTGTCTGGGAGGCAGAAGGGTCAGAGATGCTCATTGTCCACTTGAAACCGTGGCCCGCCACCACCACGTGAACTCGAGCATTGGGTCCTCGCGTGGGTGGCACTTCCTTGCCCAATATCTAGTGCTCTTGGGTGTAGGACTCAGACTCCTTTCTGAAGCCCCGCTGCCCCCTCCAAATGCTGTGTGGGAGCAGCGTGCTTGTCCCTCCAATCCTTGGGGCCAACTGTCAGCAGGTACTTAAACCAGAAACAAAAACTACGGCTCTTGTCTTCAGGCAGCTTTTGCTTTCCCAAAAGTGAGGGACAGAAAAGCCTGGTTACTTGCTTGGGATGACAGGAAAAAAGACATCGCAAACAAAAACAGATGTGCAAATTAGTGTGTCAAATGATCTAGTGTTCGGAAACATTTAGAGGATTAGCTCTAGCTTGCAGACTCAGATTTTGGGTGATAGCTTAGACTAGTGGAATCAGAATCACCCAGAGGGCCCATTAAAACAGAATACTGAGACCCACGCCCAGGGTTTGTGATTTAGTGTGTCTGGGGTGGGCCGATAGTTTGCATTTCTGACAAGTTTACAGGTGACGTGGATGCTGCTGATCAGGGGATCCCCACTTTGAGAACTATTGCTTTAGTAGAGTATGCGTGAATATGTGATTGAAATGAACATAAAAGTTGAACAATCTAGAAAGACAAGATTAAATATATTATGTCAAGGTATGACTTAATGACCCCAAACATCTAGGAGGAAAATCAGAAAAATCTAGTCTTCTAAAAAGTACCAAATATCCAACACTTGGAAAGAATATAGATTTTCCTTTTCAGTCAATCACTTTCCATTCATACAAATTGTGAGGTATGTACAAACGCGGTGTTTGAAAATTACTATACACTTCCCTTCCTTGAAAGGTGGCATAGCCTAGTGCTCTAGGCTAAGGAAATATATTTAATTAAAGATATTTTTGCTTGAGTATTTTATTTTAATTGAACAAATAGGATCCTCCATTTTGGAAATGTCTGAAGCAATTTCTCTTTTATTTTTTCTACCAACCAGCCAGCACAGGTCCTAGACTTGCCCTGCCTTTGCTGTCAATTAATATTCTTTTCCTGTGGAAAGCAAACTCATTCTCAGTTAATATTAACCTGAAGAAAAGAATTTAAAAGGTAAATACATAAACATAGAACATGTGTCAAAACACATTTTAAATTCAGTATTTTCAACTACCTCTTTGGTCCTCTGCTGGCAGAGAAATCTTTAAAAATCAACCTTCACTAGAGTTGGCCTGTCCATAGGTTCTAAAATGTGTCAGAGTAACTGAGACAGGATAAGAGTTCTCAAGCTCACAGCTGAATTTTTGTTTTTGCTTTATACCAAGAATATGTCACTACATTAGTGAATTAGTTTGTTCTCCTTAAAGACACATAGTGGGTATTGATCATCTTTTCTCAGTCTTGAACATCATTTCAGGAAAAGAAAACCTTTGAATCACTTATAGAAGATATGACCAGTTAGGGGCGCCTGGGTGGCTCAGTCGTTGAGTGTCTGCCTTCGGCTCAGGTCATGGTCCCAGGGTCCTGGGATCGAGCCCCGCATCGGGCTCCCTGCTCCGCGGGAAGCCTGCTTCTCCCTCTCCCACTCCCCCTGCTTGTGTTCCCTCTCTCGCTCTATCTCTCTCTGTCAAATAAATAAAATCTTTAAAAAAAAAAAAAAGAAAATATGACCAGTTAATATACACATACGCACATATTATATATATGATATACATATTTACATATATAATATACATATTATATATATTATGTTAAATCTAAGCTGCCAACATTAGACCACTTTCTGCTTACGGTTATGGGCAATTTCATATGGTACAACTACACGTTATCCTGAAAAAAGGAAAGATGACTTCGCCTTTTCCATAAATAACTTAGAATTCCCAAATACAATAAAAATGATGCACACTCACCGGACAGTTCTCTTACGTGCAACATCTTTTCACTTCTCGGCTCTGTTTCTCTTGATTTATTATTGCCCCAGTATAGCATGGCTCCTAATAAACGGTGTTTAACGCTCAAAGAACAGAAAAATATGTTTGCTTTTGCCCTGCCAGCCAGGATTTATTAAGCTGTTTGTTTGGTTTTTTTTTTTTTAAGATTTTATTTATTTATTTGACAGAGAGAGAGCACAAGCAGGGGGAGCAGCAGAGGGAGAGGGAGAAGCAGGCTCCCCGCCGAGCAGGGAGCCTGATGTGGGACTCAATCCCAGGACCCTGGGACCACGACCTGAGCCGAAGGCAGACGCTTAACCGACTGAGCCACCCAGGCGCCCCTATTAAGCTGTTTTTAAACAAAACTCTTTCTTTTTCCCTTTTCCTAGGGTTGTGTCTGTAAAGACAAAGGCCCGTGCTTCTGTGATGGGATCAAAGGGGAGAAGGTAAAAAAAAATCTTAATATTGCTTCTTTCTTCTGTAGAGCTCATCCAGGAATTTGTTCTTATCAGAAAGACCCGCAGTGTGTTATTCCATTCCCCAATCCAATTTTAAAGAAATTGTATATAAACATGAACCAAAGAAAAGGAAAAAAACAAAAACAAAAAACCTTCTGGTAAGTTTCAGACAACTTGTGTAAATACCGTCAGTTAAAATGTAACTCTTTCGGTCTGTAAAGAAAAAGGAGCAAGTTAGCAAAAAAGAAAGCTTATCAGAATGCCTCTCTATGTAGAAATGTGGATAAACACGGGAGAACGGAAAACAACTGGATTCACTCACTTTGACGCGGGCATTGAAATCCCAAGACCTCAAGGCCTGCAGCACTGGTGCAGGCGCGCCCCCTGGCGAAAGAATCCTGCAATAGCCCCCTGGCTGAGGCCAAAATGCAGCACCTGAAGTACTCCCGGTGTCCCCCGCTTTCTGAAAGCTCGCCTTGCGCCACTCCGCTCTTAGGAAAGACCCACGTTGCCATTCGTTTTGCTAACCAAAAGAAATCCAAAGAGGATTTTGCTTCTATGAAAACAACAACAAACAAACATTACCATACCAACGTAGGTTTTTCATAAAAGCAAAGTGGTGTAATTCAAACTTTCAGAAAGCGGGGATTTTACACCATTTTACACCATTTCAATATTTAGGAAAAGTTTCGTAGGACCTCTGTGCCTTCAGATAGCGGGGCAAACCTGTAGCTCCATTACAGAATTCAAGAAAAAAAAAGAACGCCACGAAATCTCATTAATTCGCTCCATTAACTTGCAATTTGTGATAATTAAGACAGAGGCCGAACTAAAGTTTTTTCTTTGTTTATCAGACCCTTTCCTCAGGGACGCTAATGAATTGCTTAACAATGTTGAAGAGTGACTAAAAATATTTTTAGAATGTATTTTTAGCTCTTTAGATAAAATAATCTGCATATAATTTATATACTAACGATATAATAATTACTCTGTTTATTTTCAGTTATTCTATAATTAACACGGACTTTGATTTAGGTTTTTCCCTAAAGCTATGAATGTAGTATATTCAGATGCAGGTTGGAAAGCCGGGATTCATTTTTGCTCTCAAGAATTTATTGAGTCCCTACTATGTGCAAGATGCTATTCTAGGATGTGTGAGAGTAACTGAGTATTGAGAGAGGACTAGCATATTCTTTTGTCTCTCTTTTTATGGGATGTGTGTGCACATAACCATGTGAAATAGCTGACTTGATCTCTTTCTAAACTTCTTTAAAATTTAATTTACCAATTGTGTAATTAAATTGACTGAATCAACCAGTGACCTTTATTATTAAAGAGTGATCCCAGGACCCATGTTCACCAGAAAATTATTTGTTGGCAGAAACATGTCACTCATGGGGCCTAAATTATTTTCACTCGCTCGTTACTAGGGGCATTCTCATAATATCATCTCTTTCTAAAAAACAATTTAGCTCACCCTTTTGTTATGCCATTCTCGATATCTCCTGCATCTCCTACACAAAGAGCAGATTGAATTACTAATTCCTGTGTAATCAAGAAAGGGCTAAAACTGATAGCCTGCATGTTGTTCTTTTCAAGCTACAAAGCAATTATGCGCACCCCCAAACACATTCTTGTGCCTTAGCCTCACTCTCTCTCCATCCCCAAGCAAACACACTGCACCAATCTCAACTTTCTCACTGGCCTTCCCCCCTCCAGTACTTGATTCCCTCTCTCTTGATCTCTGCTCTGTGTAGTGCCACCATTTGGGGAAAAGTAGTTCCTACAAGACCAAAGGCAAACACTTTCAAGCCTATAGACAAATACTAAAAGCGGGTAGCTTTCCATTTACTGTTATACTTACTGCTGAGTGTCAATTTTGTTGTTCCAAGGGAAGAAAAAGATAAGTCAAATGTCCTCCTTAAGTTGTAAAGAAAAGAAAGCAATGGTTGTGGGTATGTTTATTGCTGGACAGTGCTATTCTGTGTGTTTCTTATCCTGTGTTGGTTTTTAACAGGGGGAGAAAGGCTTTCCTGGACCTGCTGGTTATCCAGGCCAGAAGGGATTCCCTGGTCCCGAAGGCTTGCCTGGACCACAGGGACCCAAGGTATGTCAGTTTATAAGCTTGGAACATCCCCAATTCACCTAACCTTCTTTATGCCTACCCCTAGGTTGCTGGGAACCTGGAGAGAATTCGGCATCTCAGCCAATTGGTGGGTGCCATGGTGAACTACTGCTCTCCAGGCTTAGCCAGGTCCTCTCTTATCCCAAGAGATTCAAATGCTCATCACCTTGAAGTTCCCTACTCAACTTCCTCCTCCTCCTCCCTGATCCAGATAGCTTCTATACCTGCCTGTTTTCTTTCGTCTTGCATGAAAGGGTGAGTTCTTTTGGCCTTTCATTCAGGACCTGTTCTTACCCCGGTGTCCTGGTCCTGGGATTCCCACCAGAACCATGCCTCTTGGCCATTCCTTTCTTTTTTGTTGTTAGCTTTTCTCTTTTAATCCTCAAGAATGCAAATGGCCCCCCATGCTTATATAAAATTTCCTCTGGCTATTTCAGGTCCTGTAAGCAAAGGATTGCCATCCTTTCCCTGTCTTCCCTTTCTCTGTCAAGATTTTAAACACAAACAAAGTAACTAACCAGGCTAACTGTAATTCATCTCCTATTCGCTCCTCAGCCGCCATAATTTTCCTTTGATCCCCCTGCCCTGAAAACGCTCCTGCAGAAATCACCCATGACTTTTGTGTCCTTCTGCTTTGTTTCACCATGTGGATCACTCTCCTTGAAACACTTGTCTCTCTTTGTTTCTGGAATCATCCCTCCTCCGATTCTCTTCTTTCATGGGTTCCTCTTTCTCAACTCATCACACATTTTTATCCTAAAGTCCGTGATACAACAAAGGGCTTTGTTCAAATAAATACCCTAGAGGATTTGCTAAAGAACTACATAACCACTAGATGTGCTGATGGTTCTTTCCTGCTGCGGACATTAGCTAGACTTAAGCCTGGGCTCTCACGCACTCACGTGGTTGTTCCCCTGACTGCAGGCCTCCAGCAAGCTATGAACGAATGAATAAGCTATGAAAGATCATTGTAATTGATCCCCACAGAGTCTTTTTAAATTTCATACATGTGTGAACTACTTACTTGGCCATCAAAGGCAACAGTTACTGCGAATTTCTTCTGTGTCAGGCATTGGGACGTTTACTGTTGACTCTCTCAGCTACTCTTCACGTTGAACCCCAGAAATCATGACTATGGTGACTCAGTCTCTCCGTTTTAGGGATGAGGAAACTGATGCTCAGAGCACTTAAGTAACTTATCCTGTGCTCCATGGTTAAAGGTGACAAAATCAGAGTTCAAATCTGGTTTTATATGATGCCAGAATCAAACTCCCACAACCAAAGAAACGAAACCCACACCTACAGTTTCTAAGTAAACAAGCAACATGTTGTGGTATTCCAGGAATTCTACCATTTCGTGTCTGTCTGATTCATGTATGTGTAGTTCCTCCATTTCTCTTTCTTCTGACCCTAATTTTGAAAAAAAAAAAAAAATCATTCAGATTCTGGACATTTAGTGTCTGAATTCGGACCCATTCAGTGTCTGACCATCCCACTGCCTTATTGCAGGGCGTGGCCTAGGATAGTCCCGCTTTTCACTAATAAAATGAATTTGCCACTTCAACTCTGGGCTTGGATCAACTCATGTCAACTCCTTCCTTTTTGTTTTGTTCTTTACTCCCATTCCTCTCGTTATGCTGGCATTTCTTTAGAGAAGCCAACAATCAATTAAAATAATCATTGCAAACATATGGTGCTTATGATGGGTTATGTGATGTGGAGGTATTCCATAAAGTTAATCCAGAAAATTTGGGGGCCATGTTGTCATGGAGTTTGTATACGACAGTGTACTTTATAGATGTGGCTACAAAAGATAATTTGATCCAAGGCAGACAATTATTGCATATTAAAACCTGACCGGGCACCTGGGTGGCTCAGTCATTAAGCGTCTGCCTTCGGCTCAGGTCATGATCCCAGAGTCCTGGGATCGAGCCCCGCATTGGGCTCCCTGCTCGGCGGGAAGCCTGCTTCTCCCTCTCCCACTCCCCCTGCTTGTGTTCCTGCTCTCGCTCTCTCTCTCTCTGTCAAATAAATAAAATCTTTAAAAAAAAAACCTGACCAAAAAGATTTTTAAGTGGGATCGAGCCCCGCATCAGGCTCCCTGCTCAGTGGGGAGCCTGCTTCTCCCTCTCCCACTTCCCCTGCTTGTGTTCCCTCTCTCGCTGTGTCTCTCTCTGTCACACAAATAAATAAAATACTAAAAAAAAAAAAAACCTGACCAAAAATATTTTTCAGGTTTAAAAATTTCCTCTCTTAATTTTAAATATTGTATGCATGAAAAGAATTACAATTTTGGGGTCTTGTGCATAACACAAATAGCATCCTGCAGAGAAGGAGAACGTGGGCACGCGCCCAGGCATTCCACCTCAGTCAGCGAAGGCCAACTGTGGCCTTGACCATCCAATCTCAGAAGACTCTGTAACAACCCTTTTCTCAAAAAAAAAATCAAAAATACCAAAACATACTGAAACTCCCAGGAATGATAAAAACGGCTTTTGGACAATAGAACTTTCACAGCAAGTGGTCTGGTTCAAAAAGTCTCCATTTAAGGTTATTCTCTAAGAAACAGGGCCTCTCAACCATATTCATCATATGCCCGAAGCAAGTTTATCTCTGGTTCAGGCAGTTCTTACTTGGCTATTTATTTATTTGTGCATGCCAGGCCCATTTTGTTAATAAAGTCTTTCTCATGCACAGAAATATTGGCTGCCATTCTCATCCCCCATTGTAATTGTATCATCATCCTTATCAGACCTCTGCAGCTGTCTGGCTAATGTGGGGTTTTTACAGCAGCTCTTCTCAGACATTAATGTGAACAAGAGTTATTTTCTAATCTGGTGAAAATGTAGATTCAGAATCAATCCGTCTGAGAGGTGGGGGTGGGCCTGAGAGCCTGCGTTCCTCACAAGCTCCCAGGTGATATTAATCCTGCAGGCCCCTGGACCCCACGTTGAGCAGCGGGGCTTTGAACGAATTTCTGTTGGTCCTTTCTGATAAATGTTTTAGCTTCAATTAAGCAAACAAGCAATTTCACTGTGTTAACACTGAAATAATCACAAGAACAAAACAGTTTGGCGTGTGAATAGAATGGGGACTTTTAATTTATGGTTTCTTAGTGCCAAATAATTTCCAGTGCCTTTTTTTTTTCTTGGATCCAGGGCTCACCAGGACTCCCAGGACTCACTGGTCCCAAAGGTGTGAGGGTTAGTAGTCCAACTGGTCCATCCTGATTGTTTGATGAAAATTCTTCTTTAAAAAATAAGAACTCTGCACTGTAAAAGTTATACAAATGTCACAAAGGAGTACATTCTGTACGATACACTCTATAGATGAAGTTCAAGAACAGGTAAAAGTAATCTGTCATGGCAGAAAACAGCGGTTATTCTGTTGCGGGTGGGTATTAATGGACTGGGACAGGGTGTGAGAGAACCATGGGAGGTGGAGATGTTCCCTGTTTGGATGGGATGGTGGTGATACCAATATGTACATGTACACATATGCAAACATTCCTTAAACTGTTTGCAGAAGCTTGGGGTACTCTACTCTATGCAAATTATACCTTAAAAGTCCACCCAAAAAAGGCAAAAATAATCATCTCTTTTTAAATATTGCACTGTATGTTAACTAAAATTTAAATAAAAATTTCAAAAAAGAAGTTTGATAAATGTAAGATTTTGAAAAGTTTGTCAAACCTTTTTTGTTGTTGTTTTGTTTTGTTTTCCAAATAGTGTTTAGCCATTCCTAATTAGAGTTGCAGGATGGGGTTATCAGAATGGTAAATACTTTTATGTTTATAGGTTGAAACACTTTTAAGTGTTTTTCTTGTCACCTTCCCCTTTTCTACGTCTGTAGGGAATAACTGGATTGCCGGGATTTTCAGGTCCTCCTGGACTTCCAGTAAGTAATGGGGAAAATGTGTAAATTTTAAAAAATAAAAAGAAAGCTCATTTTAATAAAGAGGTTAAAGCAAGAGCACAAAGAAATAGGTACTGAGACATGTGCTACATGATGAAAATGTTACAGTAGAATCACATAATATATTAGAGTGTGGATTTGTAGGACACACAGGTCCAGTTGGATTTCCTAAAATCCAAGCAGAACAGAATGGAATAGAATGGAATGGGACAGAATGGGACTTGACAGTATGAGATGGGATAGAATGGGATGGGATGGAATGGACTAGAATGAATGGGATAGGATAGGATAGAATAGAATAGAATAGAATAGAATAGAATAGAATAGAATAGATGGAATAGATTAACTCTATTTAATAGTGTAGAATAATAAAATAATAGTTACCTTGTGTATACATACTTCTTCTTTTTCCTTTCCTTTCTTCCTGTTTAAAACAGCATGTTAAGGGACTTCATTTTATATAGAAAGGTCTTCTGTTTTATCTAAAATATCTGTATCTCACTTGATAATTTTGGGTTTTGATTAGCCCATTTTATTTGCTATAATTTTTATTTAAATTATCTAAAATAACTAAATATACTATTTAACTATTTAATAGCCATTTGTATTTAAATAAGTATCTCAATTAGGCCATCTCTTCCCTCGCCTTGGGTCCTTCATGATGGCTACTTGTTCCCGGGGCCCGGGTGGTGATGCCACCTCTCTGAGACTTGCTCTGTTTTCAGGGCATCCCGGGCCATCCTGGGCCTTATGGACCTGCTGGTGTCCCAGGATGCAGTGGGCCTAAGGTATGTACTTCTCACACAGGAGATGGTTAGGAAACATTTTGCAGAATGAATCAATCAAGGGGAAGGAGGAAAGAGAAGGCACAGACTTTCCTTGAGAGACTTTTTTAGCCAGAACCATTGGTATGTGTCTTCAGGACAGAAACATGATGGTCTTCTTTCTTCTTATGGCTTGGTTTCTGATTGTCTTTTGAGGACATTCTCTCATGTTCTTCCACAGAAGGACAACTGGGGGCTCACCCTTCACCTAAGGTTGTGAGTGTATGTAAATCAGAAACGAAAGCTTGGAATGCAAAATTGGTCTTTTGAGAAAAGTGACTGAGCTTTCCAGTGTTCACTCGTGCCATTTGTTTGGTGACAGCACCCTCCTTTCCCCCAGAATGGTGGCCATGAAAGAACTAATTACTCAAGTTTCAAGGAAACAGCAATTAAAAAGTTCTTGGCACAATTATACTTTTGCCGTTTATGCACAATTTGAGAAACAGTAGATTCTAATCCTGTTTTCAATTAAGATAATGGTTGTCTGGCCTTCAGCCTCATGACCCAGTAGCCATAAGGAATTTGGGTTACTTAGTCTAGATTTACCACTGCAGGGCTGGGAGAAACAGGGAAAATATCTCAATAGGCTGTTCTAGAACAACTAAAAAGAGTAACAAGCTTTGTATGCCTTCCAGGGTGAGCAAGGGTTTCCAGGCCTTCCGGGGACACCAGGCTACCCGGGGATCCCAGTAGGTATCCATCTCTAACTCTGTATAAAGTACAAACAAGAGTCATTTACAGAATGGCTGGGTGCTGACATCCATCATGACTTTGCGGAAGTCGGGGGCCGCCGGTAGTAGACATTCAGCGCATGGGTGGGGGGATGAATGAATAAATGCATTTTGAGTTCAGGTTTGTGCTTCGAGGTTTTATTTCGCTTTTGAGACATCCAAGCAGAGATGAGTGATAGGCAGCTGGATTCACTTAGAGGAGAGGCCCCAGATGGTGGTGACACAAGGAGCGAGAGAAGGAGGGGAAAAGACCCTCAGAACAGACAAGCCCCAGCACAGGATGGCTGGGTCAAGGAGAATACACCTGTAAAGAGGAGGGGCCTCGTGGTAGAAAGAAGACCAAGAGGAGTATATTATGGAAGCCCAGGAAAGATGTTTTTGAGTAGAGGGAGTGGCTGACAGCTGACTAATGCTGCTGAGACGTCCAATAAGATCTGAGGTCTTGTCATTGATTCTAGCAACGTCACCGTCATTGCAAGCCTTAGGAAGGGATATTTCCAGCATGGATGGAGGCAGGAGGCAGGTGGGGCACTGAGGAATGAACAGAATGGGAAGATTGCAGATGACACGAAGGAGAGACTGGTGGGGGGAGATTTTGTTTGTTTAAATGAAAGAAACTCGAGCATGTTTAAAAACCAGTGGGAATATATGTGCAATGGAATACTACTCAGCCATCAAAAAAAAATGAAATCTTGCCATTTGCAACGACATGGATGGAACTAGAGGGCATTATGCTAAGCGAAATAAGTCAATCAGAGAAAGACAATGATCGTATGATTTCACTCATATGTGGAATTTAAGAAACAAAACAGAGGAGCATAGGGGAAGGGAGGGAAAAAGAAAACAAGATGAAATCAGAGAGGGAGACAAACCATAAGAGACTCCTAATCATAGAAAACAAATTGAGGGTTGCTGGAGGGGAGGTGGTGGAGGGATGGGGTCACTGGGTGATGGACATTAAGGAGGGTACATGATGTAATGAGCACTGGGTGTTATATGCAACTGATGAATCACTAAACTGCCTCTGAAACTAATAATACATTGTATATTGATTAATTGAATTTCAATAAAAAATTTAAAAAAACGGTGGGAAGTAGACAGTGGGAGAGGGGGCAGAACAGCAGCAAGGACCAAGCAGTGATGTTAAGTATTTGGTTTCCTTTTTATAGGGTGCTGTTGGTTTGAAAGGAGAAAAGGTAAGTCACGTGTGGCATATTATTATTGAAAATCTCTAAGTGGACATATGAAAAGATTTCTATTAAATAATGAGGTATAAGAAATTACAAATTAGGCTTCATAATTAATTCAGAAACCAATTAATAATTGGGACATGATATTTATTCCTATTCAACAACTTCTTTTAGCTCTTGTCATAAATATCTCTTAAGGAATACAATGTTTGTAAAATCCTTTTAGGAAATAGAGTCTAGGGGAAGAGAACTAACCTCAGCCTGGCGGCACCACCTTCTAGATCAAGAGTTGCCACTAATTTTGGTATCTTGAGGAATGGTTTCTCATCTTTGTGTCTTTCTTCCTTCCACAGTAAACTGTCAATTTTAGGAGATAGGAAAATCTTTTATTTCTTCAAAATGGAGTAACTACACAATCCTAAATCATTTCCCCAAGTATATATCCTGAAAAGCACTTTTATCCTTGAAGCAGTAGGACCTTGAAGAAGCATTTAAAGGAGTTTTGAAAATATAACATCAACTATGTTTAATGAAGTTCTTCATTTTCAAGGGTGCTCCTGCTGCAGAAGGTATAGAACTTGATGGAAGAGGTGACCCCGGGCTGCCAGGAGCTCCGGGATTCCAGGTATTGCACGTCAGAGAAGGTCTCATTATTCTCAGTCCTCTGGCTCTGACTCTGGCTCTCTGTCTGTCTGTCCCTCTCCTTTTTCTCCTCTCTGTCTCTGTGGACTCTGTCTTTGTCTGTCTCTCCTCTTTCTCTTTTCCCCCAAATCTCTTTCTCACTCTCTTAGGAACATTTTTATGGTTTGTTTTCTGTTTTCTTTTTTCTTTTTTGTTTCATTTTCTTTTTTTATTGAGGTATTATTGACATATGACATTATATTCATTTCAGATGTGCAAGGTAATGATGAGATATTTGTACATATTGTGGAATGATCCCCACAATAAGTCTAGTTAACCTCCGTAACCACAGTGACAAATACTCTTTTTTTCTTGTGATGAGAACTTTACTTTCTTAGCAACCTTCAAATCTGGAGTACGGTATTGTTAGCTGTAGTCACTATGCTGTACCTTACACCCCCAAGACTTATTTATTTATAACGGGAGGTTTCTACCTTTTGACCCCCTTTACCCATTTTGCCCTCCCTTCAACCCCACCTCTGACAACCACAAGAACATTTGAAGTAGACATTCATATTTCTTCTGTTGGCATTGACTTCATTTCATTCTAAAAACATTCACCTCATAAGAAACTCCATGAAACTAATATAAAAGGATGATTTTGTGCTTAAGTCTTTTAATCTCTTCTTAAATCTCAATTACCCAGGCTTTCCTAAACCTAAGGAGGAATCTTCAAGGAATAGTTATGCTCCACTTATTCTGTATTTGTTGAAATCAAGGATAGGTTTATATCATACATTGAATATCATTTAAAACTATAATGTTAAATAACAGCCCTGTTTCAAATTTTGCATGACAGTAAGTAACTGGGTTTTATTTAAATGCATCTTTCTCCTGTTGAGTGGTTTACCTTCTGATCTATATGTATGTAGATCTGAGTGTGATCCCTAATGGGTAGGAAGAGACACAGCTATTTGGGGGACTGTGTATGCTTTACTTTGGGATTCAAAAGGGTCTTTTGATAAACCTAAGGCACAGGTACTAACTTCAAGGTTAATTAACCAGAAATATCTTAACTTAGTTCAGAAGTGTATGTGGAAATTTCTGGAAATTTGTCTAAGTGAGCCAAAGAGTTTGAGTGTAGGTTGTCGAACTCCCTGATGGTGAGCCATGCCAACTGAAGGTGAGCCACAAAATGACACAACGATGCAGTTAGGAGCCTTTACTGACCTTTGAGGAAAGATGCAGAACATGATGGCTCTTCATTTTTCTTGCTTAGGAAACATTTATGGGGCCTGATGCTGGAGGAAAGGGATCCAGTAAGAAGAGATTAGCAGCGCATCTGGGACATTAATGTGCCCCTTAAATGTACATTGAGTGTTGGCTAGGTACTACCAAATGCTGCTGATGAAGATATAGCAGTAGGACATTCATCTATACAAGAAATATTTATTACATCCCAATTATGTGTCAGCAGCTGTCCTAGGCTCTAGAGATACCATGGTGCATAAATTAGCCAAAAAAGGGTTAAAAAAAAATTCTTGCCCTCATGGATCTGACATTCTAGTAGGGGAAAACAGAAAAGATATAAATTAGTAAGTGCATGGTGTGTTAAATAGTAAATTTCAAGGAGGAAAATAATGCAGGGGCAGGGGAGAGGAAGTGTCCAAGTTGGAAGGAGGGTTGTGGCTTTAGATTGGATGGAGGGAAAGGATGACATTTGAGTGAAAATAAGAAAAGGGAGAAGAAGTGAGTCATAAATATGTCTGGGGAAAGAGGTTCTAGGCATAAGGAGAGCAGGTGGAAGGCCCTACCAAAGGAGCATGCTTGGCTGAGAGAGACAGACAGGCAGACAGAGAGACAGAAAAGCAAAATTTTAAAAATTTAAAAACCTGCTCTGGTCATTCTCCTGGAAATGTTGCCATCAGGATATTCCTGGCTGCCTGTTATACATGGCAACACACTTTCAGGCATCTTGTTTTTTTCTTTTTTTGTAATTAACTGCAGCCATAAATGACAGGCGTCATGTTCCTCAGGTTTCATTAAAATATTGTAATGGATTTAATTAATGGACATTGTTCTTAGGTGAGAAGTAAATTCAAACTCACTCTATTCTCTTAAATTACAGGGTTTACCAGGCCTTCCAGGCTTTCCAGGACCTGTTGGTCCACCTGGCCCTCCGGGATTCTCAGTGAGTATGAAGTCATCACTGCTATAGACCCTGTAACCTAATAAATTCATTATATCGAAAAACTTTACACAGAGTTTTCGGCTTGGCACATTTTCTGCTGTAATTTTAACTTGTGGCTTTTTTTTTTTTTTTTTAACTTGTGGCTTTTTCTAGGGCTTTCCAGGAACCATGGGACCTCCAGGACCTAAGGTAGATTACAGTTCATATATCACAGCAGCCAGAACACTGAGAACAAGTTAAAAGCCAAACCTGGTCTGATTGGACACGTGGTCACTGCCTGGCCCCTCTCTAGAAGCCACAGGATTCCCGGCAGGGAAGGAAACAGGACAGGCAGCTCTGTACCCCTCATTCTCTTCTCCCTGCACTTAGTAACTTGATTCCTGATAATTCAGTTATAAGGAGCTCCCTATTAAGAAAGGGCAAGTCCGTGGGGCGCCTGGGTGGCTCAGTTGGTTGGGCGACTGCCTTCGGCTCAGGTCATGATCCTGGAGTCCTGGGATCGAGTCCCGCATCGGGCTCTCTGCTCGGCGGGGAGTCTGCTTCTCCCTCTGGCCCTATCCCCTCTCATGCTCTCTCTATCTCATTGTCTCTCTCAAATAAATAAATAAAATCTTTAAAAAAAAAAAAAGGGCAAGTCCATAGATTTCTCATTTCCGATAATCCTACTGATCATCCAACACTTTATCCTATAAAATTTGTGGTGGCCTGCTTCCCAACACCAACCTGATCTTGATGCTAGGAAATGAAGGGTGAATATTCATGTGCTTATTAAACAGAGTCCTGCATGTCTTTCTCATGAAAAGACCGATTGCTGGTGTTGGGGAGGAAAAACTTTTCTCTATCCTCTTAGGTTCCTGAGAGGGGACATGCATATGGAACTGAAAAAAGACTGATTAACAGGAGAAGAAGGTTTATTTCATATGCATGTGGGGGCCTCACAGAAATGAAATGAAAACCCCAGAGAGGCTGTCAGGCCCAGAGGCTTGTGTAACATTTTAACAAAGGGTGATACATTTGTGGAGGAGTGACAAGACAAAGGAAAGGGGTTTTGAGCTGGTAGGGGTAGTAAATTGTGGGAAAGTAAGTATAAGGGGGAAACTAATGGAAGATGAGGGTTATTTCAGTAAGGTTTGTTGATGCAGATTTCAGTCAGTGCTGGGTCCAGAGATCAGAGTTGTCTCCTCTTCCTGGTACAGGAGAAGAGCCAGGTGACATCTTCACCAAGGGAAGATGCCTCCATGCCCTGCCCTTAGGTAGATGGAGGAGGGTAGAGAACTTTTTCTGCATTTGCTGTTACTCAATTGTCTGGAGCTCAAAATAATTCTTATGCCAAAGTGATATTTTGGGGTGGCTTATTCTGAGCCCCTTGTTTAACTAAGTAGGAAAATGTGGAGTGAGGCTGAGGCCCCTAGGAAATTAGTCCTAACGCCGTATCTCTTGCTACTACCAGCTAGACTTTGTGTGTAGGGAACTTGCCAAGGTGCTTTCACAATAATTATCTCATTATTTACGTGAGTTGTCAAAGAGACAGTAAATGACAGAGCTGAGATTTAAAGTCTTTTGATTCCTCATCTTGAGCATTTGTCCTATACCTTGTGGGCTAATGGGGGGAAGATCTGTATACTCAAGAGTAAAACCTCAAGGAGGCACTTGTGATGCGCACTGGATATAGTATGGAAGTGATGAATCACTGACCTCTACTCCAGAAATCAGTATTGCACTGTATGGTAACTAACAAAATTTAAATAAATAATTTTAAAAAGGCAAGGAGGCATTGGTTGAAATGATAGATCAGCCATTGTTAGTGAGACAGACTGTTCACATTAGACATAGCTCATTTCACTAAATTACTAGTGAAGTCAGATAGCCTGAAATGTTTTCTTAGCCTCCCTATCAACTTTTGAATTTCAGAATCCAGAAGTTCAGCCACCCTTCCTTTGTATCTTTAAGACGAGAATTTAAGACTAGGGCATCAGAAAATTAGATAACCAGCCAGTGGCTGAGCCAGAAAATGTCCTCTGAGCTGGTTTCCCTTTCCCATCCCGCCACACGTCATGTCATCATTTGCCATAGAAAGTCAATCCATTAAGCTTTCTGCACTTCGTGATCTCCACTTTTGAAAGAAACGTATTGCCCCTCTCCTCCAAGAAACAGCTAAAGTAATTTTTATAATACTAACATTACCATTAAAATATAAACGTTCAGTTACAAACATTGGAACGTCAGTGGATTTAGACTCTTCATCTCCATTTTTAAAAAATAATTTAGTGTTGTCTTTTCTTACAGGGTTCCATGGGCGATAAAGTGATAGGACAAAAAGGAGAGCGGGTAATTCAAATATTGTGGTTTATTTGTGGGCAAGACATTTTACGTCTCATAGCAATCATCCTGTACATCTTAGTCACTAAGTGACCCTGGAACAAACATGTTTGCTCTGTCATTTGCGCTATCTTCTTACCTAAGAACCAAAGGGGAGAGTCTTTCTCTCCAAAAAGCAAAGGTGATGTTGTTTGGTTTTGCATTCCTGAATGTGTTTGTCTTTAGGGTGTGAAAGGATTAACAGGACCCCCTGGACCACCAGGAACGGTTATTGTCACGCTAACAGGCCCAGATAACAGAACGGTAACTCTTCCATTTTATTACTCAGGTTGTACGTTCTCACTTCCGGGGTGAGGTCCTCCTGATCCCTTACCTCTTTTATAAGCTTTGCCCTCTGAGCTCTCTCAGCCAGCCTGAGCCTCTGGAGTTTATTTTTTCCCATCTTTTACTCGTGAACCAGAAAACATGAGACAGAGATCTGAGGCAAGATCAGAGGCTAGCAGCTTCCACGATTCTAGAAGGTAGAGCTTGGATCTAATTTTGCTCACCTTTTATCCTCACCCCCTCTCATTGTTCCTAACTCAGATGGGGATTTGGTGAGTATTTTTGATAAATGATAACAAAATAGGTGTATGGCTGTGATCCAACTGAATAGTAATGACCTAAAGATATCAGTGGAATGGTATTACAATCAAAGGGGACATTTTTACCTGACATTATATCCCCAAGGGCAATGTGGCCTGCATTCTTCTCCAAGGACACTGTGGCCCTGTTTTTCAAAATGAACATCTGCTTTTTGCTTCCACCATGAGGTAGCTAGAAGGACCAGGATATAGAACTGAACTGAATGCTCAGAAAAAGTGAATCACAGTATAATACCCCAAACCTAGACACAAGGTTGATCCCAGAATGTCTGGGGGGGTGGGGAAGTGAGGGGTTAATTAACAATTTTTTTGTGGATTAACTAAGAAATAAATATAAATTCTTGTTCTCTTTTAAACTTCTGATTGTTTTTAATAATAGCTTGATTGAAATGTAATTCACATACCATATAATTCACTGTTTTAAAGAATAAAACTCATGGGTTTTAGTTATAATTAATTTTAACAACATTATTCAGATATAATTTATATACCATGAATCTCACTTATTTAGTACACAATTCAGTGGCTTTTAGTGTATTTGTGGGGTTGTACAACTATTACCACATGCAATTTTAGAACATTTTCATCACCTAAAAAATAAACCCCTTTGCCTCTCCAATATAATTAATTCTTAATGATAGAAGTTTTGTTTATCAAAACAAAACTGAGAAGAGTTAAAACAAAACATGGTGAAATTTGATATGACCAAAATAATATCACTGAAGATTGGAAAAAATTGATGTAAGGAAAATAACTAAACTTCTCAGAGGTAATCAACAAAAATAAAATTAATGAAGTATAAAATTTTATTGGCTGGAAATGGACAGAAAAATAAATCTTATCTTGACAAAAACTAGATCTGGAAGATTTGACCTAGGCGAAAATCTTTGAGTTTGAAAAAAATGATGCTCCACAAGGAGACCCACACTGGAGAAAATACAGTCAATAAATGTGATAAGAACACAAATAAACCTGATTAACACAATCAAATCCTCCTTATAACATCTGATCAGAAACTAATTGATCCCAATGAAAATAATTCTGTATATTTATATTAAAAATGAAAATAAGATACATTGGGAATGATTTGAATGTGGTTATTGAAAACTGATTCAGGAATTAAATTGATTTAACATATTTGGACCCAAAAGATACTTTCTTTAAAACAACAAAAGTTCATATATGGCTTCAACGGGTTCACAAGTATAAAATCTGAAATAGGAAAAATGATAATCTGTCATGTTAACAGGAGATACATAAGTAGTTTGTAGATCCAGTTTGTTGAACAGATGGAGAAAATTTTCAAGTAAAAGCGGTATAATCTTGTTTGATCTGTGTGTAATGACTTTAAATTGTTTTTGTCGCAGGATCTCAAGGGGGAAAAGGGAGACAAGGGAGCCCTGGGGAAATCCGGACCTCCTGGACCCTCAGTAGGTTCTTTAGAGTCATGCTGTTCCCTCGAAACATGAAGTAGAGCCTTAGTGTGTATTTGGATGTATGATCTACTTTAAAATCTTAATATTAGCTAAAGCATGATAATATTTCACCACAGACATCATGGAATATACTAGAATTATTTCACAGCCTCTTCTAGCTGAAATCCCTGCGAGGTTGTGCACCCACCCACTGCCTCTCTCCCATCTTACGATTTATCTTCAGCATCTGGTATTTTAGCATCTGTTTTTAAATGAACACTTATACATGAGATGACCTCCCATTTGAACATTTTAAAATATAACAGAATAATCAGAAGGAAAAACTTAATGACAATCGAGGTGAGTCAAAAAATCGATTCATAAAATTTGACATAACTCTCATTAATTACAGGGACCGCCTGGAGAATCTTATGGATCTCAAAAAGGTGCTCCTGGAGAGCCTGGCCTGCAGGTAAATTTGGAAACTCAGTATCGTGTGCAGCCTGTATCAGTCAATGCTTAGGTCTCTTTAGAAGGCAAGTGTAAGATGCCCAATTCAAACTAGCTTTGATTTTTGTAAGTTTTTTTTTTAAAGATTTAAGAAATGAAACTTATTTGTTCAAGTATCTGAGGATTTCAAGGCTAAAACAGCCTTCGAGGACCTCAGAGCCTGAAACAAGATGGGCAGGACTCTCCCTATCGTGTCTCCTCCTCTGTGGGTATTGGCTTCGTGGTCTCCTTTGACACTGATCTTCCACATAGGCGTCAATGGGGAGGAAGAGCAGGAAGTAGCAGAGGACCGCTTCAGGTTAATGGCATCCAAGAAGATAGTGTGTCTCCCTGTGTCCACTAATAACACCCCCAAGAATCGCTCTCATTGGCCCAGCTTGGTCCTATGTCTCACCCTGGAGAGACGACTGTGGCCAGGAGGGAAAGTTCCCAGGATTGGCCAGGCCAGCGGGGTGGGGGCTACTGTGACCGAGAGTCCCATGAGACCCACACAGAGTGAGGAAAGGGCAGCTCTCCACAGAAGATGGGGCGCACTGTGGCGTGGGTGCTGGGAAGACAGAGGCAACCGGGGTCCACTCACCCACCCAGCTCTATTTTGGAAAGATTTCAACACCTATATTGTTTAAAGACTCTAAAGATTATACATCAAGAAAAGTTTTTTTTTCTAAGAAAAAGTGTTCAGTCAATATGATGTTTAATTCTATCACAGAGGGTAAACACTGTAATAGTTCATCTAAAAGCCTTGTCTGTTTGGGACACTGCAATATGCCTTTATAAATATATTCAAATATTGGCACGTGTGCGGGTCAGGGAATCGCCAACATTTCAAATAAATAATTTGAGCGTGAACTCCTCCCTCCTTCTAGGTCTTTTTGTCCATTTCTCTGGTTTTTCAATTTTTCTTCCAAGCTGGGATGGGCAGTATCAAATCTCATTGAATTAGCTAATCTTACTTTCCGATCTTTCTTCCATTCACCCTCCCTAATTTCCCATTCTGACTGGCTTCTGCCTTCCTCAGCAAGAGAAGGTCTGTGATTAAATTGGTTTTTCTTCTAACAAATGGGTAGAAAGTTTCAGTCAGGCTCTCTTGACCGAGGTCAAGAGGAAATGATCATATCATTTACGTTTTCCATATTTATTAAATTATGTATTTTTGCTTTGTTTTTGTTTTAGGGAAAACCTGGCAAAGATGGTGCCCCTGGTTTCCCCGGCACTGAGGTAAAGACATGTTTGGCCCACTGATGTTGTTGAAATGTCAGTCCCATTAGACGAAGAAGGATTTGGGGAATCACTGTTAGTTATGAAGCTAGCAAAAGCATATAGCTTTTTAAACCTGTATTTGAGAATCATAGTGTTACACCCTCACTGCGAAGAGAGATCATCCGAACACATCTTAGTTTGTCTTTTCAAAAAGGATTTCCAGGGCGCCTGGGTGGCTCAGTCAGTTAAGTGTCCGACTCTTGATTTTGGCTCAGGTCCTGATCTCAGCATTATGGGACTGAGCCCCGAAATGGGCTCCATGCTCAGCCGGGAGTCTGCTTGAAGATTCTCTCTCTCCCTCTCCCTCTTTCCCTCCCCCACTCATGGGTGCACATGCTCTCTCTCTCTCTCAAATAAATAAATAAATCTTAAAGAAACGGGGGCGGGGAGTTCCAACTGTTCCTGCTTCCCACAGAAGAAATTGACTTGTATGTCTTCTGACCTATTCTCTTTTTCCACAGGGAGCCAAAGGCAACAGGGGCTTCCCTGGGATACGGGGTAAAGACGGCATTAAGGTGATCCCCTCTCTAACATCCTGTCTTCAGCCTTTTTAGTTGGTTGGGTTTTCCCACCCTTTCCCAGTCATGCCCTGAAAAGAGGTACAAGGGATTGCAATCAGAGTTCATTAAAGTAGCTTAGTTTTATTTGTTAAGAGGAAATGAGAGATGTAACGAATTTACTTAGACACCCAAAGGGCAGTTTTGTGGGAAAGATCTAAAACTTGTCTGTGTGGTGGAAGCTGCCTGACATCATGACCAGTGAGATTTAGTTTCTTCATGAGGAAGGAGTTGGACAAGTCCTCCAAGTGAAGGTTTCTGGTCACTGGAGGTCAAGTGTAGGCTGAACCCCATGAGTCTAGTTCTGGGTCATGACACACTCAAAGGTCATGATCAGTGAATTATGAACTGTATTCCATTTCGTTTGTTGCTGACAACATGTTACAGATGTTTTCAAATATTGTCATTTCAAGTCATTGTAGGCATATGGGCAGATTCAAGATTTATCCTATACTAATATGACTTCTGGTAGAATTCTGAAAGTGCTGTCCTGATTTGGTAAGGAAGGGGGTTGGTTACAGGTTAGTTGGGACCCTGGGAATTGCACACAACCTGCAGCCTGGTTTTGCTGTGCCTGTAATCTGGGGGAGAACATGCGGATGTGAAATGCATAGGAACACCCTCTGAAGGTATTGACATGGAAGAAACACGTAAAAGCTACTAGAACAACAACCTCTTCCCAAGACCTTGATGACAGGATTCTTGTCCCAGATATGGTCCTCCAGGGAAATGACCCAAAGTCAATGTCCCTTTCATTTTAACTTGGTTTGTACGTTACATGGAAATAACATGACTTTTAGCATTAATTTATTAACTGTTTTGCTTTTTAAGCATACTAAATATGTAAATACTTTGGATTAACGTCCTTATAATTTGTAACTGTCTTTCAATACAGGGGTGGAAAGGGGACATTGGCCCTCCAGGATTTCGTGGTCCAGTAAGTGTAACTAAAGACAGTATCCATGTCGGTGCACCGGGGTGGCTCAGTGGTTAAGCGTCTGCCTTCAGCTCAGGTCATGTTCCCAGGGTCCTGGGATCGAGCCCCGCATCGGGCTCCCTGCTCCGCGGGAAGCCTGCTTCTCCCTCTCCCACTCTCCCTGCTTGTGTTCCCTCTCTCGCTGTCTCTCTCTCTCTGTCAAATAAATAAAAATAAAAAAATCTTAAAAAAAAAAAGACAGTATCCATGTCATATTTGATCAAGTCCTTCAAAGTATCAAGGAAATTTTGAATCTCTCATTAAAGATAGAGATTATGGTATTTACTTTTTTATCAAGCCAGGGAAGAAAATAGCTGTTGTCATTATTTGTCCATTGGACAATGGATAAATGTTTCTATTTGGTCCTATTTGGTCTCTGGAAGGCACTAGAGATGCCCACCCTGGGCCGTGGGAAAGAAGAAACCCCTTGTCCAATCAGACATGGCCCAAACAGACCTGTGCCCTTGGGCAGAGTAGGAAGGATGCACTGGAGGTCAGCTGGGGCACCCAGGGGAGAAGGAGCCCGCTCCACCCACTCCAGCTGGGCCCACATATGACAACCTGTATTTCCATGCACCAGAAGCTCAACCAGGGCCAGCGAAAACCAGTGACCACCCCCCCCCAGCTCAAACTCCTCTCTCCGGCATGGACATGGATTTGATGTCTGTCAGCTCCTGACTTCAGAGTGCCCATATTCTCTATTTTGGGACCCTGTAGCTTAAGGACCCAGGCTCTGAATTCTGGTATCCCTTTCTCTCCTGCCTTTAAAAGACCGTAGTTCTCACATTCAGTGTGCTGAGCAGAGCTGCCATTTGTGATTATGCTGGTTGTATGGAAAGGTCCATGATGATAAAACTCTCATGGGGTGGGGGTGAGAAGGTTCCATTACTGCGTTGCAGTTCTCAGACCCCTCAGGCTACCCAATTTAACTCAGTAACTGGAGGAGCATCCTGGAAATTCGCATCTTCACACAACAAGCCAATGATCCAGATGCAAGTAGTCCCAAAATACTTTTATGGAGTTGCCAGAGAGAAGAAATGGGCCATTTTGTGAAAGCACTTAGCCAGCGCTTGGCAGGTGCACGTATGTCATTATGGATTTTGTGATGGAGATTATTACATTATCATTACTGTCACTATTATGAATTATTTTTGTGATTTTATACATAACTGATTAATCACAATACCTTTGTTATCTTTTTCAAACACACCAACAAAGTAATTGGCCCCATGCAGCATATGAGAAAACAAAACAACACCCAAATTTTTATATTTCCATCTTCTTTCCTTCAGGATAAGTGTACTGAATTCTAAGCGAAATCGATTTGTCAGTTGCGCTTGAGAGAAATTCTTAGCATTCCTAGTTTGCTGTGTGTTTTTCAATTCTATATAATTCTGCAGCTTCTAGTAACTTCCTTGGAAGTTCTACTTAGGAAGCAGACGGTTAAGGAGACCAGCAGTAGGTCCACCAAGCGTGTTAGAAACAATAACCCTCAATATTATTGCAAGCCAATGGTATCCTGAAATTCAAAGAAACAATCAATGGAGTATTTTTAGATGTGTGGGTCCCAACATACTCTGAAATAAAGTTAGTCCATAAGGACAAGCGTTTTTAAAAAAAAGTGAAATAGAATATAATAAAAAAAAAATCAGAGTTGATAATATGTCAAAATGGTAAGTCACTGCTTGTGAAACTTTAATTTCAGTATACATATCCCCACATATCTAGGTATGGATAGAACTGTGAGTGAGCTGGCTCACATCATAAAATGTATTTCTCACTGAAAGCCCATGAAATATATGATATGGTGATACCAGAAACATCAACTTTGATCTTTAAATTTACCCATCATGTATACATGACTTTATTCTTGCTAACACATCAACTTATGAATTCAGGAAAATACCATTTGGGGGTGGGGGGAAAGGACATTGAAATATTGCATTTGGTGAGCTCACCATAAATAGCTATCCTTTCTCTTTATTTGTTTATTTTTCCTTGAAGACAGAATATTATGATTCGTACCAGGAAAAGGGAGATGAAGGACTTCCAGGCCCACCAGGGCCCAAAGGAGCTCGTGGCCCACAGGGTGAGAATAAATTTCTTCCTAAAGCATTTGCTGCCCATGTCCATGTGCTTATTTCCAGGCAATGTATAACAAACGTGCTTATAGACCTAGAATTTGTAGGGGGCAAAAGGAAGGTTTCCCAATTTTCATGGATGGTAGTATTGGTGTGTCCTAATTTTCATACTTTTATATGAAGATTCCATAGGTGCTATACCATAGAAGGTAATTAAATTCTCTTTGTGTGTGAAAACATCAAGTTCGAGTCTGACAAGAAAACACAAATGTGGCCAGAGGGCAGGAGGAGGGAGTGGGAAGAATCGGCAATCTCAGGGGGACAGAAAAGAAAAAGACAGAGACCCTGAAAAACTGTAACTTGAGAAAATCCACCCAGTCGTGACAAGAGGGGCCTGAAACCTGGGTTTCCTGACTCCTGGCACCATGAAGTGGAGTCACATCTACTCAGATGCTGTCCCTTTGGATAGACTAGAAAGGTGTAGGCCAAGAGCTCTCCTCTGTGGCCACACATCAGAGAATCCCTGGGAACTTCTAAACAATGACATGCCAAGGTCCCATCCCTGGCATTCTGATGTAACTGTCTGGAGGGGGGCCCTGGGCACCGGGAGATTGTAAAAGCTCCCCAGATTATTCTAGTGTGCAGGCAGGATCGAGAACCACCGACCTAAGGCAAATTGTTGATACAAATGAGATTTCAAAGGAGAGTTTCACTTACAAGAGTACAAATTCCCAGTGTTCTTAAATAAATGGGCAGAGAAGTATAGAACGGATATAGATTTTTTTTAATCTGGTATGTCCACTATAAATCACTCATATGTATCAGAGAATTAGAACCCCGTTGCACTGTCACGGCTAGAAGTGATCTGAGAGGTAACATCTGGACAAACCACAGGACCTGGACAGTTCCAGCTATTTGCTGTTCTTCCATCTGCACCATTCCAGCCAAGCGTCAAAAGCAGAGCAGACTCCTAGTAAATGTCTGCTGACTTGTTTGCGGGTGGTAAGGTGCCGTGATTCGCTTCTGAGTGTTAGGCATCTCAGACTAGTTTCTTCTCTGTAGTTTGTCTAAATAAGTGAAGCTTTCTAATATCTATGTGAGAGTGGAAGAGAAAGTATGAAAGTATTTATTATTAATTACGATAATGTGGTCAGCCAAGATTTCAAAAATGGGGGGAGGGAAGTATTTATGTCCTTATGAGTAATCAGTTACTGTTACGGATTTGTAGGTCCCAGCGGCTCCCCTGGGGTTCCTGGAAGTGCTGGTATGTACATGTTTCTTGGGGCACCAATAGAATGGAAAATTACGGGGGCGCCTGGGAGGCTCAGTCGGTTAAGCATCTGCCTTCGGCTCAGGTCGTGATCTCGAGGTCCTGGGATGGAGCCCCACATCAGGCTCCCTGCTCAGCGGGAAGCCTGCTTCTCCCTCTCCCTCTGCTCCTCCCCCCTGCTCATGCTCTCTCTCTCTCTCCAATGAATAAATAACAAATCTTAAAAAAAAAAAAAGGAAAATCACGTTTGCATTGCTTACATAAGACAAATGTTTCATTAATTGATCTAAAAATTATTCCAGCTTCATTGTTAACTTTGTGACTCATAGCAGAAAAGGGAGTGGAAGCTGACACAAAGCGACTTAGGAATGCTCTTTTACTTCTCAGTGGTTTTAACTAAAGTGTAAGGCAAAAACTGGTGTAGGAGCAGAAGCCTTGAAGCTCAGAGGAGGCACAGAGGTAGAAAACAGTAATTTATAGTAATTAGGTTGGTTAAAAGTCGTAGTTTTCATAGTGTACCACATGTTGTGTAAGTACATAGATTGCACTTTTTTTTTTAGATTTATTTATTTATTTGAGAGACAGAGCGCGCACAAGCCGGGAGAGGGGCAGAGGGAAAGAATCGCAAACAGACTCCCTGCTGAGTGTGGAGCCCTACACGGGGCTCAATCCCACACCTTGATATCATGACCTGAGCCGATACCAAGAGTAGCTGGCTTAACCAACTGAGCAACCCAGGCAGCCCATAGATTAAACTTTTATGTGTTTATGTTTTATAAAAACACCCATGAGTCACTGGAGTGGTTGCCTCTTGAGAGACGAAGACTAGGATCAAGGACATTTAATCAAGGATTAACCTAAGTGACTTTAATTATAACTAAAATGCTGTCATGTGTCATTTTGTAGAGGAAACGAAACCATGAAAAAAATAGCAAAGATTTGATAAGCCCTGCCATTGATTACATTTTTCTCCATACCTTGTTGTATATTTAAACTATTTCATAATTTTGAAAATGAATTGAAATTAAGTGATTGCAGAACTATATGTATCTTATAATCCCACTGTAAAAAAAAATAGATAAATGGATAAATATTATAGGTACCTGCATGTGCATGGAAAAATATACACCAAATTGTTAACAATGGGTATCTCTCTCTTTTTTTTTTTAAGATTTTATTTATTTATTTGACAGAGAGAAACAGAGAGAGAGAGGGAACACAAGCAGGGGGAGTGGGAGAGGGAGAAGCAGGCCTCCCACTGAGCAGGGAGCCTGATGCAGGGCTCGATCCCAGGACCCTAGGATCATGACCTGAGCCGAAGGCAGATGCTTAACGACTGAGCCACCCAGGCGCCCCAACAATGAGTATCTCTTGAAGTTGGAATACAAAAGGATATTTTAGAGATCTGGCCAAAGATTAGGGAAGAGTTTTTTCTCTCCACCAGCGCCCCCCAAGTAATGAATAGGCTCCTTTAGGAAGTAAAAATTACAAATCTCTAAAACAGATGCCAATCACAGGGATTTGCTTTTATGGCAAAATCCTTATGCTCAATAATCAGAAATAATCAGATATTACCCCTGCTGGTTCTCAGCCCTTTGGTGGTGAGGTCTTTCTTCTTTAAACTGTTTGCAAGGCATGGATTCGAGACGGGCCCTCTCCTCACATCCTTGTCACCTTAAGAGGGATAGATGAAATGGTTTTGTACCACCTGGCAAGGCTTGTCTCCCAGGAGATGCCTACCTCCCCACCATGCTCTTTTATAACTAAGATGTTTGGCAGGAATGAAGTCCAATTAGGACAGTCTCTCTTTCTCATTTCAGACACTGAAAGGTAGGTATCTTCTAGTCGCTAATGAAAAAATCCACAAAGCAGCACATATCGAAGAATTTCTCATGAGGTCCTTTTAAACAAAAAGACAACAGTGTGTCTCTAACTGTTTCAGTCCCTTGTAATAAATAAGTCCCTGTCTTACTTACCTCATGGGACTGGGACGTTCTGGGCTTCGCTGTGCCGTGAAAGTTTAACAAGGCCACAGATGAAGGAAGGAAGATATTCTTTTTGTTTTATATGCTTTCTATGCCTCTCGATTGTGTAACTTTTGTTAATAAGAATACGTTACTTTCTGCAATTAAAAAAGTAATATATATGAGTCAAGAAAACATTGAAAATGCACTAACATGATTCTTTTCTCCAAGGGTCATTGAGGCTTGGCCCCAGAGGAGCCCCTGGATCTCCAGGAGTGAAAGGAAGTAAAGGGGAACGAGGGCCCCCAGGAAAGAATGCAGTGGGGCCTCCTGGGTCCCCAGGTTGTCCTGGTTCACCAGGCCCTGTTGGGTTGCAGGGATATCCAGGACCACCAGGTAGATACCTAACGGGCCCCTATTGTGTACATTGCCCAATAACAGATGTGTGCAAATCAATGGCAATGAACCTTCCTTGCATCTTGGCCGTCAGTCTGTGTCGGTCTTAGGAGCAATCTTTCTGCTGCCGTTTCATCTGATGAGCTATCTGTGAAGACAGCTCGGGTAGAATAAGGACATAGCAGGTGCAGCAAGGCTTTAGCCTGAGCTCCCACAGAGGGCGGAGTGCGAGGCAGGGACAAGGGACAGTGAAGCAGAGAAGGAGGGATGGTTATCAGGTTGGCCTCGGCCAAGTCTGCAACTGCTTGTCTGGTCCCTGGAGAATATCTTCCTAAAAGCTACAACTTTGTGTCAGGACAATTTGTCCCAGGGGAACAAGAGGCAAGAATTTATCTACCCATTCCTATTAGTCGTGGGTCGAAGATATATCCCACAGGACCACACTAACCCCCCCCCCCCCCCACACACACACTCTTCCAGGCTGTGTTAGCATGGCTCCCAGGGCATCCCATGCCCTGGCATCAGCAGGAAGACCCAGGGCAAGGAGGTGTGGGCTGGAGGTGCAGCAGGGGCATGGGGCAAGATGCTGCCAGATAAAGTGGGTCAGAGACCACACAGCTGCAGCCTAGAGGACAGGAAGTGCCTGGAGTTGTCTTCACCTCTCTAGCCCCCCACAGCCACCTAGCATTCTCTGCTGGCTGACAGGTACACAGAACCTCAGAACATATGCGTCACTCTTTGTTTCTTAAAACACCTCTCTGGAAGGTGCCTGGGAGGTCTTGTGTTTTATACTCAACCTTCCTAACAGCCCTAAGAATCTTCTGTTGTGTCAGGGATTTTGTTTTTAAGAAAGGATTTATTATTTATAGACAGTGTGATTATAAATCTGGAAGATCCAAAAGAATAATCTGGAAAACTCTTAGTGTTAATAAGATAATTCAGCTAAATGTCTGGCTATTTGAGCAATATTTGAAAAAAAAAATAAAAGCTTCCCTTTAGGCCAATGGCTATTTAAGAAATTATCCCATTAATAAAACAATATAATGTCCAAGAACAAAAGCTGTCAAGCTCTGGTGTGAACCTATGTGGAAAACAAAGCAAAATAAAACTTAACTAAAACCTTTCATTGTGTCAGGGATTTTAACAATTTCTAGTCCTCCAAGTCTTTTTCAAGATGTAGGTTTAATGTGCTCATTTTATTGACCAGGGGCTTAATGTGCACAGCTCTTGGTGCTGATGAGTGCCGTAATCGGGCTCTGGACCTCGGGTGCCTGAGGTAATACAGCTCCCTCTGCAAGACACCATGCATCCTCTCCCCATAGAGGTGGCCCTGGTTTCCTGTCTTCTCTTACCTAAGCAACACCTGTCTGTCCATCTAGTTGCAGCTTCAACTTGAAGTCCTGCAGAATGTTTACACTGAGCCCACATACTGTAACACCCAAGCTTATCCCGATAGTAGCGTTTCTCACATTGCCAGTCTTTGTCAGTTTCCCCTACTAGACTTCAAAGCTCTTTGAGGTCAGACACTGTGTCTGGTTTGCTCTTTTAAGCTCAGCATGTAGCACAGGGGCTGGAACATTGTAGGTACTCAAATATTTGTTGACTTAAGTATGACATGACTAGGAAAATGTGCAAGTAAATACAAATGTATAAGTATGTAAGTATACATATATGTCTACCTTAAGTATAAAACTGCCATTACATTTTACTGTTTAAAGATAACTATCCAAGTAAGAAGGGAAAAATGAAGGGGGGGAAATCGGAGGGGGAGACGAACCATGAGAGATGATGGACTCTGAGAAACAAACTGAGGGTTCTGGAGGGGAGAGGGGAGGGGGGATGGGTTAGCCCGGTGATGGGTATTAAAGAGGGCACGTTCTGCATGGAGCACTGGGTGTTATACACAAACAATGAATCATGGAACACTACATCAAAAACTAATGATGTGATGTATGGTGATTAACATAACATAATAAAATTTTTAAAAATTAAAAATAAATAAATAAATAAATAAAAATAAAGATAACTATCCAGCCATCTTAAAGACACAGAAAACTGGGTCACAAAATGAGCATTCCTTTCAGAGTCAAGCAAACATTACCCACACCCCATTCCATCTCAATTAAATGTCTCCACTGATACCTTGTTGCTCTGAAGTTTCGAGCAGCTATAGGCATTGCTTTGAAATATTTAGTTTCATCAGCATTGCCTTCAACCTAGATTTGAAATGGCAAGACCAAAAAATCCAGTCATAGAACACAAGAGTTTAAGAGCATTAGCTGTTCATTGTAACATTATGGTAGCAGACACATGTGAAAAACTGGGAAGAGGTTTCTTGAAGAATGACAAACTCAATTGATGTGAATAAGCCATGCAGAGAAAACAGATGATACTCTACCAAAACCTTTTCACTCAATATGTATTAAGCATCTACAATATATCAGGAAGATTCAGTGTACCTGAGATAATAGAATGCGATGTGACCCTTTGCCTAAACATTCTAAAGGATAGTCTTGGAATAATTGGAAATAATTGGCTAAAATAACATAGGTTGATTTTATGATGAGAACCAACCAGATAAAAACTTTCAAAGAATCACCGCACGAGTATCAAAAAATATCACATGTCTGTAGTGAGAAAGGAAAAGCTGGTCAACACACTTCAGTCTTCAATTGCAGATAACCTTCAAAAGATGCAGCCTCCAAAACAAATATGGGGGACATGCACATAGAATAATACATCTTACTGAAACACTTGCTAATTGAATAAAAAACACAAAAAGAAACAAAACACTAGTTTTGGTGTTGTCTTTTTGCAGGTGACATCGTTTTTCGCAAAGGTCCACCTGGAGATGGTGGACTCCCAGGCCTTGTAGGGTTTCCAGGAATCCCGGGAGCCGATGGGCCCAAAGGTTGGTTCAATCAGTGGTGATGCTCTATGAAAGCAAGCCATTCTCATCATCATTCCTATCACTGATTCGCCCCTCGAAACAACAATGATCCCAAACTGCAGTCAGGGGTGGCTTCTTTTGCAAAAGAATTGCCTAAAAATATTCATTTATCTGCAAATCAATCATGTATTTAGCACCCATGCAATAAATTGTGGGATATGCCTAGAATATGTGTTTTATCCTGCACTGAAGGAGAGAGGTACTGAGAGACTAGATATTTTATTCTTGATTCAGGATTTCCTCTAAGAATACTAAGAAGGTCAGATAGAAAAAGTAAGCCAATATAATACATGAACAATTTTTCAAAGATTTTGTTTATTTATTTGAGAGAGGGAGAGAGAGCACAAGCATGAGCAGGGGGAGGAGCAGAAGGCGAGGGAAAAGCGGACCCCCTGCTGAGCAGGGAGCCCAATGCAATATGGGGCTTGATCCTAAGATTCCAGGACTAGGACCTGAGCGGGGGGCAGATGCTTAACTGACTGAGCCACCCAGGTGCCCCAAGATGAATGATTTTTTATTAACATGCACAATGTCCTTGATGATTTTCACTAGCCCCCCCCAAAATTTTTAATGTAATAAATGACTGTGTGTTTGGGAAACATCTGTCCTTTCTGCAGACTTGGTGTGGGTTTATGAGTAATGTACGCATGCTCTCATTGCAGGGGAACCTGGCCTCTTGTGCATACAATGTCCTTGTGTCCCAGGGCCCCCAGGTCTCCCAGGACTGCCAGGGTTGGACGGCATAAAAGGAATCCCAGGTACAGACATTTTACACACAAGGGTTTAGGCAAGTACAAAAGGGTCAGCTCACTGGGTGGTGAAAAAAGGTATCAGACATCTGGATGTCATGATGTGGTTTGCATGAACTTAGAGATTTTCAAAAGCATACTCTGTTAACATAAAGCAAGCCAAAATAACACAAAAACTGGCATTTCCCCCGTTCCATTTTAGTTGCTGAATTCTAGCAAACCATGGGGTTCCCCATGAATTATAGACTGGGGTTCCTCCAGGGGTAGGACTTAGGAGGGGTAAGGCAGCTATCCCACACACACACCACCTTTTTCTTCCATAAAGAAATAAGCTCTCTCATTTTTTCTTCTTAAAAGACACAACTCTCCTCAGTCTGTTTTTTTAAGGTCCCCACTTTTGGTAGAGCCAAGGGCAGATGCTCGGTTTCATTCTTTAGAAGGATGTAAGTGCAATAAATCAGCACACCGATGGGGGGCGACGGCGTGGTAAGGACTCTGGTAAACTGGAAGGCACACTGGAGGGGCCATCCCGCACCAGCTCCAGCCTATTGTTACTTTTCAACATTTTAGGCCCTGTGTTGATAGATTTTCCAATTTTTCCTGAGAAGAAAGAAATGAGGGTTTTTATCTGAAGTCTTACTTTTTTCAATATTAGCTACTAACTCCATTTTTGAGGGAAGAAACCATCTCAGAGGCCAATATTCTGAGAGCTAAGTAAAGCCCTTGTCACTTCTCCTGTCGAACTCTGTGCCAAACCAGGACCCTCCCCCACACCTGGTTTCTCCAGGCGTCACATCCCTGCTGCCCTACCTCCTCCCCTTTCCTCAGGCACAGAACTGGCCGTAGACAAAACCCTGAGGCAGAGAAAGTCTCATTAGTTGGGTTCCTCTGCCCCTCCTGCCACTCTCCTGCTCCTTCATAAATGCCTTAGTTACTCGGTAGTCTCTGCCCCCTGACTCCCTGAGATGGGCCTGAGAGGGAAGGATGGGGAGGGAAAGAGGGGACAAAGGGCTGGCGCGAGGGGCGGACTATTCCTCATGCAGCTCCTATTCAGTGCCTAAGACTCTGGGTGAAATGTCCTATTAAAACAAAAACTAAAAAGGAAGGGAAGGAGCTGGGGAGAGAGGGAGGGAGGGAAAGAATAGAAGGAAAGCAATCATTATTTCCCTACATTCCCTTTGAGTGACCTCTAGCCCAAGGGTAGAAATGCAAGTGGGCAGCTCACTGATGACCAACTAGCCGTGTTGAATTTTCCTTGGTTTCTCTACATTTGGCATACTACAGGTATAGCTCACAGAAGATATATAAACAGGAAAACCATGTGGATGAGTATCAAAAAATATACCCTGACTCAAATCTTGCAAAAAATAAAATCTGAATATACATTTGTTAACGCATTGGCTTGAGATCCATCCAAAAGACCCTCTAGAGGATCATCTTTACAGAGATATTTAAATACATATAGGAAGTATAAAATTGTACAATAAAATGTAATTTGGCAACAGATATCCAAAGCCTCGGACAAGTTTGTGTCCATTTGGTCTTGCACTTACACTTTTAGGAATTTATTTAAATTACTGGATAACTTTGAAGTACTAAATACTTAGGGATACCTATCATAGCATTGTTTACTAGAACTAAAGTTGGGAAAAGATCTAAATTCTAAAAACAGCAGTTGGTTAAATAAATGTTGGTTGACCCACACAATATGCTACTACGCAACCCTTTAAGTGAAGCTATAAATCTGTATTTATTGACATATGATTCCAAAATACCATGTATATGTCCAGTGTGTTATGGATATAAAATTTTATGAGTCACATACATGAACATTTTAGCAAATATTGTCTTCTGGTGGTGGATTTATGGGTGATTTTTTATTCTCTTCTTGCTGAATCTGTTTTTTACAATGAGCATATGGTACTTTTATGATCAAAACAAATAAATGTTTCTCCTTAAAATTATAAAGACAAGAATTTTAGGAAGGTAAGATTTTTTTTTTTAATGCCTTTTATTTTTTTTTTTTTTACATCACCTCTTATTCCACTTATGTACTCCCATTCACTCCCTGCACTGGGTGTTTTAAGATACAATTGTCTTTCTTTCCTCAGAAGAAAACACCCTATTCCCTTCATATACTGCATTACCCTGGCTACTCAGAGTTGGCATTCAATGAATATTTAATAATTTACTGCTTTCCAGGAGGACAAGGGCCATCTGGCATTACAGGAAGCCCGGGGTCCCCAGGAAGTACGGGTCTTCCAGGATTTCCAGTAAGATTTCATGCTTTGGAAGCTTTAGTGTCAATTTGGGAAACACCACACTCTGGAAATACAGTTGTGCCACACAAAGGTTATCAGTTTGGTTCCTGGCAAAAAGTGCTTAATATTAGAGCATTTGATCGATACTTGACTAAAGGAATGAATGAATGATGTGTGAATGAATAAGGGAATGAAGTAATGAATTTATAATCATTTAAAACGGTATCAGAGATAGTAGGTGGATCTGTTGTTGCCTGCGGCTGAGGTTGGGAACAGGGATTGACTGCAGATGGATTTGAGGGAATTTGGGGGGGTGATGGAAAAGTTTTAACACTGGATTGCAGTGATTGTGGCATAAATTACAAATTTACTAAAAATCATTGAATTGTTTTCGTATACAGATACATCTCATGATACGTAAATTATACCTCAATAAACTTTTAGAAATTAAATTTTTGATTATCACGGTGAATCAGAAAGTTATATAAAGATAAATATATTTAAATCAAATATCCATAGATGCATGTTAAAATTTACCAATATTCTAACATAATCTAAATTATGATGATGTTTGTATCATATTGAATAATATTACTGGGTGTGTGGCATTGAATTGCACTAACCATATTCTTTTCCAGTTTTGGAAGCAAACAGAGAGAAAAGAAAACCAAAAAACTTGACATTATACTTGTAGGCCAAAGAAAGTGTCTTTAAAAAAAAAAAACCCACATTCATTAAAATTGAAAAATTCTGGTTGACATTTTCTTTTTAAGATTGGCAGAAGAACAGCCGTACCCAAATGCAATGCAGCCTTGTTTCTGTACTGCCCTAGGGATTCCCAGGTGCTCTGGGGGATCCAGGACTTAAAGGAGAAAAAGGTGAAGCGTCTCAGCCTGAGGGAGAAGTGGGTGCCCCAGGGGACCCCGGGCCCAGAGGGCATCCTGGAAGAAGGGGCTTGGATGGAATTCCTGGAACTCCCGGGATCAAAGGATCACAAGGACCCAAAGGTGAACCGGTTGGTATCAAGTAACTTTTTTCAGATTACCTTCCCTGCAACTGAAATGCTCTGAGGGGACGACATTGGGCAATTTCCATTCAGAAAATGGTTGGCCACTCAGCACAGTGGGTCCTTCCAACTGCACAATGAGGTGCCTTGGAAGGAGCAGTAATAACCCCAGCAAGTATGTATAGTATTTTGACACAGACTTGATGGTGCTTTTAGCCCAGATGAAATTCTGTGTTGATAATGACCTTGTCTCCTACACAAGTTACAATCCCTCGTTTGTGTCCGGTGAGTTTATACACAAGTTCAGAAAATGATAAATAATGGAAAGTTTTGGTCAATATTTTGGGGGCAGTGTTCATTCTTTTAAAGTGAAAAAAAAATACTTAAAGACCAGAATATTTAGGAGTAGCACCATCAAATAAAACAGATCAAATGTTTTGTCATCTAAAATATTTAAGCTTCTGTAGATTCTCTTTTCATGAGATAGGGATAGAATCTCTCACATGTTCACTTGAGAGATTCCTACCAGGAGCAATTTTAAATCATCATGGGATCAGAGGCTGAGCACCTCCCCCCAGTGTATTTGTGAGAAGCTTGCCAGGCATGCTGCCCAGTCAGCTCCAGGAAATACCAGGTTCTTCCAGGATTTATCAGTGTTATCCAGTTAAGAGGGTCCCGCCTTGAACAGGAAAATTTGGCAAATAAATTTGAAGATTCGTTTACACACCCTTTAGTATCAGAATATAAAGTGTGGCTCCCCGAGATATAGATGTGGTATACAGTCTTCCCAACATCTTTTTTTTTTTTTTTAAAGATTTTATTTATTCATTTGAGACTCAGAGATACAGAGAGAGGGAGAGAAAGCATGAGCAGGGAGAGAGGCAGAGGGAGAGGGAGAAGCAGGCTCCCCGCCGAGCCAGGAGCCCAATGTGGGGCTCGATCCCAGGACTCTGGGATCATGACCTGAGCCGAAGGCAGACGCTTAACCATCTGAGCCACCCAGGTGCCCCCTTCCCAACATCTTTTTGATGACAAAATATTTTCTGGCTGAGACCAGCTAGCAGCAGGTTCAGTGTTTCTCAGACACTTATCTGGCAAAGGGGTTGGCTGTCCCAGGACAGGGGGTGGTGCAGTTATACTTTATAAAGGGACAGAGTCTAGAATTCTCTGGTCTAGTATTAAGACAGTTCACATGATGCTTCCTTTTGCATCTCACTAATTTCCTTATTAGTTCCAGTAAAAGTAAAATAAAGAAGAAAATTAAGGAGGTGATATGTTGAGTCTTATACCCTGTCATTACGGAAGAAGGAGAAAAAAAACAACACTTAGTCACCCAATGATACTGAACAATGAAAAATCAAGTCAATTTTATTATTTGGGGCCATATTGGGGAGGAAGAGGAACTCGATTATTGTGTCACATTTGACTTGTTTAAAATATACAAGCCATTTCCAAAGTTATAGCCTATGCAGTTACAAAAAAATATTTATGGAACACCTGGGTGGCTTAGTCAGTTAAGCGTCTGCCTTCAGCTCAGGTCATGATCTCAGGGTCCTGGGATCGAGTCCCGCATCGGGCTCCTTGCTCATTGGGAAGTCTGCTTCTCCCTCTGCCTACAGCTCCCCCAACTTCTGCTCTCTCTCTCTCTGACAAATAAAATCTTTAAAAAGCCAAAAACATATTTTATAAGAAAAAAATGCATACAGTCTATCTGTATCTGTATCTCCTTTGTGATGAAAATAGCTGGTGAAGACCAAACAAAGGTTTGCTGTGCTGGTTTTATTTTAGAAACGCGCTATTCCCATGAATGCCGCTCTAAAGCTATTTGAACTGTTGGCTGATATGAACAAAGTTTTAGGGGCTATTATATGTATAACATCCTGCTGGAGGACACCTCCAGTGGGGCTCAAGAGACTGCAAGTTCATGAAATGTTGCTGAAATCCAAAGGGCACAAAACGGCAGAAACCAGACCGCACTCTGATTTTAGTAATAATTCCCTTCAAATGCCAACTGCTTTGTAATTCAAGATTTTCTCATTGGCTGCTTATCTGGTCCTCCTCTTCATGGTAAGATTAACCTATGTAAGGAGATACTGGACTGAAGCACTATCCAAACATATTCCTATTGTCACAGGCCCTGAGAGGTGAGAAGGGGGACCAGGGTCCTCCAGGGTATCCTGGCACCCCTGGGTCCCCAGGACCTGCAGGACCACCTGGACCATCAAACTATGGACCACAGGGAGAGCCTGGTCCAAAGGGCACCCAAGGAGTTCCTGGAGCCCCTGGACCACCTGGAGAAGCCGGTTGGTTAGTTTTCTTTCCAGTCCTGTTTTCCTGTGGAGTGGGTCCATGGTTCCTAGAGCAAGTGAAGCTCCCCCAAGACTAATGAAGGCATAGAAACTTGCTTCTAATAAGTAGAATATGTCAATTCACAGACACTGGGAAAGAATATGTAGGATAGGTTAGAGAACATTCATTTTCCCTTTACTGAGTTCAGCTGAAATTTCCTGATAGTCTCTCTACATTTACTAATAGAAATATACGGGATGGGGAGCACCTGGCTGGCTCAGTTGGTGGAGTTTGAGACTCTTGATCTCGGGGTCATGAGTTTGAGCCCCATGCTGGGTGTAGAGATTACTTTAAAAAAAATCTTAAAAAAATATATGGAATGAGTGGAAGTCAGTTACAGTAAACAAAGGGGAGGCAGAAATCTATGAAATTGATCTTGAGAAGCCTCTTGTAAGTCTCAAGGGCCCACTAATGTTATTACAAATTTGTTCTTTTTGACCCATAATCCAATGGATGGTTTATAAATAAAGCTTCAAAATATCTAAGATAAATGAAGAAAGGCTTTCTGATAATAACTCTAAAGTCCCAGTAACTTTTGGGATCCACACGTACTGAACATAGTTGGTGGATTCAGGAGGGAGCTGATCCTCAATGTTAATCTGTGGTGGAGAACATGGCAGAAGATGAGAATTGCCATGTTACTGACAGTTTTTAACAAATAATGTCCCCCGATCATTTTTTACTTCTAACATCACTTTTTAAAGGGTTAGACCCAATAAAAGAATGGCCTCTAAATCTTTTTATGGTATCCTTCATTAGTAAAAAATGTGTAAGTGCCTCCCCCCAAGTATTGATATATTTTTTAAATTGTTTACATGCATTCCTGTCCATACATGTACATAAAGCTTCTTTTATGATTATATATGTAGGTATATATAACCTCTAATATATATATATATATATATATATATATATATATATAACCTCTAATATATATATATATATCTAATTTCTAGCAAAGGACTCCATTGTCGTAAAATATATTATCAAGCTTTTCCCATCACACTACTGTAAACTTATTTTTTTCCTATAAATATATGGATCATACAAATCACTAACATGTTTTTAATGTTGGCCCCCATAGCCACATTATCTCAAATATTTATGGGCTGAGTAGGCTTTATCTTCCCAATGACACATGAAGAACTTAATCAGAGGTTAAGATATGTGCCCAAGCCACACTTCATGTTTTGTTCAGCATACTGTACTTCCTTCTCATGCAAACTAGTGGCCCAATAAATAAATATCCTACCAAATAAATATTTGCCAATGTTTAAGATGAATTCCATATTATCGATTTTTTTTTTAGAACAGCCTCTCTTTCAATAGACCAGCATTGAGGTGGGCTATTAATTAAAACAAAGCTTAGGCAGTAGTCAGTGCTTATAAATATTCTTCAACTGAATAAGAAAGTTTCAGTGGGTTAGTCATCTTTATGCCAGTTTTGAAGCCTATGAAGCAGAGACTATTATTTTCTATTTCTGGGGATATGTTTGTAAACCCCTTATATCGCATTTGTTCCCTCTGAACCAAAAAAAGCTTCAATATGCACACCAATCTTATGATCACAAACTTTCTTAAGGTCCTAAGGGAGAATTCAGTATTTCGACACCAGTCCCAGGGCCCCCAGGACCTCCAGGGCCCCCTGGCCGTGCTGGCCCCCAAGGTCCACCTGGTGAGTATCCCCTCTGCCAAGTCTGGTGCATGACATCAAATGGCAGCCTGACTGTCCTCGAAAAATATTGTCCCCTATGTAAGGAAAAACTAGATTTGTTGGTGCCAAAAGAGAGCAGAGGCCAGAGTTCTGTTAGATAACAAGCCCACAGGCAGGGGACTTGTCATTGTTCTTTGGGATTATCCAAATTATTCCCATTGGTGCCTCTGATTCCAAAAAAGAAAAAAGAATCAATATAATTACTTAAAAGGAATTCGAGAGCAGAACAATCTCCATGGATTTTTGGTCGGGAAATAAGTGATGTTTGCCAGCAGTTAATCAAGCCAGTTCCTGCAGCTTCTTCATTTGAAAATGTAACTTCTTTGCCAATATGATCTAAAACTTAACTTTGCATGCATGATGGGAGTCTTATGTAGCTCAAGATATCTAGAATATTTCTTTGTAGGAATTAAATTCTATATTAAACATTATTTGTAGCTCCTAATGATTAGTCCATTGGATAAGAATGGAGAGGGAGGAAGAGTATACACTTGGGGTTATGTTAAAATTATCTCTTAATTTCCAAAAAGGCCTAGGATGACACAGAAACTTAGATTTTTGTTTCAAGACAAGATGAAGGGAAGTTTCTTATGTGGATGTGTGTGTGTTTTCAGGTGTCCCTGGATCCACAGGAAAATGTGGTGATCCAGGTCTTCCTGGGCCTGATGGTGAACCAGGAATTCCAGGAATCGGCTTCCCTGGACCCCCTGGACCTAAGGGTAAATGTACAAATTTTAAAACATAAATTTTGTTGTGGATATTTAGAAAATATAAATACAGGTCTGAATAACATAGAAAATATCCATAATGTGATATTTAAAATAATGTTTTCCACCCATCTTAAATGGGAAAAAAAAAATCTTACAATGATGTTACGCAAAAGGCAGAATTCACATATATTTACGTGTGTCATCTCAATTACGTTTTTTAAAATACATAGAAAAAGTTGAAAGAAAATTCACCAAAACGGTAGTAGTGGTTCTTTTTGAGTGTGGAGTTACGAGGAATTTTTTCTTTACTTCTTAATAAATGTCTGCACTTTTTACACTTACGCGTTTTTTTTTCACTTTATACATTTCTTTTATAATTAAAAAAGAACTATTAAATCACCAATAATTGGTTTTCCTATACACTCCCCTATAAATTACAGAAGTTACTTCCTTTGGGAACAAATGCTGTTTCCCATCGAAGGGAAATCACCCCAAAGAAATCCAGATGCTGAGAACTCAAACCATAACCTAACAAATACATCAGAGTCTTGTCCAGGATGACATACTAGCCATTTCAGTCCCTGGGCTGTTGCATAGATTTGCAAATTTTTATAATCTTTTTATGTTTGTTTCAATATTATTTAAAGCGACTGTCAAACTATAATCCACTTTTTGGTACTTGATCTCCTAGATTAATATGTCATCAGTGCTTATCATGCATTAGTCCTACACAAATACGGGAATATTGATCTCAGTTTATGAATATTTGAAATGGAAAATGTAATAGCTTCAAGAATGTCTTTGACTCCAATTTCTTGGATGTCTTCCCAATGATCTCATGCAGCCTGGCCCGTATTTTTGCCTACTCCGTCTTGGACCCTGCATTAAGAAATTGTATCCTTGTTTGTAACCCTACGGATTCACCCTCTGAAAGGAGACTGTAAATTATGGGGACCAGAAGTAGCCTAAGAAATCCTTGAAAGTTCAGACTCAAAATTTCCCAGTTGAACCTATAATAATCCCATAAACTAATGATGAATTAAAAACTGGTCGGGGAGCCTGGGTGGCTCAGTCGTTAAGTTGACGGCCTTTGGCTCAGGTCATGATCCCAGCGTTCTGGGATCAAGACCAGCATCGGGCTCCCTGCTCAGTGGGAAGCCTGCTTCTCCCACTTTCACTCTCCTCTGCTTGTGTTCCCTCTCTCGCTGTGTGTCTCTCTCTGTCAAATAAATAAATAAAATCTTTTAAAAACTGGTCAAATTAGAGGCACAAAAGAACTCTCTGAACGCAGCCCTTCTTCACCAGGGTTTCCTCTTGCGGACCACGGAACAGAACAAATGATATGTGTGATTCCTTTCTAAATTCTAATATAAATATATGAGAAAGAAATTAATCCATTATGTTCAATGGCATTAGAAAGTAATTCTCTTGAGAAAGGCTACCTAGGGCACCAGATATGCTTTATATCTTTTTTTTTTTTTAAAGATTTTATTTATTTATTTGACAGAGACAGAGACAGTGAGAGAGGGAACACAAGCAGGGGGAGTGGGAGAGGGAGAAGCAGACTTCCCATGGAGCAGGGAGCCCAATGCTGGTCTTGATCCCAGGACCCTGGGATCATGACCTGAGCCGAAGGCAGACGCTCAACGACTGAGCCACATGGGCGCCCCTGGATATGCTTTTTATCTTCGTCTGGGTCATGCTTAGATAGGTTTCTGGACATGCAAATATTCATTTGGCTGTATATTCTGTGTAAAATACACTCCAAAAGAAAAAGTCAGCCAAATGGTCAACTGGGATCAGTGGAATTGCTACATCAAAATTATAGCCATTCTAAACAACGAAATGGAGAAAGTCGTTTTTTCAATTGAGGCTCTGTTTTGGAATGGGATTTTTTTTTTTTTTTTTTTTTGCTAATGTAGCAGTTGGCTTTTTCATCATTCAGACTTTCATAAAAACATCTCTAGCAACTTGCCCCATAAAAACATAGATAAAATAACAGAGATACTGCTCTAAATCTTTTACTAAGCATACTCCTGCAACTTGTATTATGTTTCCTCTGTAGGAGAGCAAGGTTTTCCAGGAGCAAAAGGAGCATCGGGTTGTCCAGGAGAAATGGGGAAGCCCGGGTCACCTGGAGAACCGGGTCTCCCAGGAGCCAAGGTCTTCAAGAATTAAAACTCAGATGGATGTGTGGGGATGACGGGGGGCAATCACAATCATCCAGTTAGGATCCTCTGGGTATAGGAATTATCTATATATTGGTAGATGATGAAGATATTAAATACTTTTTAACGATTCTCTGAACCATCCCTCCCTTTTAGAAAGGAAAAGTGGTGTTAGAAGACAGTTTTGCCTCCCCGTTTCCTCCCTAATCTTTAGGAACATTCAGAGTATTTAAAATGGAAGGGCTCTAAAAAAGTGTGGATCACCGAGAAAAGCTGTCACAAATAGAGACATCTAGACTGTTTACAGACAATTTCAGTCTTCTGCAAAAGTGGCGGTTACAGAGCCTCAAGAATGGTCAAGCATAATTTTATAGAAACTCAGCAACTAGAGTTGAAAAGGAAAGAATGGTAGAATGGTGGTAACTGCAAGAAGGATTATTTTCAAGTCAATAGCCCTAAAGACCAGTCAATAGCCAAGAAAGAGTTGGAAGTGTTACATAGTGAAACTAATACAATTTCTGTGCCACAGGGAGAACCAGGACTAGCCATGCCTGGAGAACCAGGAACACCAGGTTTTCCAGGAGAAAGAGGCAGTTCTGGGGAAAATGGAGAAATTGGACTCCCTGGACCTCCAGGTCTCCCTGGGATTCCAGGAACTGGAGGGCTTGATGGACCCCAAGGTATAATAGCAAGTGTGATTACTTTTCTCCATAGTGAGTTCTGCTAAAATGCAGCAAGTTGAAGGCACTCTGGGACGAAGAATTCTTCTCAGACTTCTAGTTTAACAAATACAATCTGTGGGGTCTAATTATTTTTCCATTCAACATTGCTGCCCTCCCTTTGTTTTTTTCTTTTCTTCCTCCTTCCTTCCTTCTGTCCTTTATAATGAGTGTCCTTTATAAAAGGCATATCAGTGGTATTAAATATAGGTTCAATTTAGGGGGGGAGGTTACAGGAGAAGGATCGTGATAGCAGTACTAGGACCTTGGGTTTTGGCACCTGAATATATTCCTGGCCTCTATTTTGCAGGGGATCCAGGGAAGCCTGGACCACCTGGAGAAAAAGGACCCCCAGGAAGGTGCACAGAGGGCCCCAGGGGAGCCCAAGGACTTCCAGGATTAAATGGATTGGAAGGGCAACAAGGTAAGAGGAAGGCCTTGAAAACTAGTCATTATGTGGACAGGTGACATGGAACTCCTGCTCTGTGCTTTGCTGCTTAACATGGGAACTGTCCAACAACAAGACCTGACCACTGTTCAGTGGGAAATGTTATTTTAGCAATCTAAACCTTGTCATGGATTTGTTGCAATGAGTAGCACCTAGAGAGTAAGAGACCTGAAATTAATACAGTAAAATTGGTTTGTGTCTTGTATGCAAGACAATGTGAACACTGAAGATACATGTAAACTTACATTTGCACGTATATTTATATACATATAAACTCTCAGAGAAAGTTTTATCTTTACCTCCCTAAGTATATCAAGTGGTAAATAGATTATGTAGTTAATTGCTTCCCAAGCAACATAAAATAAGGGTGTGAAATAACTAAATGCTGCAGGCTAGGTGGCCTAGATTATGAGAAACTTACTCTATTTTGCTGGTTCTTCTCATTCAGATCTGTGAACTGAGAAAAATCCTTTAGAACTCAGCTAATGCCTATGGGCTGTCACATTGCTTTTATGTTCACAAACCAATTTTTGGTCAAGACATTAATGGCTGTAGTCGTGCTATTATTACTTCCAGAAGTATCTGGTGGCTCACGTCCACCTGTGCTTATGTCATGTATTCTGCAGGTGAAAGACTGAGCTACAGTCGTAAAGCGCAGTCCCAGGATGTGTCTGCAGGACTAAAGAATAGATCTAAATTCTACACTTTTATTACTGCATGAATCACTGAAACAGAATGTTAAAGCTAGAAGGGATCTTAGAAATTGTACAGGAGGGGATGTCAATCAATCAATCAATCAGATAAATGTGTGGTTTGTCCATAATCACACATATTTATAGCCATAAAAAATATATTTCTGGAGTTGGTGGGGAAGGCAGCTGTGTGTTCGTTCATTCATCCATCCATTCATTCATTCATTCATTCATTTATTCATATATAGGCAGAAGAGGTGAAACAGGGCCAAAGGGAGACCCAGGTATTCCAGGCTTGGATAGGTCAGGCTTTCCTGGAGAACCTGGACCACCAGGAATGCCAGGTCATCGAGGTGAAATGGGACCACCTGGTCAAAAAGGATATCCAGGAAATCCAGGATTTTTTGGACTACCAGGTATCCTTTTTTGTGATTTTATTTTTCTTCCATCTTCTTCCACATTTTCTTTTAAGGTGGCTGTATAAATTGGACATAGGCCTAGGCTTTCGACTCTACACTCCTCTTTCAGTTAATGTAAGTGTTTCCTACTGAATTACTTGCAAGGGGTTAGAGAGCAGCGCAATGGTGGTGGTGGGATGATCACATTTCACAATTACCCAGGGTATGACAACTTTGGCTGTGCAATCCTTTTTATATGTTTCTACTAAAGAACATTTGCTAGTATTTTCTTCAGAATTTTTGCATCTATATTTGTAAGGGATACTAGTCTGTCCTTTTCTTTGCTCATGGTATCTTTGCCTGATTTTGGTATCAGGGTAATGCTGGCCTTATAGAACAAGATGGAAAGTATTTCCTTCTTTTGTATTTTCTAGAAGAGTTAGTGAAGAATTGATATTCCTTAAACATTTGGTTGAATTCACCAGTGAAGTCATCTGAGTCTGGGCTTTTCTTTGTGGGAAGTCTTTACATTACCAATTCTATTTCTTGTTATAGGTCTACTCAGATCTTCTGTTTCTTCTTCAGTCAGTTATGCCTCTCTAGGAAGCTGTGCATTTTATCTAAGTCATCTGATTTGTGGGCATAGAGTTGTTCATAGTATTCTCTTATCATTCTTTTTATTTCATCACTATTTTTATAGTTTATATGTTTGGGAAGAATATTCTAGTAGTCTCCTCATGGCATAAAGACCTCACCGATCTCTCTCCTCCAGAGAAGAACCCAGAAGAACAACTTAATCTGCAAATTGTTCTTTCATTTATATATATATTTTTAAAGATCTTGTTTATTTATTTGAGAGAGAGACACAGTGAGAGAGGGAACACAAGCAGGGGGAGTGGGAGAGGGAGAAGCAGGCTTCCCGCCGAGCAGGGAGCCCGATGCGGGGCTCAATCCCAGGACCCTGGGATCATGACCTGAGCTGAAGGCAGACGCTTAACGACTGAGCCACCCAGGCACCCCGTTTCGTTTATATTATTAAGCTCCTACCACATGTCAGCACTGTACCAAGTCCTAGATACACATCAGAGGACAAGACTCCACCTCTGAACTGGGGGAGACCATAACAAATGCATTTAAAAACTAAGTTCAACTGCTTTGAGGAAAATAAAATAAGGGACTATAACAGAAAGTCGCTGGTCGAGGACTGGGAGGAGGAAGTGCTCCCAAACTTTAACATGTTCTCCTTTCATCTGCAAATGTGATTTGCTACCAATGACCTCCACATACATAATGTAATAAAGACCGTGTACTAACCTATCTCCCAGACAAATACAGTTATTATTCTATTTACAGAAACCATTCCTTCAACCCTCTTTAGAGGTATAAGTTATTTTATTTTATGGAATATGTCACTTCTCTCATTCTGCACAACCTGACCTGCTTTGTGTGAACTTGTTTCTACAGGTGAAAAAGGAATGATGGGGATGATGGGCTATCCGGGAAACACTGGCCCTCCTGGGCCCCCCGGGAACCCAGGCACCCCAGGACAGAGGGGTAAGTGACAGAGTATCTTCCCAGAATCAGGAGGCATGAGCAATGTTCTCTTATTTAGCAGCAAAATAAAATCTGTTTTATCCTTTGAGGGAAAAGTAGTTTCCCCGAGAGAACCATGTCTTTGATCTTGCTATTTTCTGTATTCCTTTTTCCATTTGAATGGAGCTGAATTTTCTCCCTGCCATTTTTGGCTTATCTGTCCTCTTTTGTTTTGTTTTATGGTAAGCACTGTCAACTTTTGAATCCTTACAAACTACTTCAAGAAGTAAGGAACTGATGTTGCTCCTTTTGTTTTCTAGGTAGCTTTGGAATTCCAGGAGCAAAGGGTGAGAAAGGGCCCCCAGGAACGAAGGGGGAAGAAGGAGATAAAGGACCTCGGGGGCCTTCTCAAATATCCAATTTACTGGGGGACAAAGGAGAACCAGGCCTCAAAGGTACAGCCTTCTTCTGTTTAGAATCACAACATCGGGGCTGGTTCTGAGACTAAGAATTATCCAAGAAAATCTCTGTAGTTGACAAATGAGGACAGTGAGAGCTGGTGTTTCACGTCCTGCCCACCGTCACAAAGCCAGCTGGTGGCCCCAGCCTGGATGAAAACTGGGTCTTCTATGCCTTGCACAATAATCTGTTGCCTCCTCAATGCATGACTTTTTACTTCTATGATAATTCTACGTTAATTCTGCATTTGGTCCGCTGTATTTAAATGGCTACTAGTCCATTTTATTTTATTTTTTTAAAGATCTTATTTATTTATTTGACAGAGAGAGACACAGCCGGAGAGGGAATACAAACGGGGGGTGGGGGGGTGGGGGAGAAGCAGGCTTCCTGCAGAGCAGGGAGCCGAAGGCAGGCACTTAAGGACTGAGCCACTCAGGCGCCCCAGGCCACTAATTGTTAAAATGTTCATTTAAAGTGTAAATATTATCATCGCTAGTGTTATTTAAGAACCAACTTGTGCCAGGCACTGTGCTAATGCTTTATACGTATTATCTCATTTAATCCTCTTTTGGAAAAGAGCCCACATCTGCCCATGCTCTTAACAAATATGTTACGTGGTATTACACTAACATGTCATCAAGTTTAATCAGGATGTAGAGAAGTCTGGTAAAATTCTAACCTGTGTTCCCTCATACATGGTTTTTAACTTTAGGATTTGCTGGAAGGCCTGGTGAGAAAGGAAACAGAGGCATTCCAGGGTTCCCAGGTTTAAAAGGACTGGAAGGACCACCTGGACCACCAGGTCCACCAGGTATAGCTGATTCTCTGATAGAAATCTCAGGCTCTAGGAGTGGTGGGGGGGTGGTGGGAGGGATGGGGTGGCTGGATGATAGACATTAGGAGTGTATGTGCTATGGTGAGCGCTGTGAATTGTGCAGGAGGGTAAGAATGAAGGGGGGGAAATCGGAGGGGGAGATGAACCATGAGAGACTATGGACTCTGAGAAACAAACTGAGGGTTCTAGAGGGGAAAGGGGTGGGAGGATGGGTTAGCCTGGTGATGGGTATTAAAGAGGGCACGTTCTGCATGAGCACTGGGTGTTATACGCAAACAATGAATCATGGAACACTATATCAAAAACTAATGATGTAATGTATGCTGATTAACATAACATAATAATAATTTAAAGAAAAAAAGAAATCTCAGGCTCTAAGTGTTCCCAGATCTAAATGTAGCCAAAATGTGTCTCTTGACTTACTGTGTTGAATATGAATTTTGCTCGCACAGTGTTCCAACAGACATTTGCTTCGAAATTAAATCCAAATTAAGCTGTTTATAGTCAGCCTATATTAACTAAAAAAATATTAACTTGCACAAAGTTCCATTTTTGTACTATGAATGTTATTTTGACACTGCTGATATGTATTATGAAATACACATACTATAGTTTATCACGATATTACATATCAGAGAAGAAAATCAGATAACGATTTAGAGGTTTTCAGATCTGCCTTTTTCTTTTTTAAACAAGCTATTGATTTTGCAAAGAAAATTTTCAAACTGAATTAACATAGCCCCTTCTTCTCTATGACCACATTGGTGACAAAATATGTTACGTGGGCAATCATATTTCAGTATTGCATTTCGAAATCTATTGTTATATGGTGGCAGGAGCCCCCTCTTGTCTGCTGGTATTGGTCCTGGGATGACTGTGATGTTTGAAATCCAAGAATCTAACTTTCTCTAATTTTACCTTGTCCGGGTCCTCAGTCCCCTCCTCATTTGGAGGCAAAAAGGCACTACACTAGCACTTAAACTAGCTGGTTTGGCTGCTCAGAATTCATTCATTCATGCAAGCAACAAATATTTATTGAGCACCTACACTGTCCAGAACCGTGCAGGGCATGTGACTATTTATTTGTTCTCAAGGCCTCAGGGGAGGTCCAGGCAGCACTGGGAATCCTGGAGAACCAGGACTGCATGGCGGGCCAGGAAGAATGGGGAACATGGGGGTGCCAGGTAAGGTATAAGATCCTATTATGAGCTTAAAGCTCATGATGGCTCTCAATTCTAAATTTTCTGTATTGCTTGTTGTTTTGGTTTTCCACTTGGCAGAAAGTTGGTGTAAAACTAGATTTACTTTTAGACAATGTACTGTGTGCCCTTAGAACACAAGTGAGAACAAAATAGTCATATTGTGTAAAAATCATCCATTATAACTCCCCGATGCATTCGTGATTCTGAAAAGCCAGCTTCTTAGGAGAAAGGTGGTTTGTGCAAAAGTTAGAAGTAGAATGCTTCAAGATCCCTGTGTTGCCCCATCTTACCTGACTTCTTTCCTAATTTCAGGTCCTAAAGGACACAGGGGAACTTCGGGACTACCAGGTTTAACTGGAAGAACGGGTCTCCCAGGTGTTCACGGTCTCCGAGGAGATAAGGGAGAGCCAGGTTATTCGGCAGATACAAGGCCGGGACCACCAGGACCAAAGGTATACTGGCCACTGAAGTAGTTATGTTTTGGTGGTGGAGTGAGTCTCAGCAAGTATCAGCAAGTGTCTGGACTCAGTGTGGGCAAAGGACATTGGCAATACCTCTGCGTTTTCAGGCAACTACTTGGGTTTTTTACCCTCTTTCCACAGCTCAGAATGCCTACCATATAGCTATCAGCTTATGAGCTTATCCCTCCTGTTTCAATCCCCTAGGAATGGCTCATCACTGTCCCTGCACTTGATGTGTACTGTCTTTGCATTTTGCACTGGTTCCCACAAATACCGTTGCCATCCCGTGCCTGGCCCCGATCACGGTGCTGGTACACAGCAGACACGTCATACGCATTGCTAACTAAGTAACCGAATAACTAAATGCAAGCAAACATAGTTCATACTCAATTATGATCACATATCCTGCTTATATGAGGATTTTAAAGGTGTTTGACTGACTTTAAGGGAGATCCAGGATTGCCAGGTGACATGGGAAGGAAAGGAGAAAGAGGGCTACCTGGCACCCCTGGACATTCGGGGCCTACTGGAACTGAGGGAGCCCCTGGAAATCCCGGAAGTCCCGGCCATCCAGGTGAGCGAGGGCTTTATAACTCTGAAAGCCAGAAGCATGACACTTAGCATAGCCCTTACCTCCTGGAATCAGCTCTGTGAACAGGAAGCTATTTAGGTTTTTGTACTACAATTGCTTTCATTCAACTTTGATTTTCAAATTCTTAGACACTAAGGAACAGTAAATTAATCGGGGGGGGGGGGCAATTTTTACTGATCAGCCAGTTTGGTGGGCTGACCTCTAAAATCCAGATCCTGTACAGGGCACCTGGCTGGCTCAGTTAGTAGAGCATCTAACTCTTGATCTTAGGGTGGTGAGTTCAAGCCCCATGTTGGGTGTGGAGCCTACTTAAAACAAACAACAACAACAACAACAACAACAAAACCTGATCCTATAAACAAAACTTAAATGCTGTCTCAAAGAATTCAGCCTAAAAACACAAAATGTTAGTTCATTGTCCAATCTCATGATATTTGTATTAGTTTTCTAGGGCTTCCATAACAACACAGACTGGGTGGCTAAAATAAGAGAAATTTATGTTCTCAAAGCTCTGGAGGCTGGGAGTCCGAGATCAAGGTGTCAGCAGGGTTGGTCTCTTCCAAGGCCTCTCTCCTGGGCTTGTATTGGGCATCGTCTTGCTGTGTCTTCACATGGTCTTCTCTGTGTGTCTGTGTCCTTATCAATTCTTACGAGGACACCAGGCATATGGGATCAGGGCCCACCCCAATGACCTCCTTTTAACTTAATTGCTTTTTTAAAGACCCTATCTCCAAATACAGTGATATTCTGAGGTACTGGGGTTAGAATTCAACATGTGAATTGGGGGGGGCAACACAATTAATCCGTAACAGTGTTGCAATTTTTTTTCTGGTCTGTTTCCAGGTTGAGCGTTGGCCTTCTTAGTTGCTTATCATTTGAGTTTTTTTGTTTTGTTTTATTAAAAACAACTGCCAAGCTACTGGGTTACAGCTTACTTGAAGATACTATTTAAATGATCTTTTCAAATACTGAAAGGTTCAGTGGATTTGCTGTTAACTCCCAATTAAAGTAACAGATCAGATACTGAGTAATCCATGTGGGAGGTGCACACACACCTTTGAAAGGGATTCGACACATCTCTGCTGTGCTTCTGTGGAGAAACTGTAGCCGGGACAAAGCCTGAGGGCCAGTGTGAGCACGGGGGGTGTAAGAACTGACCACTTCAGCCATCATCGTAACCATTCATCTTGTGCTGTTCTCCTTCCTTCTCGTCTCTCTTCATTTATAGGCAAGCCGGGCCCTGATGGTGATTTGGGGTTAAAAGGCATCAAAGGCTTCCCTGGTTCTCCAGGAGTCAAAGGCCCTCCAGGTTCCATTTTTGTACTTTTGTCTATTTCCCCTTCACAAGGGAGGCACATTTTCTCCTGAGGTTGGAATCTCTGTATACCTACCTATCCACTGCCCTTTAGAAGGTAGCTTCCAGTTACTTGGTCCCTGGACAAAAATGCAAAAACTGTGAGCTTAGATATTTATACCTATCTAACTCAAAGATCTGCCAACCCACACATTCTCACGTGATAATCCTCATGATAGTATTATTCTGTTCATAGTTTTCACTGTGAATTGAGCATCACATAACCACAGTTCTGGGAAAGGAGCACCTTTAACAGAATTCAACACATGACGTTTCTTTTCTCAGGACCTCCAGGATTGCTAGGATCTCCTGGACCAATGGGTATGAGAGGCAGCCAGGGACATGATGGAATTCCTGGTCCAGCGGGAGAAAAAGGAGAAACAGGTACTACTTGCTCATTAGCTCAGATCCCCTGGCTTTCTTTTCCATTGAATGGTTAGCGGCAGCGTAATTCTTGACGGCTCTAGAGATTCTTCTCCCACAGAACTGATGATCTTTAATGTCCAGATGTGTGGTAATTAAACTGCCTTCTAGTGCCAAAGTGAAACTGACCAAGCGGCATAGATGAAATTACCCACATATAAAATATTAACACACCAAAATTATCTCTTTCAGGTTTGCTGGGGGCACATCCAGGCCCGAGAGGGAGCCCTGGTGCTCCAGGTGAGAAGTGCTTCCTCCCTGACCCTGGCGATAGCTTCAAGAACAGAAGCTAATAGAAGTGCCTGATATATCAAATAAACTCCACATATTGAATGAAAGAAGTCCCAGTGGGAATATAGGATATTTATATTCTTGGCTGTTCAAGTAAAAATGCTTAAAAATTATTGCCATCATAACAGAGTGAGTGAATTAGAATTAGAAATGGGGATCCAGTTTTGGAATTTCCTTCTACTGAAAGTCTTTAAAAATCAAAAGATTTGCTATGTGTTCCTTCGTTGTGGTTGTTGGCATGGTTTAAATGTACCGCCTCCTAAAAGGGTAGAGGAGGCGTAGCTGGCTTCTCCAGGAGCTTCCCTCCCTGCTATTCTGAGGAGGGAGGGCAGTAAAAGCAGCCATACCACGAATTCTTTCCCAGCTTGTGGGAATGGGGGTGACGCCCACCCCCAGAGCCAGCTCGTGGTTCATGCTACTTTTTTTTTTTTAATTTATTTGAGAGAGAGCACATGAGAGGGGGTAGGGTCAGAGGGAGAAGCAGACTCCCTGCTGAGCAGAGAGCTCGATGCGGGACTCCATCCTGGGACTCCAGGATCATGACCTGAGCCGAAGGCAGTCGCTTAACTGAGCCACCCAGGCGCCCCCATGCTACTTTTTATCAAGGGCTACCAATAAGTCCCTCAACACCAAACATGGCAGTTTACCAAACATGTCATTCAAAGGATATACAGGTTTTTAGGCTGCCAGACTGTGGGTCTGGATTTCTCATGCCAGTGTTTGACAAGATAAGCAGCTTCTTCAAACTTTTTCCGTGTCGTAGAGAAACCTGCCATAAGAAATATTAGATTGTTTGCACCTTCTATTGACCCTTCCCAGATGTGGGTGCTGGGGAGAGGAGTACGTTATTAGCAGAAAGGGCTCTACTTAACGAAGACCTCAGGGTACTGAGGCTTACAGGAACCAGCAAGGAGTAGCTAGGTGCTACAGAGAAGCTCAGAGGGGCAGGAACTGCCTCTTGACCTACCAGCTCAACTGCGCAAAGTCTACAAGAGCTGTCCTTTTTCATTTGTTTCTTTTTTTTTTTTTAAAGATTTTATTTATTTATTTGAGAGAGAGAATGAGAGAGAGCACATGAGAAGGGGGAGGGTCAGAGGGAGAAGCAGACCCCCTGCTGAGCAGGGAGCCTGATGCGGGACTCGATCCCGGGACTCCAGGATCATGACCTGAGCCGAAGGCAGTCGCTTAACCAACTGAGCCACCCAGGCGCCCTCATTTGTTTCTTGATAATGACATAGTCTCTTTGGCTGAGCTCAATGTCCTCAAACCTCCCACACTCCCCCTTCCCCTAAGAGCATAAAGGCTTCTCCCAAGTCATAGATCAGTTTTAGAAATATGGTCAAAAGGAGAGTTTCTGGCCTATTTTCCTAGGCTAGGCTCAGAGTTTAACCATTTGGAATGAGAACACTTTGGCATCTATTTGGAAATAAAATTTGATGTAAAATGATCATACCTTAAGTAAAAAGGCCTTAAAAACATAACAACTAGCCTAATTATATAAGTAAATGATTATGCACCTCAATCCCCGTAGGATAACTAAATGTGGAGAAAAGTTCATTGAGACTTGGAAGGTATGAATCATTTTAATTAGTTTTAATTCTCCCAAATGCTAAAAAGAAATCATATTGTAAACAAGGAAGCATCTTCATGGGCATGGACTATATAACCTAAGACTGCATCTTGGTGCCTCCGACCATTGCCAGACCCTATCGAACAAATACAGCATTTCAGAGCTCGAAGTGAGCTGAAATCATCTACCCCCCCCGTCTTCAAAAAGCACAAATTATAGGCATAAAAGAGCTAAAGAACATGATAGAAAAAGTCTAGATATTCAATATTCATCCATTTCATCTCATCATTGCTCTTTTTTTTAAGATTTTATTTATTTATTTGAGAGAGAGAGACAGAGATAGCAGAGACAGCAAGAGAGCATGAGCAGGGAGGAGAGGGAGAAGCAGGGAGGAGAGGAAGAAGCGGGGAGGAGAGGGAGAAGCAGGCTCCCCGCTGAGCAGGGAGCCTGACTCTGGCTCGATCCCAGGACCCTAGGATCATGACCTGAGCAGAAGGTGGATGCTTAACTGACTGAGCCACCCAGGCGCCCTGATCACTCTGTCTTCCTGCACAATAACTTCCCAAGCCTTTCCCTGTGCTAGGAGCCTCACCGTCACTTTCCGTTCTTCTCCTTCCTGTCTGTCTCCTACAAGTGTGCCATTCACTATTTCTAGAATAACCCAGAGATAGGAAAGAGGAGGGAGTGATTATTTTCAGTTCATACAACATTTCCCATTCATGAACATCAAAGCACAATTTCCTTGAAGGTTCTCCAAGATGAAAAATACTAGTAATTAAGTGGTGACCCCTTGGGTATCCTCTTTGGTAAATCCAAACCTCCAGCCACATTTGTCCCTTCCAGACTAGTGTTTGTGTTCTGGGGGGAGAAGCAACCAGCGGACAGAATAGGGATCTCAATTTTGTTGCTCCTTTGGGTGTAGCTGGGTGCTTCTTCAAATGCGCACATCAGTATCGGGAGGTTTGGCTCTGAATGCTCTCTTGAATTGTCAGTGATTAAATAATGGCATTATAATTAAAGTTCATCAGATAATAATTGGAGCATATAGTTACAGAACACTTTGGAGCTTACACTACACTTTTCCATCTGTATATCATCTCACTTGACCTTTAAAGACTGAGCTACATCAGGTATTAACCATCATTTTTTAAAATAAGAAAAGTGACACATACAACAGTAAGGTGACTTTGCCAAAATCAAAGAACTGAACTAAGGCAGAAATAAGCCTCGACTCACTTCCTGGTAGACCTATAGTTCTTTTACCAGCCTCTATTAAAAAATATTTTGTGAATCTTTAAGCACAGTGTCTCTGCATTACCAGAGTTACCCCTAAACTGTAACTCCAAGTATAAGGGCATTACAGAAACTTACCAAACCATTTTCTTTGCAGGAGCCAAAGGAGACAGGGGCGCCCCGGGCTTACCTGGCCTCCCGGGCAGGAAAGGGGCAGTGGGAGATGCGGGGCCACAGGGATCCACTGGCGTGACAGGACTCCCAGGGCCACCAGGTGTTCCTGGCACGATCATCCCTGGCCAGAAAGGAAATCGAGGCCCACCAGGCCTCAGAGGAAATCCAGGTAGAGGGTCTACTTTTATCTAAGATAAAGAATGAAAAGAGCGTTTGACAACAGAAGCTTTCAACCTTCCGCTGGTGCGACCTCGTTGCTTCTTTTTCCCTCTGCTCTTCACCTTCTCCCACCCACTCGCTCTCATTCTCGCATAGAAAGCAGCAAACTGCTGCTGGTGGTCTTGTTGTTTTTATTTTAATTCCAGTTAGTTACATACAATGTAATATTAGTTTCAGGTGTACAACATTGATTTAACACTTCCGTATAACACCCAGTGCTCATCAAAGCTGTTGGTGGTGTTGAGGCTTTTGGAAAATTAGTAAATACCAAAGTAACAAGCCTAAAAGAGTGAGAGAGATGTATCCCATCACCAAGATTTATGGAGTTGCTACTATGTGTTGAGGACTGTGCTGGGTGCAGATCCTGCTGTAACAGACCTTCAGGAGGGAGAAACAGTTCCTGCCTTGAGCCAGGTGCTTCCCTGGCATTATCTCATTCAGTCTTTACCACAAGCCCATCACACTCCTCAACACAAAGAACGTGCGGGGTAACAACAGGTGCAGAGTTTGCCTGTCATCCAAAAACATCACCCACAGAACCGGCCACGCTCCAGGACAGGCAATACTGACAGGCCCTTTGTAAATTCAGGTGAGACTGGTCCTCCGGGACCTCCAGGGAGCCGCGTAAGAGGCATCAAAGGAGACAAGGGACTCCTGGGCGAGCCTGGCCCCAGGGGTCTGCCCGGAACTGTAGGAGCCGAGGGGCCACCGGGTCCGCCGGTAAGTGTGGGAAATTATTTTGACTTCTTATATTCTTCTACATCAATTGCCAGGAGCAGATGTACCCAGAGGCAAAAAAAAAAAAAAAAAAAAAGATTACCATTTGTGTTGCTTCTGTGCACCTAAGGAAGAGTCGGAAGGTTCAAAGAATCTTAAGAGTTGGACAGATTTGGCCTCTAGAAGTTTGATTTGTAGGGGACCCTTTTTTTTTTTTAAGATTTTATTTATTTGACAAGCAGGGGGAGCAGGAGAGGGAGAAGCAGTCCCTGCCTGATGCGGGGCTTGATCCCAGGACCCTGGGATCATGACCTGAGCCAAGGGCAGACGCCTAACCGACTGACCCACCCAGGCGCCCCAGGGGACTCTTTTCTATGTCATTCCTGACTTTTTCTTGTTTAGACACTGAACAATTCCAGTAATGGAATCTTTAAAAAAACACCTAAGAGTTTGGGGTCACTCTAGAGGACAACACAATTTTTCTCTATTAATAATGCTTTCAAAGTTATCTGAGCTATCCCCTGAATGTCTATTTACTTTTTCCTGTTGACATACCTTCCAGTGTTTGTAAATAGCTGCCACTTCCTTCCAGTATTTTTCTCCCCTAATAAATACCTGTGTTTTTCAAATTCAGTTTAACCCTTCATCAACCCTGCCTCTATTCTGAATATATCCTAGTTGGTCAATATCTCCCTTAAAAACACAGCCCCTGAGACAAGCACCCCCTGGGAGTAAGAACTCAGTTCCCCCATGGAGTGGTTAAAGGAGGGAAGAGTCTCACCACCTTGAACATCATCATTTTATAATCCAACCTAAAATTCCACTTGGGCTGTTCAGCTCCCATGTCACCACATTGTCACTACACAGTGAGCTTCTGGTCAGCCAGAGCCTGTGTGTATACATGTGTGTGTGTGTGTGTGTCTGTCTGTCTGTCTGCCTCTTCCTCATAAATGGCTTCTAAGTTTCCTCCATTACTTTTAGTTCTTGTCTGTTTATTTGTGACTGGGGTGCAGAAATTTCACATTTATTTTTTATAGTTGTCATTGTGTTCAGTTAGGCTTATGCTCCCAGCCTATGAAATTCTCTGAATTTCTCACCAGACACCCCTGTTTACGTCAAATTCTGGGAGACTGATGAGGAAGTCAGAGTTATGTCATAGACGCTCTGTGTTTTCATCAGTGATGCGCAATGAGGTCCTTTAACATGGTGGCGTGTCAGGAATCATGTTCTCTTGAGTTCTCTTGGTATTTGGTTTCCAGAATCTACCTTTTTAAGACTTTTTTTTAAATGAAATATTTGCCCAGTCTTTGGTATCTCTTATGTTCTCCATGATTCTTTGAAAGTGGCAAACACTGATCCTATAATCACAGGGAAAGTCCTTCCAAGGACACTGGGCAGTGGAAAGTATTGTTTGGAAATGTGATCTCTCTTAAGTCCACTGGGCTTCGACATTTGCACTTGAAAGGTAATTCTTCCTGAAGGATGTCTAAACTGGCTCTGTGCCCTGAACAACCCTCTCCTTGCATGGAGCTGCTCCCTCCTTACCCAAGGGCTGGGCCTGCCACCAGGCCCTCCTTCCTGGTAACATGTGCCTCGGGAGAATAGGCCAGACCTCAGGAGCCTGAGAGTCCTTGACCAGGTGGTTCTATTTTCTCTCTCTTCTTTTTTCACCTCACAACACCGTATTCAAGCATTAGGACTATTCCTTCTTTTGTCTTCTTGTTCCAAAGACAGTTGGCTCAGAGGCCAGTTTTGCTATTCTTGGCATTTTGAATGACCTTCAGTTCATTGTTTCCAAGTAACAGTATCCTGTCTCAACTCATATGGACAGTGTAATAGTAGATTTAACTTACATTCTGACATGTAGCTCCTTTCTGAAGCTCTGCTCCCTTCCCCCTTCTCCTGTGGGCTTGCTTGAGTATTCCATGGCTACAAGGGCATCTAGTGTGGGCCTCATAAAGAGGGAGCATCTCCTCCTGGTCAGATCACTGTATCCTTGCCAAAAGTGCATGTCAGAGCTCCCCTGACAATCCCTTCATCCCAATCCCTAGACACTTGACTTGTCTACCACTCTGACCAGGAGTAATTTATAACTCTGCCAGCTTAGAATTAGAACAATGGTGGGTGCCACAATTCAATATTGGCCCTGCTGTGTTTGCAAAAATTACAAAGAAAAATTATAATTTTCATTCTGGCAGTCCAGTGCCTGCTCTTCCTGAAAGATCTCCAAATATTGGGCAGTTCCAATTAGGATATAGCACATTCAATTGTAATAAATACTCATACAACAGACATTAATATCCAGAAGTTGTGTTTCCTCTTGAGGGTAAGGACAGGTTTGCTTCTGTTTTATTGACAATGCTAAGGAGAGGTCTAGGTGGTGGAAGAGCTATAGGGGGATTGGATGGATGGGAAGGTAAAAATGATGTCGGTCAATTCAGCTCATTCTGACCCAACATAATATTATATACTATTCACTTAAAAAAAAAAAAAGAAAAGAACAGCAGTGACTATTGTGATTTTTAAAATTTGTCTCTGGTTCTGCTCCCTTTTATCTGAAATACAGGGAGCACCAGGAAGCCCAGGTCTGCCAGGGCTCAGAGGTGATCCTGGATTCCATGGATTTCCAGGTGTGAAAGGTACTGTCTTTGTGCACTACCCTTTGGATGCAAAGACAATGATTTTGATTTATATTTTAGGGCATGGAAATGTTTACTGAACAGCTCAAGTCACCACGGACAGCTGGGGTGCAAACAGGACCTCAGTTATGAGTGAAGAAGGAAGACCACCAGCACCCAACCCCAGGGGTCTTAATAATTAAATCCATACCTTAAGAATAGAAACTATAAAAAAAATAGTTTAAAGTGGTTACCTTTGAGAATACTGATGTATGTTGGATTGGGGATGGAGAACTACATCAATATCAATAGTATTGCTTTGAATTTGCTTATTTTAACTTGTGTATGTGTTATAATTTTAAAAAGCTGAAAATCTAAATGAATATTTACTCAACTGTGAATGGGGGAGGGTGAGTAAATTTTTATATGAAGATTTAAATATTTGTTTAGGCACATGTATTAATGTTTTAATTGGAAGAGAACTGTAATTTGGGGGGTAAGTTTAAAATTTTCATGCACATAAATTTAAACTTCAGGTTTCAGAAAATAATTCTCAAGTCTTCCATAAGGATGCTATGACTTTAAATAAGGTTTTGAATATTGTATTTGTTGTCTTCACTGATTAAATCCTCTGGCATTGTTTTTGTCAGCAGGGAATCTATTACCATAGACTATGCAGGTACTAAATAGTGAATGTGGAGCCAAAGGGAACAAAGCCACATTTTCACAAAGGAAAACCTTTTCCAGGTCCAAGAGAGGACAAGGTATAGAGTTCAAAGAGAGCCTTCTCAATGCTTTCAACTGCTGACTCTTCAAGGAGCAAGTTAGTTAAGAATAAATCAAAGCAATTGATTCTGAGGAGTCCCACTAGACATTGTGGGGAAGGGTGAACACTGGCAGGCAGCCTGAGAAATGTGCCCCACCTGTCACTCCCTACCTCTCAGAACAGAAATATCTAAGATTGGGAAAGATTATATAAAGGCTTGGGGTCCTGGATCCAGATGTGCCTCACATTTCTGCCCTCAGCCAGGAGTCTGCTTCTCCCTCTCCCTCTCCCTCTGCCCCTCCCTTTCTCCCTGCCCCTCCCCCTCCCCCTGTCCTTCTCTCCTCTCAAATAAAGAAAATCTTTTTAAAAAATTATATAAAGGCTTCACTAGAGAAAAACATTCCGGTGAAATATTTAGAGGTATTTAGATGGGAGATTCATAAAATCAGTTCTTTTGAAATATGTCCCATGAAACACCTACAGTTTTTCTTAGATTTCAGAATAACACTATCTATCAGCTGGCACTACTGACAAGTTTGTACTTTATTTGTAAATTTTTAATCCCCAAAAGGAAAAATGGTTAGGCTTCTTCTGATGTATATAAATATGGACATCTTCCTTAAGTTCTGATACCAAGTGGATAGAGTGTAGTTTCCAGTTAACTTTTGGTACTATAATTATTTTATTGTATTTCTTCTGCTTTTTAAAAAATATTTTATTTATTTGAAAGAGAGAGAGCACAAGCAGGGGGAGGGGCGAAGGGAGAGGGAGAGGAAGAGGGAGAAGCAGACTCCCAACTGAATGGGGAGCCTGACGACGCAGGGCTAGGTCCCAGGACCCAGGACCCAGGATCATGACCTGAGCCAAAGTCAGGCACTTGACCGAATGAGTCACCCAGGGACCCCTTGTACTTCTTCTGTGAATACCATATTTAGTATTAAAGTCTTTCTAAGTGATCAGATGTAATAGCTACAATATTTCAAGATTTTTAAAAAGAGAGTATTTCTCCAAATCAGTGATTCTTGGTAAACTTTTATTCCTGTCAAAGACTATTTGGGAGAGAAATCGTACCATTTGGAAAGTTTACATGAAAGCAGATATTCTATATGTGTTCATGAGAGTTCCTAACATAACAGGCTCTTAGTAAATCTAGAGTAATAAGCCAAGAAAACAGATGACTATAACAATCGACATAAGCACTAAAAGAGGTTTTAATGTCACTTCATACTCTAAGTCAAATATTAAATTGAATTGGTTTCTGGACTTAAAAAGTGAACTCTTAGGAATTCTTCTCCTTCTATACTAAACTACAAGATCTTAATGCCAACTTCTAGAGTATATTTTTTAATAGACATTAAACATGACTGACTGAGTCCAAATAAAATGCCAAAAGTTGTAGCCAGCATCACAGTGCCCAGCACCTCTAGTCCTAACTTCCAGTGTCTATTCTTCCGGTTGATCATAAACCTGAAGAGCTAGGGAACCCATTGTTCTAAATGAAATCAAATCACCTTTTTTTTTTTTTAAGGGGAGAAGGGTAATCCAGGATTTCTAGGACCAGCTGGACCTCCAGGGCAAATTGGGCCAAAAGGACCACCCGGTAAATATTATTTCCTTAGTGTTGCTCTTCATGAATAAAAGGTAACTCATCAGTGAAGTCATCATTCTCTTATGTTCATATCAATAGGTGTACGTGGAGACCCTGGCACTGTCAAGATCATCTCCCTTCCAGGAAGCCCAGGGCCACCTGGCCGTGCTGGAGGACCAGGAATGCAAGGAGAACCTGGGCCACCAGGGCCACCAGGAATTCTAGGTGTGGCACTGGCAGCATTGACATGGATTACTAGGAAGGGGTCAAACTAAAATACCTGCAAAGTGCTTTGGAAGCAAGCAATACAACTTCACAGAAAATGTTACACGTTACAGTGTTTTTTACAATCAGTTTTAGGATTGAACTTACTTTACTCTTGACCAGCAGATAAAAGATCTTTTGAATCTACTGAAAACTGTTGCGTATAGTATAAGCTTGAGGAAATAGACTTTAGGGCACTTACAGGTGTTTTTTATTAAGCTCAAGTATTATGTCTGTCTTCTCTGACACTCTCAGTCTTAGAGCTCTATTTTGAAATGATTGCCTGAATAAACCTGAGTTCTGTGTATGTACACTTTTCTCACACTTTGTACAGCACTTGGAAGAGCAGTAAATGTAAATGTATGCTTAATCTTATGAAATCTTTTCCAAGTATTGGTTTATGGAAACTGAACTAACCCCCTGTTTGGGGTTAGCACACTGTAATAGCCTTCTGAGCAGAATGGTTATGTTTAAGTTTGCCTGAATTACCTGGGATATAAAAGAGATATTACTTTGATCAGTACAAGGGCATAGCAAATTCTGGAACAGCGTCAATCAAAATGGCAGCACAATTTTAAACTGCTGTTATTTCGTATGTTCCTAGTTTGTTTTTGAGGGTATAACAAGCTGGATGACCAACTGTCCCAGTTTGTCCGCAGCTCAGTTTGTAGGACTTCCATTGCTGAAACTGGGGAAGCCCCAGGGAAACTGGGATGGTTGGCTACCCTACGTTTTATCTTGTATGAACCATTCAACACAGTGTTGTTTTTTTGCCTAGGACCCTGCGGGCCAAGAGGTAAACCAGGCAAGGATGGAATACCAGGAACTCCTGGGCCAATTGGAGAAAAAGGAAACAAAGGTTGTAAAGGAGAGCAAGGTAAATATACAGCTGGTTTGTTCTCTTCACTGAATGAATGCTGTTTCAATATACAGAGAAGTCTTGTTTGAATACATGACTCTAAGAGTCATCTAGGTCTTTCAGTTTGTGTTGTTCACGTTGAAAGCCAGGAACAAAATGTTCATTTGGAAGAAGATGAAAAACGAAGAGTTACTGGAATACACCATTCTTCCTATCTCTTATCTGGGCACATGTACTCCAAATTTTTAGCCTGGGGACAAGTAGACCTAATAAAGCATGAATTCTATATTTGGAAAGGTCAGTACTGTTTTTAATTATTTATAGGAGTACTTATTTAATAATATCTACTTATAGGAGTGGCACATAAGTACAGAGTTCGAAAAAATATTATCTTGATGTGAATAGAAGAGCAACTTTGTATCTTTATCTAGGAAAGCCATCTTTGAACTATGCTATGCCATTTGTGAATATTGAATGACTGAACAGCTCATGTGTTACAATGAAAAAGGTCCTCTTAAATATTTTAGGGTGGAGGTAAGGGTGCTGAACTTCGGGGGCAAATATGTGGGGCCTGCTGGGAACAGGATGCCGAAAATGACAAATATGTCTAGAAGGCTATGGTCGAAGGCCATTTTTGCTGGCTATACACAGGGTGTCCAGAACCAGAGGAAGCACACAGCTCTTCTTAAAATTGAAGGTGTTTATGCTGGAGATGAAACTAAATTCTATTTAGGCAAGAGATGTGCTTGCTTATGTGTACAAAGCAAAGAACAACACAGTGACCTGGTGGCAAACTGAACAAAACCAGAGTAACCTGGGGAAAAGTAACTCATGCTCCTGCTTCTGCCAAATTCCAAAGCAACCATCCTGCTAAAGCCACTGACCACAGAATCCGTGTGATGCTGTACCCCCCAAGGATTTAACTTACTGAAAAATAAAGGTGTAGATTTGCTCTCCTGTAAAAAAAAATTTAGTCTGAACATAAGCTATATATGTCAATTTGATATACCTGGATCAAAATCTACCTTCTGCAGAAGTTTCAAAAGCACTTTCTAGAAAATACCCACATATCCAAAACTTATTTTTTAGAAATGCTGATTTTGTTAAATAAAAAAAATTCTAAATGCAATTTTCCAATTTATTGACATATGACCATATCCACTATAATAAAACTGTAAAGACTAGAGACTTAAATCTTTAAAAATTCAAATACAATGCTAATAATATTAATTATGATATTAATTGCATAATCACTCATGATTTAGTATTGTCATGAGTGCACTTTAGAGCACGCTTAATCATTCAACTTTCCTTAAAATGTGTTTTCCAAAGTGGGAAAATGTAAAGCTTTTATTAGTAATTCTACTAATTAATTCTACTAATTAAAAACTTTATTGACCAAGTTTCAGAATGGGGCCCTCGCGAGAGTGAGGGTCCTACAATACAAATTGTGTTGAGAATCATTCACAAGTAGACAGAATTAGTCCTGATGCCACAAACGCCTCACCTGGCCTCTCTCAGAAATGCAGAAGATCGTGGATCATGCATACCTGCATGGCAGCTCACCACCAGGTCCTGTCCTGCTCCTCTAATCACAATTCCTGTGCAGAGATCTGGAGGCATCTTTTGCTTGTGGCCAGTTACAGCCCCTTGGGAATGAGGGTAGATATGGGGAAAAGTGAAGAAGGTGTATCTTCTCTATCTGATATTAAAAACATACAATTTTGGATGACTCAAGTAAGACATGAGACTTTGGTGAATTTAGGTATGACCTAATTTTTAATTTCAAAGAATAAGCCAAGATCCCGGAAAAGATAGGAATGATGGGTAGATGGAAAAATATAGAATCTTGGGGCTTTAACAAATCCTGGGGAAAGGCATCCTGATCTCAAAAATTCATCATACAATATACACAGATATTTATAAGAAGAGGCATTGTGCGATAAACTAGTCAACATTTAATATTGTTTGGCCATTTTGTAAGCCACTCTCCTTTAGGACCCCTTAAAGTGGGGCTCCACAAATATACATAAACATTGAAATTAGTACTTTGGGAAAATGAGTTTGAGGTTTTGTTTGTATCACAACACGTATAATGTGTTTTTAAAGGACCACCTGGATCAGATGGACTGCCAGGCTTGAAGGGGAAACCTGGACACATTGGACCACGTGTAACTGCAACAATGATGAGAGGCTTTATCTTCACCAGGCATAGTCAGACCACAGCGATTCCCTCCTGTCCAGAAGGGACAGAGCCACTCTATAGCGGGTTTTCTCTTCTTTTTGTACAAGGAAATGAACAAGCCCATGGACAAGACCTGGGTAATGTCCCAGTCCTACTTTTCAGTCATTTTGTTCCACATACTGATTGTCAACTTTTATAGCATGGGGGTACTTCTCTCTCAAGTGTGAACAAGCCTGAGTACCTTACAGCACTTTTTAAAGAGAGTGAATAAAACAACATTGGCCTAATGTCTAATTTTCATTCTGGAATGTACAGCTCTGGAAGGAGCCTAGCTAATGAATGTCAGTCTAGCTCATCCTCTTCAATGCAAACAATTTTCAATCACTTAAATCATCTGTTTACTTTTTAATCTTAAAAGCAGCATCTTTTCTGAAGCTTAGTTATTAGCTATTATATATATATATGAAGAACTGGGAATACTTTGAAACAAAGACATTTTCCCAACTGACCTCGACTAGTCCGCAAGTGCTAAACTGATTAGAAAAGGTCACCTGGAGTATTAAGGGGGTGGGAGGAGAAGGAGAATTTGTTTGCTTTTATTGGATCTTTGATTTCTATCATCATAAAAACTTTTTAATAACACATTCTGCAAATAACTTTTGGGTTGTCTTATTCTTGCCATAGGTTGTTTTAATTAGCCTCTACCTAGTAATGATGCTCAAAATAATTTTAACTTACTGAAAGTGATACTCAGTCTGATGTTTCATTAGGAACTCTCGGCAGCTGTCTGCAGCGGTTTACCACAATGCCATTCTTGTTCTGTAACATCAATGATGTATGTAATTTTGCATCTCGAAATGATTATTCATACTGGCTGTCAACTCCAGCTCTGATGCCGATGGACATGGCTCCAATTACTGGCAGGGCCCTGGAGCCTTATATTAGCAGGTAAAGATCTAATCCCTTAGTTTTGTGATGGGACCAGGTGAATCGTTTCATTTGTAACGGAACGTAAGGCAGCACATCACGGTGCAGAAAGTGGTGATGCTGCCATATTCTTTTTTTTTTTTTTTAAGATTTTATTTATTTATTTGAGAGAGAGAGAGAGAGAGAGAGAGAGAGAGAGAGAGAGAGAGTGTGAGTGGGGGAGGGGCAGAGGGAGAGACAAAAATTGCATGCTGAGCTCGGACCCTGACGCGGGGCTCGATCTCCCAACCCTGAGATCATGAACTGAGCCAAAACCAAGAGTCAGACACTTAACCAGCTGAGCCACCCAGATGCCCCAGCTGCCATATTCTGTATTTCACGTTACAGATGCACTGTCTGTGAAGGTCCTACGAATGCCATAGCCATTCACAGCCAAACCACTGACATTCCCTCATGTCCCAATGGCTGGATTTCTCTCTGGAAAGGATTTTCGTTTATCATGGTAAGGAGGAAAGGAACAGCAAATTCACAGTAAAGATTACCCTTAGAACCTTACATTGGACTGGGTGAAATGTGGCCCCCAAGAATGATGCTGCCTGACATTAATGTGCACAATATTCCATGGACATTTGCTTTAAAATCTGGAAACCCTGTTTACAAGTGTTCTACAGTCAACAAGTAGCCATGGGTTTGTACTATTACACCAATAAAGAGCCAAAAATGTGATTTTTGCCACCCACCAAATATATTTAACATTTGTATATGAACTTAGAGCAAGTTACTGACTGAAACCACGAAATGACCTGCTGCTCTTTTAAGTAAGTTGGTTTTTTGTAAATAATGGAGCATTTAAAAAAAATGACTCTACCCACAAATTCTAAATAAGACATTTAGGTGATGAGTAATGCCATATTAGTAATAGAATGCCTTTTTTTTTTTTTTTAATGCGGCAGCTGCTTTATATAGGTGTTCCATAACTCTTATGGAAGAGTTATGGTTGTTCCATAACTCTAATGGAAGCCCTGGAGGTAGTTCCTGTCTTCTACAGTTTCGTAAATAAAAATGAAGACCCCAGGGTCTCACAACTAGGAAGTGGTAAAGCTAGGGTTTGAACCTGAGTCTGTCTGCTCCAAACTCTTTTTGCCTTACACTATGCCCCTTTGACATTCATATGAAGATGGGGGCTAAGAGAAAAAGCCTTTTAAAGAAAGATGCCCCAGATGTTAAGTGCTAAATGAAAAAATCTATGGACTGACCATCAATGATTCTGATAGCCACACATATGTGGTTGGTGGTTATTCATATTTTGTATAGCATCAGTTATGACACATTATTCCCCCTTCTTTACTCACAGACATCCATTCATTCAACCATTAATTCAACAAGTATTTATTGAACACCTACCATGTGCCATGACTGTTCTAAGCACTAAGAAGAACACCAACAATGAACCAAAGTTCCTGCTGGTCATGGAACTTATATCTTAGTGGTGAAGGTAGACAACAAGCAAGAAGACAAAATAACCATAATGGTAATGAATTCAGATGGTGATCGCTACTCTGAAGGAAACAGGAGACTGTGAAAGGGACAAGGTCAAGGAAAGCCTCCTGGAGGTTATATTTAAGCAGACCCCTGAACTATGAGAACGAGCTAGCTGACTGAGGAAAAGGAGCATTTCAGGCAGAAGAAATAGCTTTTCCTTTCTTTTTGATGACTAATCCTCAACTTGGAAAGTACCTGGAGTATTAGCAGATCTGGGTAAAGAAGCATAAGAAGTTTATTTCATACTATTTTTTTTTCTTACTATTACAAAAAAAAAAAGTAGAGCATGGAAAATTTGAACACCATGCACAGAATTCTTATCCAGATATTTTTATCGTAATAGTTCACAAGTGCGGGTTCTGAGGGCGCTGGGCAAGCACTGGCCTCCCCTGGCTCCTGCCTGGAAGAATTCCGAGCCAGTCCATTTATAGAATGTCATGGAAGAGGAGTGTGCAACTACTATTCAAATTCCTACAGTTTCTGGTTGGCTTCATTAAACCCCCAAAGAATGTTCAGGTAACTATTCAAAGGCAAGTTTAATCTGATGACTCAGTTGCAGAACTATTCAGAGGTTGCCATGTTAGATTTTCATTACCTGTGTGTTGATGAACGCACATTTAAAAGAGCTCCCCGTGCCAACAAAACCCTGTTTACAAGTGTTCTACAGTCAACAAGTAGCCATGGGTTTGTACTATTACACCAATAAAGAGCCAAAAATGTGATTTTTGCCACCCACCAAATATATTTAACATTTGTATATGAACTTAGAGCAAGTTACTGACTGAAACCACGAAATGATCTGCTGCTCTTAATTTACTGTACGGCAAGACTTGTGAGTAATACAGACTATTTAAAGGGTAAGCGTGGTTTTTATTACAAAATAGAGAATCTGCAAGTTTGCATCACAGCCTATGTTTTCCTCACTGCTGCTGAAATACAACTAAATTATAAAATGTTGACATATATACCTTTCAGAAATATGCCTCCTATAATAAAGCTTAGATGAGCTACAGTATTTTTTAAGATTTTATTAATTTATTTCAGAGAGAGAGAAAGAGCACAAGCAGGGGGAGGGGCAGAGGGAGAAGCAGACTCCCCACTAAGCAGGGAGCCCCATGTGGGTGGGGCTCAATCCCAGGACCCTGTGATCATGACCAGAGCCGAAGGCAGACGCTTAACCGACTGAGCCACCCAGGCACCCCGTAGATGAGCTACAATATTTATTAATAAATCTCAAACCCAGCAAGTATTCCGTCTTTATCTATACATTGATGAGATTTTTTTGTTTGCGTTTTTGCTTTTATTTCAGAAAACCTATTCCATCAACTGTGAAAGCTGGGGAGTTAGAAAAGATAATAAGTCGCTGCCGGGTGTGCATGAAGAGAAGACAATGAAGAAATCAAAAGAAAAACAGAACTGTTATTTTTCATCCTAAATAACCAAGTAATGATGCAGAATATACATTTATTTAGGTATTTTTCTCTAACCAAACAATATGGTTCTGTGATGACTTGGTACAAAGTTTCTATTTGTTTCCCCACACAACAAAGCATTTCTTTTAAGTCAGTTCTGCCATCCTGGTATCTAAATCTGTGCTCTTGTGAAGTTTCCTAGGGCAAGGCAGCAGACTTTTCAAAAAATACCACTGAAATCCTATGCCACTTGTATCCATTGCATGATCTCAATGGCAATTGTATAAAGTCTCATGCTACAAGTTAAGAGCTATTTGGTCACTGGATGCCCAAGATTTGCCCCTTCTATTCCAGTCTTTGAAACTCAGAGAGGCTAAATGGGGTTTAGATTGTGCCACCACCCCCTTTAGCCCCTGAGACTGGATGGAGACGGGGTCAGGTGGAGTAATGGCGCCTCGTTAACTGGACTGGACTTTCAGACCTGTTCAGTAAACTAAAGCCTGAGGAAACCAGAACTGAACTAAGGTTCATGGTTATTCTAGGGCTCTTTCAGGTGTACCCAAGACTAAGGCCAAGAGAGGGTTTCCCTGAATGGTTTTGTTCATATTTTTAGAAAGATTTTTTGTTTGTCCATTGAATTCATTTCACCGCAGCAATGTAACCTGCTTGCATTCAAATTTTTACCCTTAGTGAATTAATTTTAATAGGATGATGTTACACACATACTCTGAAATGTATCTTTTTTTTTTTAACCAGTTCACCTACCCAAATAACAAGGATACTACTTATTAGATATGTACTTTATCCCCATCCCTATAAATGTTGAGAAAACTTAAGACATTTGCTGCCTAATCAGGCTCAAAATATTTTTCCTTTGTTGTGATCCATTCATATTCCGTGTAACATGGGTATTTCCAGATTTATTCCCTGACTACTTCTCTAATTCTTTTGTAAAAAAATTATGTGTTTTATATTACATAGTCTCACCAACCATGTTGAAAGAGTCCTGTAAAAATCTTAATGCACAAATTGTATAGCTTTGCAGATATAAGACTTAAGACTTGCTTTTCAGTGTGTTGATACATTCCCAAGGTTACTTAATTCAACTGAACAAGCATTTCATTTAGCACCAAGCCATGCCCCAGGCACTGTGCTAAATTACAGATAGGAAGAGGGAGAAAAAGAGACTAATGTTTCTGATCTGATATCCCAGAAAAGGTAACTAACTCACTGTTGCTGTTAAGACTCCCACATTATCTGAGCTGGCTTTCCCCCCCCTTTTCTTCCTTTGTCACTGTTCTTATATTCCATCATCATCATTCAGTAGGCCTCAATAAAGGTTTACAAAAAGATCTCTGCCCAGGGAAAGCCCAGGACATCTAGCTTCTCTTAGGCATCACGGAAGCCAAAATAGGAACAACGTTAAGAAAACATAGATCTGCAAGACACTAAGAACCACTTGAACTTGATGGTAGCGCTATTTGATGGATCTCAGAGGCCAGGTATCCTGAGGCAAAGCTCTGAAGATGCTTCCTGATCCACCCAGGTGGCGTTGGTGGTGCTGATATTTAAATTCAGGTTATTGCTTCAGTCTCAGTTGCTCTGTAAATGAAGGTGAAGGTGGGACCCCAGAGGACAGCACAGACTGTGACCTCGGTTCCCACCCTTCACTGCTCAGGTGACTGCTCTCAAGCCATTTTTACATTTAAACATTATAAAGGGCATTCTACTTAGCTTATTTACTTAGACTCACCTGATACTAAGACTTTTTTGCTCTAAAAATATCCTCCTGTCCCAGTTGTACCATAATGGCATATAGGGGCTAACTGATGGCCACAAACCCTCTATAGGACAATAGTTCTCAAAGTGTGGTCCCTGGACCAGCTGCATCTGCAGCCTCTGGGAACTTGCTACAAATGCAAATTTTAGGGCTGACCTCAGACCTACAGATTCAGAAACTCTAGGGGTAAAGCCCAGAAATCTGCATTTTCACAAGCCCTCCACGTCATTTCCGACACACTCAAAATTAAGAACAAAGTGCTGTAGGTAAACAGCCAAGAAACGATTCTACAGGCAGTTATGAGGTACAGCTGGCCATAACTACTCCATCTGTGCCTCGCTTTAAAGTCCCAAATCACAAACAACCCTAAGATCGTCTAATTTTACTAATACGTAAAAGCCCTAGATTGGTGCTAATGCCTAATTACTGGCCTCTGCTTATCCAAGCCTCCGTGTTCTCTTGCCCTCTTAGCAGTGTTTAACTTCTGAGGAAGCCAGGTGATGCTAAAGCCTTACATTCCAGTGAAGCCATATTAACAGTTGCTCAGTAATACCTTTGAGACTGAGCCTTAAAACACAGCTCTCATGCATTACTTTCCAGATGCCTATGAGTAGCTTACAATGTTATGAAGACTTAACTTTGTAGATAAAATGTAAATAACTTGTTTCTTTTCTAAATGGGGCTTCAACTTTTGAATTTCACAGTGTACTAAAATAATGGATTTCTCAGCAGTCTCTCTTTTTGCAAGGTAAACATTATTAACTTATTTATAAAAGTATTACAATAATGCTGAATTTGAATTTTATTGCTAATTTAACTTACAAAGACTTACTATGCAGCAAATGTAACTTACTGCAACTAAACTTAATTTAATGTTTACTCTATAACCAAATGAAATATATTTAAAATATATTGAATATTTTATATTATATCCTGACAACATTACAATATTGTAATGGACTAATATTTCTGTAATTATAGCTAAAATTATTTTATTGTATTGTCTAAAAATAAAATTGAAAAAATTATTTCTGGTCTTATTTTTTTCAAAGTAGAAATAATTTTTTTGAATTGTAAAAATAAATGTTCACTGTAAAAACAATAGACAATACAAAAGTTATGAAGAATATAAAAATTGCCATGATCTAACCAGTCACCCTCACCCAAAATAATTAAGGTATATGCCCTTCCAGAGTTTTTCCCTATAAATATGTTTTTGAACAAAAATAGAATAAAAACATGCTGGTTGTAACCAGTTTTTTTTTAACTTAATACTCTATGGATATTTTTTCACATCAATAGACAAGAACTAATCATTATTTACACCATAGTCCACTGCATGGATTTACAACATAAGTCAGTGAATCCCCCAATTGATGGACACTTAATTTAGTTTTATTATGGAAATACTGTACACATTTCATTTAACATTTTCCAGTTATTTCCTCAGGATCAATCTCTAGAAGGAAAATTATAGAATCAAAGGACTCACAGGATCTTAGGTCTTTGGTATACATATAAAAATGTTCTCCAGGGGCGCCTGGGTGGCTCAGTCGTTAAGCGGCTGCCTTCGGCTCAGGTCATGATCCCAGGGTCCTGGGATCGAGCCCTGCATTGGGCTTCCTGCTGGGCGGGAAGCCTGCTTCTCCCTCACCCACTCTCCCTGCTTATGCTCCCTCTCTCGCTGTGTCTCTCTCTGTCAAATAAATAAATAAAATCTTAAAAAAACAAAAAATGTTCTCCAGGAAGGTTAGAATTTCCAGCTATATCAACAATGTAAACACCCATCTCCATATGCTTTTACCAATTCTGGATATAGCTGTTCTTTTACAATTTTGCCTATCCCATTTTAATTTACAGTCTGCTCACTACCAGTGATGCTGCATATTTGTCACTTAATTAGTATTTGCTCTTTTAATTAATTAGTATTTGCTTTTTTATTTTTATTTGTATTTGCCTATTTTGTATTAGTGCCTGTTTTTTGTTTTCCTTTGGAGGGCGTAATCACATCTTTGCTCATTTTCTATTAGGGTATTTAAGAAATTTTTACAAATCAGTAAGAAAATGTATAGATTACAGAAATTATGGGTCATACATTTTGATAAATGTTTCCCATTTATAATATAAATATTCCTCATTCAAGGAAAAATATTCATAAAATTTTAAATGTAGAAAAATGGTAAAGAGGAATGCTTTTAATATACAAAATAAGAAATTTTGTAAGTAAGGAACTTTCAGGCTGTGTTAAATGCCAATCAAGATTATCAAAGGAAGAAACTGAACAGTGATCTTGGGTAATAGTTCTAAGAAGACAAAGAAGATTGTTGCTCAAATATATTAGAAATATTTTAATAATTGGGCCAAAAAATCTACATTGAAAACATTTTGAGCCAAAAAAATGTGTTAATACCTTTAAATGAACATATTTTTACTGCTGGCAAGTAGAGGGATGAACATTGTATTTGTGATCTCTCTCTCTCTCTACTTGCAAGTCTGTTTGGAAGGAAAAATTGTGATCAGTCTCTAATGGATTCTTAGCAACCTACTGATGGGGGACTTGCAGAGCCCTAACACTGCCTAGTTCACCTCATCCTATTTCCAGCTCTGCCTACTGGAAACTGAGAAACAACCAAACACAGAGGAAAAAGTAACTGATTTTGAATAACCAGGCTAAATCTAAACATCCAGATAAAATATGACCCTCTCCAGGTGTTTGTAGACTCTATAGTTTTTCTAAAAATGCTGACATTGCTCAAAACCTTTTTAAACTACTGCTTTGGAATTGGGTTTATCAGCCAAACCAGGAAGTAGGTCTCATCACTTTATACCCAAGACCTACAGCATGCTCAAGATATTTGGCTCCACAGAAGACATCCAGATGAGTAAGACATAGACCTTGGTCTCAAACATAGAACTTAATCTGGTGGCAGAAAATAAGGCAAATACATAGATTAATTATAACACTGGACAGAATAAGTGCTGTAAGAGATGACAAATAGTGATTCAAAAGTTGGAGGCCTCAGGAAATAATTATGAAAGAAGAAATTTTTAGGTGGTCCTTTTAGGGCAGTTAGGATTTCAAGAAGCAGGAGGAGGCCAGAAGCAGGATGGCATTCCAGGTAGCAGGAATATTATGGATAAGGGTAAGTAGTTAGGAAAGCACGAAGCAATCTCAGAGAATAATTAATGGTCAAGAATATATAGAGTAGGGTGCCTGGGTGGCTCAGTTGGTTAAGCGACTGCCTTCGGCTCAGGTCATGATCCTGGAGTCCCGGGATCGAGTCCCACGTCGGGCTCCCTGCTCAGCAGGGAGTCTGCTTCTCTCTCTGACCCTCCCCCCTCTCATGCTCTCTCTCTATCTCATTCTCTCTCTCAAATAAATAAATAAAATCTTAAAAAAAAAAAAAAAGGAATATATAGAGTATAAGAACATACATGGAATAGATAGGAATATATGGAATATATGTATTCTCTGTATATGTAAACATCACATGTGCATACACATACACAGTGGTAAATAAACTGGCATTGTAGGAGTTAGGGCCATATTAGCTAGAGTTTCAAATACCAGGTTGAACTTGTATTTCATTGGCCGGTATAAGAGCAGTGAAGATTCTGACAAGAGTAGAATGATCATATAAACAGTAACCTAGAAGACCCAGTATTTTATATACTGCCCTTGCCAGGCTATTTCATAATTTCAAGTGTTTTTAAAAATTACTGGATTGCTGTTATGGACTTCTGAATTGTAGAGAACTATAAATCATCAGTTTCTTTTAAACCTGGGGCTTCAAATTTGGGATTTCACAATTTTTAAAACTAGGTTCTTTGTGGATTCAACCTCTGGTAACAATTGGAGGAGAAAAATGATTGGAGCTCGGGAGGCCAATTAAAAGGTTATCAGCCCAGATGATGGGTAGTGATTTAGCATTGGGAACAGGACAGACAGAGAAAGTGGGCAGTTGGCATTGAGGATGGGGGCTTGAGAGACAGTGAATGATGACTTCAGAATTTTGAAACTTGATGATTGGAAAATAATCTTGCCATTAACTGAAAAAAAAAAAAATCAAGAGAAGGTATCTGGACTGGGAAGAAGGAGAAAATTGAGTTTGAAACCCTGTTAGGATTAAAACTCTAAAGGGGCACTTATGAAGAATTGGCTAGAACTAGTGCAACAGGATGAGACGAAATGTATGTGCTAATTTATTTAGATTTATATGCCACCTTTTCCCCACAAAAGATTTGAGGCAGTTATGGGTGCAAAGATAGTCAGTGATGGATTGAATCCTAAACAGGAATGTCCACATTAATGATGGAAGACCCAGCATGAAGCTGTATCACAAAAAACAAGGGGGCAGAGTTTCCAGGTAAGGGAGAGAAAAAGCCTTTTTTTTTTTTTTCTTCCGTTGAGAATCTACCAATGTTTGGTGGTTTCATGTACCACACTGACTCCTTTAACAGAACCAAATGATTCAGGAAGATTAAGGGTGATCAGAATTAAAGGAGAAGACTGGATCTGGCAACTGGTTCACAACCTTCATTTGTTCAAAACGTTTTTCGTGTGCGGAGGGGGCAGGAGTAAAACTCAAACTGCAAGTAATTGAGAAGTGGAAGGGTGTGGGAGGCAGCAGGGCCCTCATTTCCACAAGTCTTGGTTATGGATGGCTTACCCAGCTTGGTCTTTCTATCCTCCCCCAAAAGGTTGGTTTGGAATGACGCAGCATTCCTAAAATCTATCTTTTCTCACAGAAGAATGGTTTGCCACTATTAAGAAGGGACCCGAGAACATAATTCTCCAAGTGCTTCCCAAATTATTTTGAAGAATGGTAACCGCTCTGGAATACCTCTAGATTCTAGAGAGGTACCTACTCATGTGAATGTCCTTGTTCGACTGCTAAAATTCAGGCATACAAAATACCCCGCGATTTGGCTTCAGTCTGTCCCAATGTTGGGGAGCATAGCACCGAGTTTCCCACGGGAAGTTAGTTAGCTGGTTAGATCCAGAGAGGGCTCTCCCGAAGCCAAACAAGGCTGCTAGCTACTGTCAAACCGAACTTCTCCTTTTCCAGCATTCTCATAGTGAGGGATTAGTGAAGCCAGTCAGGGCAGCGGTCACTGTCAAGAAGACATCTAATAATTAGAGGGCTCGACCAGTAATCAAATTTGGAGTATCACCTGCAGAGCTGGTGAAATATTCAGAGTATTAGGCCTCACGCCACAGAGATTTTGATGCAAAAGTCCTGAAAATAGTCATTTTAACTGGCTATCGAAGGTTTACCTTGTAAACACGTGGGTCTTACAGATCACGAACTCTAGTTAAGTTCAAGCGTGAACCAAACTCAAACCACAGAAGGGTTGTTGCCTCCGGTTGGCGCGCTTTGCCCTCAACAAATATGTCCCCGTATCGCCGTCGCACTGCCCCCGCTCCTGTGCGTGAGCCTCACATCCGCCCTTCCCTGCGTCACATGACCAGGAACCCGCCTCAGCTACGGCTCCTGGCAAGGGCCAGCCCCGGCCGTTCTCGCGTCTCCGCCGGCCCGCTTTGGGCCGCTCCGGCCGCTGCTTTGCCCCGGCGCCGCAGTGCGCTCGGCCAACCGCCTCTAGGAGCGCCCAGCCGAACGCCCCGGGAGCCGGCGGGCGGCGGCCCTCGCCGCGGACCCTCCAGCGGGCCCAGGGGTGAGTGCTGATGCCTTCCCGACCCGGGACCCGCGACCCGCGGCCCGAGCCGGCCTCGGGCCTATCGCCGCGGCCGTGACCGTCCGGCCGACGGAGGGACCCGCGGTGGCCGCGGCCGGTCCATGGTGTCCCCGCGAGTCCCGACCTCCGGGCTCTGGCCTTTCCTCCTCCTCAGGACCTTGCCGCCTCCTCGGTCTCTGAGGAGAGCAGCACACGCTCCTGCGAACGTTTTGGGGCTAACCTGCCCCCACCTTTCTAGGTCGGGGTCTCACTGGGACAGTCTGGGGGAGGGGGGGAACACTGGGGGCGTCCTGAGAGCTTGAACGCGGAGCTTTGCTGGGGGTTTCCCCTCATCCTTCCCGGCCGAGGCTCTGGCCCCTTTCAGAACGACCTTGGACCAGACGCCAGCCGGCTTGACAGGTAGTTTTTTGTTTTGTTTTCTTCTTCTTTTTTTTTTTTTTGCTTTGTGGGAGATACGTGTGTTCGGAAAGGAAGGCGGTGCTGGAAGCCGGTCGGCGGCGGGGGCCCCGGGTCGGGTGGGTCTGTAAGCGCGCTTGCTCGCAGGTGTGGACGCTGGGAGTTAGTTGCTCCTCGATTTCCTTCCAGGAGCCGGGAAGCCGGGGGAGGAAAGCTCGGGCGCGGGTTCCGCCGAGCCTCCGACCTTCACCGGCAGGACGAGGCCCCTTGGATGGTGCAAGAACACCCCGGGCCGCGTCCTACGGCGTTAGAGCCAGGGGCGCTCTGTAGGCATGAGTACCCCTTCCACGTGGTGACCGCTCTTCACTGCGGCAGATAAGAAACGCCCCGCAGCCCTCGTTCCGCAGTGTGGAGCCCGTCGTATTCAAGGCTCCCATCCACCGAGAGACCTGACCCGAAGGACCTTAAATGTTTTCTCTCCCTAGATTGAAAGCATTTGTCTCTGTGTCCGTTTCGTCGGCTAATGAGATCCCAGAGGAAAAGCCCTCAGGAAAATGGATTTGGAAAGAATTAGGACGACTTCGTTATACTTCGTAGTCTTCTCCCCGTGTAATTAAATTATGTGTAGGACCTGCTATCTTTTTGGTTTCAAACGCTTGGGAATTGGTTTAGCTGTTCTTTCCATAAGGAAATTGTGTGTTCTATCCCTTCCTGTCCGATAGGGCTGCCTCGTTTCAGGATTACAAAGTTTAGCAGTTGCTTTCCTCCCTTCTGCTGTTGAAACTTGTTTTCTGTGGATTCATAAGCTTGTTTTAAAATTTGTGGATTTGTGGGGGTTTTTTTTTTCAAGTTTTTGGTGGCTTTTCTTTCCAAACTACAATTAATCCTGCATTACTACAACCTGATTTGCTAATGCACCTATTTTTAAAGTATAGTTGCTTGAAAAGAGAACAGAAACAGGGTGACCTATATAAAAACCTTGAACTAGGTCCACACAATAAGTGATAAAGAACCGGACTTTTTTTTTTTTTTTTTTTAATAATTGGAGAATTATATAAATCTTTGCAACCACAATCAATTTGACCCAAGTTGTTTCTGCGACTTCCTGGGCGATTTCTCTGGGTTCCAGTGTTCTAATATAGAAAATAAGAAAGTCAAGCTTGAATCATTTGTCCCAAATTTGGGACACTTTCCAGGAGTGGAATTTGACTTGATTCTAAATAGTATATGGATGAGGATTTTTTTCTTTTAGTTATGTTTTGGTTACATGTATTTATATATGTATGGTTTAAGGCAGTAAAAAAATAAAATACATTTAAGATGTTTAAAAGTTGAGTTAAAGAAAAACTTAAATGTAGGTTGAGAGTAAATGCACTGTGGGAATGTGGAAAAAACTATAAAATTGGTAAATTACTGGTATTTGGGAATTTGTAGGCTTAGAGATTAGAGGTCTAAAATCATCTGTGATTCTGAGAGAGATTTTGTCTCCTTAATTATATGACGGAGAATCGTGTACTGGCTGCCTAATAGATTCTAATGACAGAACCCCTGGAGTTAATATCTTAACTCCAAATGAGAAGTTTATTTTATGTATTGCCAAAAGATAATACCAAAAATGCTACAGTCTAATGAGGGAGGAAAAAAGATAGATTCTGATCTAATTAGGACAGTACAGTGTTATATCTTAGAAAAGTTCTATTTTTATTTTATTTTTTTATTTTTATTATTTATTTGACAGAGAGCGAGCGAGAGAGGGAACACAAGCAGGAGGAGTGGGAGAGGGAGAAGCAGGCTTCCCGCCGAGCAGGGAGCCCGATGCGGGGCTCGATCCCAGGACCCTGGGATCATGACCTGAGCCGAAGGCAGATGCTTAATGACTGAGCCACCCAGGCGCCCCTCTATTTACTTTTTAAATTTAAGTAGCTCAAATAGGCTACAGGAAAATTTGGCTTTTTCTAGAGGTTGTCTTTTCAGCATCTATCTTTATGATCTAAGTCTGTGATATTTTACAGGCTGACAGATTCTCATAAGATGTTGCTATAGAATGAAACTAATGAAATTTTGACCTCATGGGATGATGTATTGGTGGGAAGCCAATATGACTGAAATGCAGTAAATGGAGTGGGGAGAACAGCACATTTCAGGGAGATAGTGTTCTGGTTATTTGTGTCCCTTGTTTATTATAAAACTTCAATTTATAATGTCCCAAGACTATGATTATTTTGAGATACCTCTTTTTAATATCATATCTGAATATAAGCTTTTATTGTGCTTCATCTACACACAAGTATTGGAAGAGTTTCTCCTCTAGAAAGATGCACAAAAATTATAATAGAGATTGCCTGTGGGGACCTAGGTGGTTATAGGATAGGGTCTGGTGGGACACTGTGTTTTCTCTGAATGTTCTTGTGTGCTTTGTACCATGTGCATATATTACTGGTTCAAAATCAAATACTGACTGAAAGTTGTGAATGAAATAAATAGGAAATTAAATCAAGTATTGCATGAAAATAGCTGAATGAAAATTTAGCCAAAATGCATTTTTTCCTCCTTAATATATATCTATATACACATAAGTATTAAGATTCTTTCAAACTTAAATATTTTTCATCTGTCACATCTTTCTAAATTCAAATCAGAAATGATGACAGTTCTTTATCTTATCTTGCATTAACTAATGAATGATTGTAGGGCCCTGTCCGTGGGACTAAAATGGGTGGTAAGCTTGTTAATTTTTTCTGTGTTGTATTGGTTTCTTAATATAAGGTTGTGTATCTTTGGTGACTTACCATGTAGAGGATTTCCAGCAATGAATCCCTAATGTTGGTATCATGTAGGTTTTCAATGAGCTCCTATTTTTCTCCCCTAGGGACAAAAGTGGCTCTAAATCCAGCACAGGCACATTGAAGCGAGTTAAAGGATTTAATATGAAGCACAGAAGCAGATAGTGCCAAATAGCAAGCTGTAGTTGGTACACATTTGTGAGTAAAAATTTTGTCTTTTGAATCTATTTTCTTAGTCTTTAAACCATCTGCATGCCAGATCCTTAAAATTCACACATTTTGGTAAAGAATAAAGGAAGCAATTTAGCAGTCATAATTAGCCAGTTGTCAGGGCTTAGCACTCGGAGCAACCTCCAAGAACTCTCCTAAGCATCTTACTGAGGTAGTTCAAGGGTTGTAACGCATCTCTGACATGGAGTTTAGGAAATACCCCAGGTATGACTCACCTTTATACCGTCTTTACTTTTTATTGCCCTTGATTTATATATGATATCTTTTGCTGAAAATTCAGTGTAATTTGGCTTTTGAAGCCATTTCCTTTTAAGGAAACCATTACTTATACATCAATTTTTTAGGTTACGTCAGATATATTTATTTCTGCCCTTTACATTCTCTTCATGATTTCTTCCTTGTATTGTACTTAAGCCTTAAAAAAGAAAAGGACTTTTTCCCCTTTCAGAATATAATGATTAAAGGAGTCTTATGGCAAAAAAAAATTTTTTTTTTTTTACTCTGACTTCATATATTTATATACGTTTGATTATCCTATTTGGGAAATCATAAAATAGTGACTGTGTGTAAAATCATCTTTATGAGTTTTGAGGTATAGAATAACTCTGGGAGAAATATGAGAATTGGTTTTGTAAATCAAGTCTTAGAGATAATTTTAAGTAGATATTTACTTTTATTCATGGTTTTTTTTTAATGAATGAATTGTTGAAATACTGATTTTTATTCTTTCTTTTTTACAGCTGGAAAAGCAGTGTCCGTGTTGTTATGTACACCTCCAAAAAAGTTCAGATCTGTAGGGGAATTGTTGTATAAAGTAAACTGAACTACAGGGTAGCAGTATCTTAATAGCTATTCTAGACGTGTATTTACTGTATTAAAAATGAGTAAAAGAACAAGCAGTGACACACCCCTAGGAAGGTCAGTGACATTTTATTCAGTTGAGCTGGTACTGTAGGCTTGAGAGATAGTGGCTTTAAAGCTGATTGCCATCGGCTAACCATGCTCTTTTACACTTCTTTCAACATTTTGTATTTGGGGGTAACTTTTCTCTGCATTTTCCTGAAGCATGGATCCTTCTCTAATTTAGAAAGTTATTCAGTGCATTTGTACTGTCTTTCCCCATTAAGGCATGTTATGCTTTTTAAAAAATATACATGTAAATATGAAATTAAATACAGGTTAATGTGAAGCTTTTAATCCCACGAAACGAATGCATCCAGGAAGGATTCATTGCTACATATTCTATATTTGGTGTTCATTGCATCTCAGTCACCAGGTATACATTCAGTAAGAGAAGTTTGAATTTGTATCTTGTGATTTTTCAGGGGAATACATTTTTTAAATAAATTTAGAATTAGCCTTATTTACTTTATGAATTTGATTTTCATCATTAAAAGGTTTTATTTTTTTCATGCACGACAGCAATTCCTAATTTATTTTTATAAAATCCTAGCAGCTTTCCCTCAAATTATTAACTAGGAAATTTTAATTTAAGTTTTATTTCATTCATTTTTGATTTATAAGCTGCATGCATAGCTATGCAGAGAGAAAGGTAGTGTATATGTGTGTGCACATTTGTTTTGTGGTTATACAATAATTTAAAATTTTGCTTTTAACCAATATCCTTAGGGTGCCAGTTCAGCTGATAAGTGAGAAGGCATTATGTTGAGGAAAACATTTTCTTCAGTCTTTTACTTTTCCTTTGTACGTATTCACTACTCACAAATGAGAAGTCTCCTTTTGCGCTTCCTACAAGGTATTGTCTTCTAACTTCACTTCGTAAAGAAGACTGACATTTTAACAGTCACCCCGTCTTTAAATTTTTGCCCACAGAGTGAGTGGGGCAGCATTTCCTTCTCCCACTGCTGCTGAGATGGCGGAAATTAGTCGAATTCAGTATGAAATGGAATACACCGAAGGTATTAGTCAGCAAATGAGGGTCCCGGAGAAATTAAAGGTAGCACCACCAAATGCTGACCTGGAACAAGGATTCCAAGAAGGAGTTCCAAACGCTAGTGTCATTATGCAGGTTCCAGAGAGGATTGTTGTAGCAGGTATTTGACATTTGTTTATGAAGTTACCTGATAAGTCTTTGTTTTATGTATTTTTATGAAAACTTCTGGGTTTTTCAAAATACTATTTAGAAAAGGGGATGGGAAATACAACTTTACATTATTTTCAAAAGTTTTATTATAATCGCCTGAAATTTCAGACAGTATTTTTTACTAATTGAACTAATTGAGACATAATTTACATACATAAAATACATGTAATTTTTAAGTGTGAAGCTTGATGAGTTTTGACAAATGCATATACTCCTGTGACCTTCTACCACAGTCTAGATATAGAACATTTTCATTACCCTGAAAGGTCTCCTTGTGCCCCATCTCCTTAAGTTCCTCCCGCCTCAATTCCAGGCAACCATAATCTCCTTTCTATAACCAGAGACTAGATTCATCTCTTCTAGAGTTTCATATAAATGGAATGATACAGTTCATACTCTTGGGTCTGGCTTTTGCTTAGTGTAATGTTTTTTGAAATTCTTTCCTGTTCTTGCTTGTATCAGTTGTTCATTCCATTTTATTGCTGAGTCCTATTCCACTATTTGCATATACCACAATTTGTTTGTGAATTCACCTATTGATGGAGATTTGGGTTGTTTCTTGTTTGGGTCTGTTAGGAATAAAGCTTCATTAAAGTACAAGTTCTTGTAGAGATGTGTGTTTTCATATTTCTAGGAGTGGAATTGCTAGATTATACCATAAGTTATGTTTAACTTTATGAAAACCTGTCAAGCTGTTTTTGAAATTGATTGTACATATTATGTTCCCATCAGTGGTGTATGAGAGTTTCCATCGCTCCACATCCTTGCCAACACTTTGTACTGTCAGTCTTTAATTTTAGTCATTGTAGGGGATGTGTAGTGGCAGATACATTTTAATAAAACCACTGTCTTTTAAAACCTCCCTCCTTTCCTTTTTATTTTTTTACTCCCAGGAAATAATGAAGACATTCCATTTTCAAGACCAGCAGATCTTGACCTTATTCAGTCAACTCCCTTTAAACCTCTGGCACTAAAAACACCACCTCGTGTACTTACACTAAGTGAAAGACCACTAGATTTTCTGGATTTAGAAAGACCTCCTCCAACCCCTCAAAATGAAGAAGTAAGTAGAGTTTTAACATCAACTGAATTTGAAATATAGACAAAAGCAAAAGGTAAAGAGGATTGAAAGCTAGAAATCCTACATTAGTAATATGTAATGAAAGCCTTCCACATGGACCATTGCTTACTATAAATTCTGGTATATAGATACCTCAAATAATTTTTTAAAATTTAAATGTTATGTTTCAGGAAAATGGAAGTTTTGTGGAAATTATTAACATTCACATGGTCTAGGAGTTATGGCCAGGGGTTATACCTTAAGCAATACTGAAAGAGTTGGGAGTTTAGCATAGAAAATTAATGCGTCACTTTGTTACAAAAGAAGTCTGGCAAACAGGGCAAAGAAAGCTCTTTTTTTCCTTGATACCACCTCGTCTCCCTGCTTGCTAAAAAGCCTGACTAAGTTAATGTACCTTGTAACATTAATAGCCCTGTTGACCTAAATATGGCAGCTTCGACTAATGAGGTGTTAGTAGCAAAGTTCAGATCTTGCCTCTCCCATTGATTCAGGGCCAATCTTGTAAAATTTCTTTCCTGTGATGATACTTAGAGTTGCAGCTTTTACACTGTAGCTTCTGAACTTCTGTGTTGTCATGAAGCTAGTATAAGACAATGTGCAAACATGTTTTTATTGATAGTGGAACTGCCTGTGTGTCATTGTTCATGTTAGTCCTTACCAACGAGGGTAAAGTATCCATATAACCCAGGGGAGTGCAGTGTCCTGGTACCGGGGATGGCCTGTTCTTAGGTTGAAAGTTTCTGCTGAGGTAACTGAGATAATATAGGTGCCAGTTTGGACATTCTAGATATATGCTTGGTGAAAAGCACTAAATTTGAGTGTTCACATGGTGAAAAGGCACTGAGATACTTGTAGAATTGTATTTATTTAACAAACATTATTTGAGCTTTTGTGTAAGACCCTGTGTGGTGAGATAGAGTTTCCGCATGGTGGCATGAGTGAGGGAAAGACACCAACACACACAGAAGATACGAATTCTTAATAGCAGAGAATAATGAAAGGTATGAGTATCATCATGCGAGAGGAAAGGTATCAATCATAGCATGCTTTCAGTTAGAGGCCCTGCTTCCTGGCCCCCCAAAAGTTCCCAGTGGAAATTGCTGCTGTGGATAATAATATCTTAGAGTGAGGATTCTACCAGGGGAGAATATGCTTCGAGTTTTGTTTTCCTTTTGATCTTTCTGCTCCCACTGTTTTAGTTACTTAACTGTCTACTTGGTGAGAAGAACTGATTGAAAGCAAGTCAGGCACTTTCTTGAGTGATTACTTTCCCAGGATTGCCCTCAATAGACCTATGGGGTTTACTCCTGCAATAGTAGGAGTACATTTAGTCAAAAGTGATAAATGCCCAAAGTACATAGCACTGGAGTGAAAAACTTAGGCTGAGAATGAGACCTAATTCTGAAGGCCTACTTTGCTACTTACTAATGACATAACCTTGGGTAACTTACTTAACAATTCCAAGGCTCATCTCTAAAAGAAAGATAAGAATAATGCCAAGTGCTTAAGATTATTGTGAGAATTAACTATAATAATGTGTGTAGTGTGTTTAGCACATGTTCTAATTTATGTTAAAAGCTTGTATGTTTAAATATTATTGTTATAAAAGTTGAGATCCTGTGGCAGGAGCCAAATCCTGAGAAGCAAGAGAGGCGTTTCAGACATTAGTTCCAGCTGCCTATTGAAAGGAAGGCAAAGACGATGATCTGTATTTCAAGTCCACGGAAGGGTCAGGCAGCCTTTAAGACAATCAACCTCTTGACTAGAGGAGAAAGGAAAAGAACCAGAATTCTAGTAGCTTCTAGAAGATGGATTGAAAGAGGAGGCAGTAAGGCCCTGAGTGCTGCATTGATGATTCATTCAGATGCTAGTCAGAACCTATGAAGTGAGATCCCCTGAATCATTGACTCTGGAGTAGTCATTTTACAGCATATGCCAAGGTTTCTTAACCTCAGCACTGTTGACATTTTAGACTGGATAATTCTTTGTTGTGAAGGCTATCCTTTTGCATTGTAGAATGTTTAACAACATTCTTGATCTTTGTGTACTAGATACCAGTGGAATCCTCCAAATCATGAAAATCAGAAATGTCTCTAATAGCTAAAAAAAGGTGGAAATAACCCCAGTGTCCATCAACTGAAGAATAGGTACACCAAATGTGGTATATCCATATAGTGGAATATTACTCAGCCATAATAAGGAATGAAGTACTTATACATTATACAACGTGCATGAACCTTGAAAACATTATGCTACATCGAAGAAGCCAGACAGAAAAGGCCATGTATTTTATGATTCCACTTACATGAAATATCCAGAATAGGCAAATCCATGGAGACAGAAAGCAGATTAGTGGTTATAAGTTCTTAATAGCAGAGAATAATGAAAGGTATGAGTATCGTCATGCGAGAGGAAAGGTATCAATCATAGCATGCTTTCAGTTAGAGGCCCTGCTTCCTGGCCCCCCCAATCCACTGGATTGAGGAAAAGGGGAATTGGGAATGACTGCTTAATCATTATAGGATTTCCTTTTGGGTGATAAAAATGTTCTGGAACTGGGTGCCTGGGTGGCTCAGTTGGTTAAGCGACTGCTTTCGGCTCAGGTCATGATCCTGGAGTCCCTGGATCGAGTCCCGCATCGGGCTCCCTGCTCTGCAGGGAGTGTGCTTCTCCCTCTGACCCTCCCCCCTCTCATGTGCTCTCTCTCTCATTCTCTCTGTCTCAAATAAATAAATAAAATCTTTAAAAAAAAAAAAAAAGTTCTGGAACTAGGTAGAGGTGACGGTTACACATTTGAATGCGTCAAATACACTGTATTGTATAGTAGTTTAAAATGGTGAATTTGGGGCGCCTGGGTGGCTCAGTTGGTTGAGCGACTGCTTTCGGCTCAGGTCATGATCCTGGAGTCCCGGGATCGAGTCCCGCATCGGGCTCCCTGCTCAGCGGGGAGTCTGCTTCTCCCTCTGACCCTCCTCCCTCTCATGCTCTCTGTCTCTCATTCTCTCTGTCTCAAATAAATAAATAAAATCTTTAAAAAAATAAAAAATAAAATGGTGAATTTTATGTTATGTGTAGTTTATCACAAAAATAAAGGAAAAATTTTCTCCATTCATTGCCAAATGTCCCCGAGGGCAAAATCATCCCTAGTTGAGAACCACTGGTCTATGGCAAGAAAGGAGACTACAAGAAGGTGGCTTATGAAGAAGGCTATAGAAATTGTTGTCTAAAATGTTGTCTGATACGAGGAATAAGTTTGCAGAAAGTAATTGCACTTGGATTCCTAAACTGGCTTGAAGAACCCAAGGGAACCCATGGAGAGGGCTTAAAGCATGATGCAGATAATCCCCTTGCATAGACAGGGTTTGTAAAATCTGGAGGCTTGGCTGGTAGAGAGGAAGTTGATGAACCCTTTCAGTATACCTAATCTGTATTTGGAAGGCAACTCTGGGACATGACCATTGCTTGATGATTCTACCCACAGGAAACTAATAAAGGAACTGAACGGTAAACTGATCTGGGTAAGAAACTGCAAAATAACCAAATCATGACAGTTCTTAGTGTTCTTAGCATTGATTAGGCAGTATAAATGAGGAGGGAGGAATTTTAAGCCTATTATCAGACACAGAAGACCCTGAGACCTACAGGAGGTTACCTGAAGCTGGGAAACTTTCTCAGCTTCCGGACTGAATACAAGTTTTTAAATGGGTAATCAGTGCCGGTCGGGTCTGAATGAATTGAATTGTCAACTAGATTTCAGTAAAGCTGGAAAAAAATAATTTTTAAAAATAAATAAAAACCTTGGATTGAAAAAACCACCACCATGACTGAACTAAAGTGTGGAAGTTTTTAAAAGATATGTTCCTTATCACCTCAGGCTGTGTCCATGCACTTTGGTATTATAGGATACAAGTTGGTCATATCAGAAGGCATGACAAATGTATGTTTTTGTCTGAAGTTGCTTTTTCCCGCCATTATGGCAATAGTATCAAGCTTAGTGTTCCTGGTAAGTTGTCTTTAAATCAGATTTCAGATGGTGAAAATAACAGGCTTAGGATCCTCTAGTTTCCAGGCTGTGTTGAAGTTGTAGACATAATTTGTCTTCTGTCACTTCCTGTCCTGCTTAAATCTTAGTTCTCAAAACACAACAGCAGAAATAGTAGAGAATTCATCTTGATCCCTGCAACATGGAAGAGCTGTTCTCTAGGGAAAGTGAGCACAGCTGTGCAGCAGGTAGGAAGGCAGGGATCATTGGGATTCTCACAGATCACCCCAGTACTGTTTTCTGAATCAAGTGTACTTGATTGAGGAGGGAGGTGTTAAGCTATATACATATATATAACACCAATATATATGTGTGTATATATATGCATATATAACAATATATTGTTAAGTTATATATATATATTTAAGTTGTATATAACTTAACATACATATATATATTGCTTTGAAGTAATTTTTATTTTTGGTTTAACTGTAAAGAGCTCTTACCGTAGGCTCCAAACTGACTCCTTTTTTGTTTCTAGAAGTGTTTTTTTTCCCTTTTGCTCAAGTGGTTAAGTGTTTCATAACCCATAACCAAATTTAAACCATGCTCTGAAATTATGTACTGTATAGTGTGGTTTTAAATTTTGTTGTCATGGAATCTGGATTTATTCTCCATTGAAGGTGCTTGCAACCTGGTAATCTACTCTCAGGTTTTTAAAAAAATCATCACTAGGTACTGATTTGTGTTTTTTAAAATCTTAACTTTCAAGTTCCTTGGTTCACATACAAATTGTCCTTTATAGTAAAGTTTACTTTTTAAAAAAAAAACGATGAAGTTGCCATGGCTATTTCTAGTTAAAAACAAAAAAACCCTAAACAGGAAAGTTAGTGATTACCATTGTTCTATTGCTCTGTAATAACCCACATTAAGTGGCTTAAAACAGAAAGGAAGAACCAAAATTTCATTTTGCTCATGGACCCGGATTCTGTGTCTGAGGAATTTGCAGCTGGCATGATGGGGAAAGCTTGTTTCTGTTTTTCAACATCTGGGTCTAAGCTAGGAAGTCTCAGAGCTAGGGATGACTCTGGATGACTCTATAGCCTGAGTCTACAATCATCTGACGGTTTACTCCCATGTCTGTTGATACTGGCTCAGTTGCTGGTGGGCGCACCTACACGTGGCCTTTCCACGTGACTCGTGGGCATCTTCACATCATGGTGCCCCTGTTCCAAAGATGAACGGCTTAGGGAAGATAGGCAGAAGCCTTATTGCTGTTTATGACCTAGTCTCAGAAGTCACATTGCATCATCTCTACAGCAGTCACCAGCCCAACCAATTGCAAAGGAAGGGAACATAAATCCTGTCCCTTAATGGAGAAGGTCAGTGATATATTCTGTAAGAAGAGAGCATGTGGGATGGGAGATTGTGGCCATTTCTGGAATGCCAAAACCTTTAAGCTAGTACCAAGGCTTTTTTTGGTCTAGTTTTCAAATATCCAACCAAATCTGAATTTGTTTTAACCCCAGAAGCCTGGAACATTTATTTGTAATACAACTACATCCCATTTCCTATAATATACATGCCTTTAAAAACTGTTGTAAATTGTTCTTAATATAAATGTGTTATATGAATTACAATAAATAAAAATATAATGGTACCAAGTAAGATTGATACTTAAATAGAAACCAGGGGCGCATGGGTGGCTCAGTCATTAAGCATCTGCCTTCAGCTCAGGTCATGATCCCAGGGTCCTGGGATCGAACCCGCATCGGGCTCCCTGCTCGGCGGGAAGCCTGCTTCTCCCTCTCCCACTCCCCCTGCTTGTGTTCCCTCTCTCGCTCTCTCTCTCTCTCTGTCAAATAAATAAATAAATAAATCTTTATTTAAAAAAAAATAGAAACCAGAAGTAGTTTTTTTCAGTAGGTAAAGAAGCATTCCTAAGTTTATCTGCATTATAATAAGTAGGTGGTTTTTGTTTTGTTTTGTTTTGTTTTAACCTGTACTCATGCTTGGCAGCAATCTTGGTTATGTTCTCTGTAAATTTTGTGAATAACCTTGGATTAAGGTTCTTTTGATGCTAAGTAGCTACTAGGCTACTAAGAATATTTTCTATTCCTCTCCCTTTCCTTGTGCCCCACAGATCCGTGCAGTTGGCAGGCTAAAAAGAGAGCGCTCTATGAGTGAAAATGCTGTTCGCCAAAACGGACAGCTGGTCAGAGCTGACTCCATGTGAGTAGAACCACTGAGCAGTGTATCTCCTTCATTAGTTTTCTGTATGTATTCTCCTGTCTTTTTCTAAATAATTCTTTTTTTTACTCCCAAATATGAAAAAAAAAAGGGGGGGGGGGACCGTATGTGTTTCCTGCCTAAGAACCTAAGAAAAAAGTAAATAATTTGCTTTTAAGTGTTTGAAATCTATTTTACATTTACATCAATTTTACATTTTTGCAGTTATTTTTATAGCCTTAAAATATGCTGTGAGAGGTTTCCAGTAGCAATATCCTCTTTTATGTGTATGGCAGAATTCTAGAAGTATGATTTACTTATTTGGGGAATTGTTTATAAAGTATACTTAAGAGAGATTGATAAATGTAAGTGCTCAGTTCTGTGCAACCTTCAAAAATGTTTAGCATGTAGGTTGAAAAAACAAAACAAAAGGAAAACACTCTAAGTAAGTGTCTTTATTTTCAAGTTATTCAATTTGTCCTCAGATTGTGAACCAGCCCTTTCAGCTCTGCTTCTAAAGAGCCATGGTAAACAATGTAGTTTAGGCAAGTGGAATTGTTTTACTTTCCTTGGGTTATTGTTTAGCTCTCTGCCTACTGAGTCATTGAATTGTTAGATCCATTTCATCTTCCAAAAATACAAGTATGTTGTTTAAAGGGCTGTTTGTTTAAACTTTTCTTTTTTCTTTGGTTATATTATCATACTGTGATCTTAAAGCTACCCTGCTATAAGATGTTTTAGATCAGGCAGAATTTTTGGTGTTTCATTAAAATTAATGGATTTTTACAGATAAAATATCCCTTTAAAATCTAATCTGTTCAGAATTTTAAGTGTCAAATCCATTGGTGATTGTAGCTTTTTTAAATAGATGATTTAGATTGTTTATGTAAATTAATATATCTTCCTCATTACATTTTTGGTCAGTTTTCATGAACTCATTCATCATGAACCATATTTGATGCCAAGCATCCTGTTAGCTTCTCTGGGAACTGCAACAGAATCAGGAGATGGTACATCTCTCTCTGAGTTTGCAAATCTAGATAAAAGCGAAACACTTAAATGTATACACAGATAAAGTAGAGCACAGTACAATATACCATTTGTGTTAAACCACATCAAGTTCTAGTTTGGAACTGACTGAAGAATATACGGATGCAGAAGGGGCTTTGATGGGATTAGGCTCTCTCTTCTCTTGTGGTAGGTGCAAAGGAGAGCTGTAACTGCTCTGATTTCTTGGAAAATCTTGAAATGTCTCCCAGAGTAGTTCTAGTTATTCTGAAGGGTTATATAGGAAGACAGTAAGTGAAAATGAACATCTCTCTTCTTCAGGAAATATCTGAAAAGTTCAACCATTAGTATGACAATTTTTTATGGTAGTTATGTTTCTCTGAAGATACCTGATTGTCAGGGATGTCAGCTGGTCCATGAAATCCATTTTTCTAGAATATTTCCAGATATATTACACAAATAGTAAAAAGGCTACATAGTTGATGGCTGGGATAGCTTCTTGATATTTAGTACCTAACAGAATGATTAAGCATATGCCAGAGGGCTTTTGTTATTTTCTATTTGTAATATTTTTCAAGGTAGCAAAGGGTTCTAATAAACTTTTCTGTTATATGAAGATGTGGTTTATTATTTAGGTCTCTAATAAACTTGAAATTTCACACTAGTGAGATAAAAGCAGGACTATTTTAGTATAGCATCACTTTTGGTTTTTAAGTAACTATCGGTAGCTGAGTTGAGTTGAAGAGAAAGGAAACAGCTTTACTATGTTTGAAAACCAGCCTAGAGAGGTATAATTTAGAGTAGATGATTAGTTCATAGGTATTTTTGTAGTTTACCAATAACCTAAGTTCCTTATGACAGAGAAGATTAACAGAGTTAACTAATGTTTGCTTTCTTTTTGTGTTTCACTTGCCTTAATGGCACTTTCTAGATGTTTAACAAAACTGAAAATCTCATGTTTTAATTTTTGGTGGTAAAAATAACATGCATATTTAACTACATTTTCACAGTGAAATTCTTATATTACCATACTTAGATTAACCATACTTTTTTATTATGTATGTTACCATGTTATGGAAAGATGCTTGACCATCTTTTTGTTAATAATGTAACCTTGCTTTTTCTTCCCCTACCACTATTAATTTTAAAATTTATAATTGAATTCATTTGTAAGCCTTCTATATGTAATTAACGTTAGGAATTTTATATAATGAGCTTTATTATATGTTCAGTGTTGGTAGTGTGGTAACGAAGAAATTGTTGATGTAAAACAGCTACGTTTTACTTCCACTAATGTAGTTATTAAACTTTTGCTGTCTTTGCCTATTTTAGTCTCTTCTTTGTAATGTAAAATTAATTGTGTCATTGTGCATGAACCTTTGCCTGCCTCCATTTTATTTTATTCCTTGGCTTTAAGAGTAGAAGTACGTACAGACATAAGAGCAGGAGCACTGGCCTTTGTTTTCTTAATTGCTTTCAAGAGTTAGTAGGATTGATTATTGTCCGCTATTGACACAAAAAATGAATTCTGACCAGTAGACTTGTATCTAGCTTTTTCTTTCTGTTATAAAAGCTGAATATGTAAAAGAAGCATAATTGTTATTTAAGGTGGCACAGATCAGATTCTGCCCCAAGAAATAAAATTTCAAGGTTCCAGGCACCGATTTCTGCACCAGAGTACACGTAAGATTTTATCTGCTGTGCTTTTCACAACTAGGAGTTGTTTTGATTTTGCAGGCTTGTGTTATACTAATATTTCACTAAGTAATTATCATCACATAATACCCTAATGCTCTTACTGTCTGGCTTTTCAGTACCTGGGTTTTAGGATTTCTCGAACTGTCATCATACACTTTGTTAAGGAAAAAAAAAAAGAAAAAGACAACTGGACCAATTAAGGAAGTTATGTATGATTTGGAGTATAGCGGTGAAAGTAAAATGGAATAATTTACACATAAGGACCAAGCATCCTTTTTTATTTTCTTTTTTTTGCTTTCGTTGGCATATTAGTTCTCTATAGATTCAACTTAACCAGGTTTGGTGTCTGCCTTATTTTCATCCAGAAGGAGAATGGGGTTTAAGAGTGTTTGTCATTAAGTTTTTTTTTTTTTAATTCCATAGATTAAAATAATGCTTAGAAGAATGTTTTGAGATCATTTAAACCCATTCTTTCTCTAAGTGTGACAGAACAAGGTGTGGGAGTGACTGACCTCTTGTGGGGATATTTCAGCCTGCTGTATAGGAATTCAAGAGCCAACGCAGTTCATCACAGAAGTTGATTTTTCTCTTATTCTAGTTCTCTTATTATGCTTCTAGGAACCAGGAAATTGCCTTAGACAGTGGCAAAAAATTAAAGTTTTCTATTTAAAATTCTCAAGAGAGGGCGCCTGGGTGGCTCAGTTGGTTAAGCGACTGCCTTCGGCTCAGGTCATGATCCTGGAGTCCCTGGATCGAGTCCCGCATCGGGCTCCCTGCTCGGCAGGGAGTCTGCTTCTCCCTCTCCCACTCCCCGTTTGTGTTCCCTCTCTCCTCGCTGTGTCTTTCTCTGTCAAATAAATAAATAAAATCTTTAAAAAAAAAAAAAAAGAAAAGAAAAAAGAAATATTTAAAAAAAAATTTATTTTCAAGAGAAATGGGGCACCTGGGTGGCTCAGTTGGTTAAGCATCTGCCTTCGGCTCAGGCCATGATCTCAGGGTCCTGGGATTGAGCCCCACATCAGGCTTCCTGCTCCACAAAGAGCCTGCTTCTTCCTCTCCCGCTGCTTGCTGCTCCCCCTGCTTGTGCTCTCTCTCACTCTCTCTCAGTCTCTGTCTCTGTCAAATAAATAAAATCTTAAAAAAAAAAAAAAATGTTTTCAAGAGAAATGGTACAAAATTTGTGTTTCCATGAAAATTTTTTCTCCCCCTTTTCATGATTTTACTTTTACTGTTTTTTTTGGAAGAGGTTGGAGCCTCACCAAAGAGGTTATACCCTCACAGTTTGAGAAACATTGTTCCTGTGAAAACCCTTGGGGAAAGAGGTACTTGACTTTGGACTGATCTTTTAATAATGACATAGTTATGCCAAATAAATTTTCATTTAAATTTTAGTTCTCACATTGGCTAGTGTTGTTTACTTAACATTCATGTAGTAAGATTTCATATATGCATGAGGTGGATCTATTACTGATGAAATGATATGGTAAACATGAGTGCTTTCTTCAAAGTTTCCTAATCTTTTGTAAAAGAAAAAGATAAAGTTGAGATTTTGCTGTTTTATAACATTACTTAGATCAATTTATTATCAAAGTACATTTCTATTAAATTACTAATATTATAACATTTGCTTTAATAATCCCAGTGCCTTAGCAATATGTTTACTTTTTTGTTTTTCACAGTAGTTCACTTGTCAAAACAAAAAGTCACTACACCTTGGTTGGGTGGATGAGTGGACAGAGATGAAAATCCTAAAAGCACTGTTTCCTTCCAGTGCTGATGCCAGTCAGTGGTGGAAGTTCCAGCTAGCATCAGGCTGATTGCTAAAATGGGCTTATTCTTTTTTGTTCTTAAACTTATTCGAAAAAAAAAACACCTGCAAGACCACTTGAAGCTTTAAAAAAGAAAAAATTGCTAAAGTATTTATTGCTTCTAACTAGGGTAATTTTGGTCATTTGTGATTTAATCATTTGGTTCAACTGTAGATGGAAATAAATGTTAATCAAGGGCATTTAATCTATACCTATACTGCCCAAAGTGGTCAACAGTTTTAAAAATAGTTCCTGTTCTGTTTTTGGTATTTATGAAGGATTACCAAATAAATACAGAAAAGTAAGTTAAATTTCTTACTACTCTTTGGAACTTTTAACTTCTTTTGAGAAACAACCAGAAATCCAAGTGTGCTTTTGATGTTGGTTTTTGATGAAATAAATATCTTTACTAGTATTGATAAAGACTTAATTTCATCTTTTATCTTTCTACAATATTTTGTCTCATTAAGTTACAGTTGAGGAACCTGTAAGTTTTTTTCATTTGTTACCATATTCCAATTTTCATATGATCATGCGTAGAATCTTAGAATCAGCAGAGATCTTGTTGACTGTTTTCATGCTCAACCTTCTGTGCATTCCCTCCTAAGAATTCTTTGCAGCTATTCTGAAATTAGTTTATGCTTGACTACTTTATAAATGACCACCTGATTTCACATGTATGGACAGGAAATACTTGCACTTTTAGAACTTTAAATAAATAGTTCCTATCACTTGTTTCTGACAAAATTATTTCTCTCAAAGGAAGTAACCCTTCTGTAATTTTTAGTGGACAAAAATCCGTCAAACTTCTGTCGTGAATTTGGATTTAGTTTATTGACATTGTTGCTCTAAGATTATAATTCTAAATGCTGATTATTATAGCCTTTAATATGTTAGTGTGTAGCTAATGTATTTACTGATGCAGAATGATGTGCAAAGTGTTCGATTTAAGCCCTAAAATGCAAAGACAAAAACTTTAATTATTAAATCAGAATATTGTACCAGTTAGTCTTTTACAACTTAAGTTAAATTTAGCCCAGTTTGTTGGCAGCTCTATCAAGAGAATGTAAGTTGGATTGTTTGATTATAGTAATGCAGAACTGGCCTTCTTATTTCTGCTTCTGGTGACACTTTTCTAACATGAATTCAGTCTGGTCTCTCACAAAGAGCAAGAACTTCAGGTTTTCCCTGTACTCCCTAAAGTGAAGGCTGAGTAGAAGGTTTGTACCTAGACTTTGTATCCCAAATAATACTGATTTCTTTTTACTCTTCTTGGATGCTCAATGTGGGTTTGGCCAAGTATCATGGGTCAGTTGTTAAATTGGCTTATATATATTCCAGAATCTCTGGACAGACATTTAGGGTAATCATCCATGAGCCTGTACCTAGAAGTTTGCATTTATCTTGACAGCAATAGGCCAAATTCCTGTGAAGAATCAGCCGTGATAAATTAATTTCTCAATATGCCAAGATATGGCTTAGATCTTTCTCTTCTAAATAGTCTTTGGAAAACATGGCTTTCGTATTTATAATACTTCTCACTTAGGATTATCAAGACATTCAAAGTTATTCACAAAATTGTGGATTTTGTTTTTAATGTTTTTAATGTTCTAGGGACTCTGGGAATAACATTAGATGTCAGCTGTCCTTTCAAAAATGATCCCACTTATGTTGTGGTTTCCAAACAAAATGCATGTTAAGTTAGAAAAGATTACACAAGTCAAAATAAAAGATTTTCCTCTTTTCAGTTGTTCACTGTCTGCTCCACTTTCATTCTTTTGGATGAAATATACAAGGATGAGTTTTAGCCTAAGGGGTTTTGCCCTGACCCTGAGAAAAAGTGTTGAGCCCACATCCCAGGGTCATGGTCCTCCTATTGCAACAAAGCCTCTTAACATGACAAACCAGATGGCCAAGTCCTGGTATCACTTAAATACCTCACACCGCTGATCATGCCCTACCATTAAGCTGCTCTGTGAAAATACACCAAGCTCAAGAGTTTATGTTATAACTAAAATCGCTTCATTCAAGTATGTTTAGCTTCTATTAAGCACTGGCAGTGGAGCCAAGGAAATTGTGACTCTCGGCTTACACAGGGAAGAAAGATTAAGATTATGTCACCAAGAAGCCCAGAAATGGTTGTTTAAGACCCATCTGGAGAATTAAGAAATCTCCTGCCTCTGTTCACTCTCTGCACAGAATTGGGAGTAGTTTTATGTTTTAGTCATTTAGCTAGAGACCATATGCTTTAAAATAATGAAGCTATCAAAATGCTTTTGTTACAGCTTCCTGAAACTTTAATTCATTTTTAATTTACACATCCTAAACTCAGCTTGCTTCATTGTCTTTCTTTGTGAAGTATTTGAAATGGCGTTTTCATGGAATCACTTTGATTCGTGTGTTTGAGCTCTGACACTGTTCTACTAGAACTCTCTGTCTGAACCTTCTCACCACCCCTAAGTCACAGTGCAGTGTTGGTTGTGAGAGGTTTGATTGACTGGATTGGAATACATACACCGAATAAAGAACGCTGCTTCTCCAAAGCTCGGGGTTGACCCCACCGCTTGCTGTAGTTCTCTTCCTGCTCCAGAGTTGTTTTTTCACATTCAGTTGGCTTAATTTGATGTGTAAGGGTACACAGTCACAGATGTTGCACTGTAGCTGCTTTTTTTTAAAAAAACAATTTAATACTTTTATTAACTTGTTTGGTTTGACTGTTTTCGTAGGGGAAAGTGAAGGGTGGGAAAAGGGACAAGAAAACGAAGATAATTCTTAAAATATTAAGGGTTTGGGGAAACGGCTCAGCTGAAGTTTTATAAAAATCTGACTTGAGTGTTTTTCTCTTCATTTGCTGTGCTTGTGTGAACAGTGTGACACCATCGCCACAACAGATTCGGGTCTGTCCTCCCCCAGTGTTACCTGAAGATGGAGCTAATCTTTCCTCTGCTCGAGGCATTTTGTCGCTTATCCAGTCTTCTACCCGTAGGGCTTACCAGCAGATCTTGGATGTGCTGGATGAAAATCGCAGGTGATTGGCCATCAGTGACTCTTGCTGGCTGTAATGCATATTTTTTTGGCTCCTTGTTAGTGGACTGTGGTGTCTTCCTTTTGTGTTTGCACCTTCGTCTCTTTCCAAGATGAAGTGGTTTTAAACAACTTGCTTTGCTTTCTTTTAATTTGAAATTATTGTCCAAAATTCACATTTCACAAGATTCTGTTAGCTTCTCTTCAGTCAGGGAGAGTATTCAGTTAATAACTATATACAGGAAGTATAATGATTTTTTTCAAAGGCTTTGTTGACCTGTTCGGAGTACTTGACTCCATTGGAATATGGGGAGGCCTCCTGTTGGACTGAGTGTAGGATGTTGGACTGAAGCATACTGATTTTCTTTAGTAAGTCTTTTGATTGAAGCATTTATGATACTAATATTGTTGGATTAATGAAGCAAATCTGAGAGGACAGTATCAGTGTAGCTGCCAGGACACTTTTTTACTTTCCTTTTAGCTACGGATTTCTAGGCCTATACTGGAAATCCCAAGTGCTGTTATCTTTTTGGAAATACTGATATTTTTCAGTATTGATAACTTCTCTCACTTTTGAACATCCCCAAATGAAATCAGTAGTAGTACACTTAGGCTTGCTCATACAAATTCTTTTTGGCCATTATTTCAGATATTTTTTTTGCCCTTGCTTCTTCACTACATAGTGTTTTTAAAAGATAACATTTGGGGAGCTTTTTGGCATAGTGTGGGAAAGGTATAGGCAGTTTCATTTCAACTCCAAGCATTTTATCTAGTGACTCTGTGAGCCAGTGTTTGAATTTTCATGGTCATTTTAGTAGACTGTTCACTTTTGAAGAATTCCCAGTAAATTAAGCTGGCCCTTCCAGTAAACCTTGTTTCTTACCTTAGGAATTGATATGTCTTGTGGCTCGCTCTGAACAGACTTTCTTGTTGAGTGCTTTTGATCCTCATAGAAGCCTCAGAGGTTTTGCCATACTTCATGAACACTTGTCCTTACTGTCGACTGGTGTTTCTAAACCTTCCCAGGGTTGATGCAGTGCTATCCATTTGGGCCCCAGAACTTAAAGCTGCACCAGGAAAGAGCTTAAAACAGAAAGCTCGTAGCAGGGAAAAATTATATGTACATGTATGTGTATGTATGCATGTGTGTATACATATGCATCCCCCTCCCCAAAGGTTTAGAGGACTATCTGAGAGTATTTGTATTCTGTAAGAAGCAGCATGGTTCAGAAGAAAAAGCATGGATTCAGGGGGCCAGTCAGATTTGTCATGATCCGCCCCACTGAATAGCTAGCTGCATGAGGGCTTTGGACAAATTGCTTAGCTTCTCTGGGCCTCATTTTCTTCATTTATAAATAGAGGGATAATAATAGTATTACCTAGTTTTCTAGATTCTTGTGAGGACTCTTTCCGCCCCCACCACCATCTTTATATAAGATATAGGTAATAATGGCCTCAATCAAATTCCTTATTTAGGGTCATGGCAGATGCTTCCAACGATATTGAATATGAAGTACCTGGCACTTAAGAACTGATCTTCCCAAAGGCCTATTTTCTAAAACTCCCTCCTTAAAATAGGTTTATTCTTCACCAGGTACCCTCTTTTACTTTTTAATTACGGTAGGTCCTTAGAAGAGACCAGATTATGAGGTCAAATTTTGTCATATCAAATGCTATTACAGGGAAAATATCTGAATGAGAAAGATATTTATAAATTCGATATAAATTAAGTGATTATGGCTTCACAAAACAGTCCTCCGTAATGGAAAAGAATTTTGCTTCAAGTTCAAAAATACAAAATCAGAAATCTTACTATTCTAGAATTTACTTTGTATTCTTTTATTATGAAAAGCTGTTTTGAGCCCTAAATGAAATTTTCTTTATTTTTTAATGTAATGAATTGATAGCTTTAAAATCCATTTTCTGAAAGGAATGATCTTTTCTTGTTTACTTAAATGAGATTTTTAAAATTCATGAAGTAATTGTGTTAATAATTCTTTGCTCCTGGATACACACCATTAGTTATTACCTTGGAGCCTGGAGGGTTAGATTCTTATTAGTCTTACTGGATGCTTTCATTATTGAAAGGGTTCCTTTTTTCTTTTTTTTCCCCTCCATGATTAAATTAAATTTCTTATGATCTAAATGTTGAACAAGATTTAATCAGAATTGTAACCAAATCAGTTTTTATTTCTACAAGAGAACTGTCTGGCATGACTTTGCAGATACAAGAAGTAGGAATGTGAAATTTGGATAATGTTCTACTTGCATGATTATTAAAATAATACTGCTTATAAAGTTTTAAGTGCTTTTATGTTCCTTGCTCTATATCATTTTTTTCTTTTCAATTTTATTACTCTTGGTGGTTATGCTAATGCAATATCCTATCTTTGGTCTTCTGCCCTCACATTAGGTACAGTTAAATTAAGCTAGAACTATTTGGCAGAAAGAAAGAAGGAAAAAAACTTCCTGCCTGCCTTATTATCAATGCAGATTCACAGTTGCTTGATAGAAGAACAATTTTTAGTTGACATTTTAAGGAACATTGTGGAAAGGTTTATGTACTATATTTTTGTTTTCTCCTCTTATGAGAACTTATTTGGTCTAAAACCAAGCTCCACATGGAGACAAAGCTAAATCCTTGGTACACATTAGAAAAGTTTATTTACACAGGTCAGTGCTGTGCATTTGGAAAATTGATGTATCAAAAACTTCATTGCTATTCTGTTGTGTTTAGTCCTTGGCTGCTCAGGAAATGCCCGTGTCTCCTGACATCTCCTAGAACTCCATATCTCATTCTCCAGTGCAAAATATTGACATTTAAAAAAAGAAACTTAATTCTCATGTAAGAACATTATTTAAATATCAACAGATTAGTCATGCTTAGCATGCTTAAGTTTTATCTTTAGAAGGAGCTTGATTATTTTTATACAGTTTTTCTTGAGCAGATTGTATTGGCTTTGAGTGAATAGAATACAAAATCATTGTGTAAATAATTGATATCTTTGCAAGTATGCATATAAATATATTACTGTTTATTCACCATAGCGGTGTCCGTTTTTTTAGTGAAGAAGCACATACTTTATTAAGTCAGAGCATTTATTTACTCAAAAATGTTAATATACAAGTTGGTGCTAGAACTTGGAGAACCTTAGATCTCTTTCCCTTTTGCCACTTTAGTTACAAAACATTATTGTCGAATATATGATCAAACTTAAAAAGATTTTTTTAATGTATTAAATCATACTTACGGTAGAAAGTGGTACTTGAAGTTTCTAACTTTGCCAAATACCTGTCTAATTTACTTTTATATTATATGTGTCAATTGCCAGTGTGAGAAGACAAAATGAAATACGTTGTGAAAGGTAACTGTATTATTTTCTGGCTCTGCATTATAAAAGGGAAATCTCTGTGGTGGAATATGTTGAATATGGCAGATCCATTTGAACATACAGTATGAATTTTTTAAGAAGAGCTTTAGGTAGCACATAGCGGGTGCTTCATTTAGTTGACCATTCTCCTCCTATAAGTGTAACAAGACTGTAGTGAAGTAAGTTTTCCTAATGCCACAGAGGGAATATATGAGTAGGATGGGACGATTTAAAAACCTGTTTCAAGCATACGTGATTTCTCACTGTTCTTTATTTAGCCAGCATGATAGAAGTCTAACATGTCTCCCCTGAAAGTCTCTGAATCTCTTATCCTCTAGGCCCCAGAAATTTCTTTAAGCACCAGTAGTGCCTTTAAGGAAATGTACAAGCTAAACATTAAAACTTCCTTGTATGAATTAACTCGACAGAAAGTAGTGATTTGTATTGTAACCAAAATTCTACAGCTGTACCAACTTACAGAAAAAACTAATTCGTTTGGTATTAAATGTTTACCAAAATTAAGTATTGCCTTGATACTTCCAATTCAGGCAAAAACCTCATCAGTATTTAGAGAATGAGACATTTAAAACAGAAGGTAATAATTCTTAAAATCCTCATATGGACCCTATAGCTCAGCCTCCTTTCTCTGGTTTGTAAACGTTGCTGATTACTTTTGGGGGAATTGACCAGGAACCACAGAGAGCTTTTGTTTTCTGATTTTTAAAAATGAAATTCATTGCAAAGGTTACTGCTTACCTAAGTAGAGAACGAACTGTCCTCTAGAACCAAAGTATGTACTGAAACTGATGAAAAGCCCCACAGAGTTGTCCAGTGCACCTTAGTCTTCATTCCCAGCAGCCCTATATGTCACTCCTGGTTGTCTCAGGATGAGACTCACACATGTGATTGTACTTTGTAATGTGCCATCACGTAGCCCTCAGAGCCTGTGCTCAGACCGCTCCAGCTCCAGAACCAAGGCTTACGGCTTTGCTCTCCAGAGCCGAAGTTTGAATGAGACACAGCTACGTTAAGGTATCAGGCGTGAATCAAATGAGGTGGGAGGGAAGGAATTGTGGGAAATGGGAGTTACTTGACATGTTTAGTTTTCGAGACAGGGCTGCTGTTGTCAGACGAGCAACCATGATCATGCAGGTGTTACTAACCAGTTGTTGACATGCTTCCAAAAGTGGCTAGTGATTTTCTTTTTCCAACTAGAAAAGAGAAATTAGACTTCTTAAATAGCGTTGTCCTCTGTCTTGAATTTCATAAATTAAAATATAATAGGCACCAAAGAAAACTTTTGATGTGTGTGCTGTCTTGTCACACAAGATAGATCCCTTTTGTTTTCTAGCCCATGGTGAAACATTAAATTTATGAAAATCAAAATGGAGGCCATGTGATACAAAAATTTTTAAAGTATTTGAAAGATATTATATTGTATTACGACATACAATATAATCCTATTTGACTTTTTTTGTCTTGTTTTTGCTTTTGTTTTACTGCTTCTCTGTTTCCTGATTCTGTCTTGTGCCTTCTCCCGCCAAAACCTGCCTTAGACCTGTGTTGCGTGGTGGGTCTGCTGCCACCACTTCTAATCCTCATCATGACAACGTCAGGTAAATTTTGAGACTTTGTAATTACCAGGGTAAATAGTTGACTGAATTTGTATTTTGCAGGACATAATGCATGTAGTAGCCATGCCTGTATATTATAGCTCGAACTTCCACATCCTGAGTACATCCTGTTTTTCTCTGAGAACAGCGAGCCTAGTCATTCATGACATTTGTCTACTACACGTTGAAGAAAAATGGAATCATGGGAACATCTGAGATATTTTATTTAAATACAGTTTTAGGAGCTTACAGAGGATCATGCTGAAACACAGAAAAAGTCATTTTAAATCTTGTTTTATGTGCATCATTATAATTGTTGCCCAGGGTTCTGTCTACCATTTCCTTTTTAGTTGTTAATTGTAGTGTCACTTGCAGTGTGTGGAGAAACCTTTGTGTAAGGCGTAATCTTAAATGGGGGGAAATCCGCATTCACAGTCTAGAAAGCTCAACGTTTAAAAAAGGAATTTAGTTTGAAGAGTTTTTATCATCTGTTGATTTAAGCTTTTCCCTCTTACTTTTGCCCTTTTAGCGCTTTCATACAGGATTCCTACCCTGAGTAATTATTTCTTCCTGTCATGCACAAAGACAGATAGAATGGCACGTAGGAATTCTTAGGGTTCTAAGGTGCCAAAATCCCCATCTCCCATCTTCTGGGGAAAAGAAAATTGGTTGGTATTCACAGATACCATTACTGTCGTTTTTTCCGAGCTAATTTTATTTTAAGCAGAAATATATGCTCTGTTGCAGTAGATTTAAAACTGTCCACGTTATTTCTATGATGAGAGGACTCTGGCATGTTGATTTTTAGGCAAGAGAAGAGGGAAACATCAGTTTCTTAATAATATTGAATTCAGGTTAGAGGAATTGAAACGTGTATCCTTGGTGGTCCCTTACCACTCTGCTGACTGGTTTCTTTCACAGTATTAATTCAATCCATTGTAAGTTTACCCTTGCATATTTCCCGAAGTTAGAACTTCAGTTTGTGATCCTTTTCTCTTTCTGTGAAAGAACTTTCAGTCTGTGATCTGACTTAGCATTTTTTACAGTTTTTAGTTCTGATAAATACAGCTTTTAGTTTAAGACACGCCTTAAAGTAATTTTTTTTCTGTTGTATGTTGTTATATAGGTAAAGCCTTTTGCCATATCCTTAGATTTCTTTGCAAATGAAGATTTCCTTTACAGATGTTTAACACCTTACTTAATTCAAGATTTAAATTGAGTAATCCCTATCACTTACACTTCCTTCTCCATGTTCAGCCTAGGTCCCTTTACCTTTGAAGGCATTGCTTCCCTTCCCCCTCTCCCCCCGCCCAGTTTATATCTCATAGGTAATCTCAGAGAAATAGAAAAGTTTTATTTTGAAGATCAAGTGTAGAGAAAAGGAATCTTCAACCCTTATTTTCTCCTCTAATCCTTTAATAATTCTGTCTTAATGTTTAAGAGAATGATTAACTCAGATATTTATAAACCCATAGTCCCAGCATCTGCTCACTTAGCTCACCTTACTGATGCAGTTGCTGTCAGTCTTCCAGGATATTTAGTCTTAACAGTGAAGGAAGGGGCGGGTAATTGAGAAAGCAAGTTCATTTCACCATAAAAGGAACATTTAGAGATTGTTCTAGATTGTCTAGAGTCAGTGCACACCATCAGTCCTTGAAACTGCAACACGTATAGTTATCATCAGTGTTCAGAATGACGACACTGGCTGGGAGCACGCTGAAAAAGTATAAATTCTGTTCCACATACTTTATTAAATTTTCAACAGCATATGAAACAAGGATTTTCTGAATAGACGTGTCTTTAACATGTCTGGATGAGAACTGTAATTCTCTTCATACCCCTTTGTGTGATAATGTGCTTTCTGTAATGGGGACTTGCTTGAAAGATTAGAATATATGATCTGTGTCCCAACTCTCTATGGATTACAGAAGAGTTACTTTTTAATTCAGTTTATTTATATTCTGCTCATTCAGGAAAGTTACTGTGCCATTGCACTGAAATAACCATACAGGATTAAAATAGGATATAAACATGTGAGGTGAATTGTATGGCATGTAAATTATATGTCAGTTAAGCCTTTAATTAAAATAACCTTTAAAAAGTGGAAATCCAGGCAAAGGGGAAGAATAGCATTTGTGTGTATTTGTTTCTCAGAGGTTTATTGTCATGCATTTAAAAATCAGTGCTCTTTTAGAAGTAACTGTATTTGCAAAAGAAGTATTTCTTAATGTGCTTTCTCTGGAGTTGTTCTTAGTGGCTTTCCAATGTTATTTTATACACAGCCTCTAAATGACTTATCATTGAGCCAATTCTGTATCTGAACGTAGTGACAGGATGTACTCAGGCAATTTTATAATTGCTTCTGTGGGAGACACAGTCGAGATAGGTAATTAGAAATAAGTTAAAGAGTAGAAATGGCAAGAGAAAAGGCAGTAAGAAGAGGAGGAGAAATAAAAAATCTGTCTTATCTTTTTAGCTAGAGTTAGTGTACTTTGTGTTCCCTGCCAGTGAGTCTCAGCAGGGACTCTTGTGAAGTACATACGGACATGAGTTTGTGGAAGAATTATGCATTGTTATATCCTAGAGTGGCAGCTCTTAAATCAGTGCTCAAAATACTTGTACTTTTTCCTCTGCTTTCCTTTGTTAGTACCAATTCAGATGGTAAAATATTTTAGTAATTCATATTGTGAAATACCAGTCTTTTGAACAGTAACCCAACACACGACATAACTTGCCAGATACTCTTAGTTCTATTCTAATACTAAATTGTATTTTTATTTCTCATCTGCTAGGCATGGCATGTCACATATAGATACAACAATTGAAGGAACTTCAGACGACATGACTGTTGTAGATGCAGTTTCGTTAAGACGACAGGTATTTAACGTACCAGATAAGATGTAATCCTAAAGTACAGTCATACAATATCTTAAATGATACTTTTTTAACATTTTATCATTTTCTGTCCTGTGGAACCCATGAATTGAAATATTTTATTTGTCTTGCTGTTTAATAAGCCGTAATTGACTTTTCCATTTTTTTAAAAGGATTTATTTGTTTGTTTATTTATTTATTTATTTTAGAGAGAAAGAGAGCGAGTGAGCACGGGGTCGGGGGCAGTGGGAGAGAGAAACTTTAGCAGACTCCTTGCTGAGCTCGGAGCTCGACGCAAGGCTTGATCTCACGACCCTGAGATCATGACCTGAGCTGAAACCACAGGGCGGACGCTTAACTGACTGAGCCACCCAGGGGCCCTGACTTCATTTTCATTAAAGATATGTTAAAACACCATTTACATGTTTTGATCAGCATAAAACAGTATTACCAGGATGGATTGGTATAATTCTGGCCAATAACAAACAATCTTGAAGTTTTAGCAAACTGGTATAGTCATAAATTGCTTGTTTGACTTTTTGAAATGTGGAACAGTCACTTTGGGGACCTCTGTTACCCTGAGAATTCCATTTTGGAAGTCACTGCTTCCACTTCGCACAGTGTCTTTATAAACACAGTTCTTGTGTTCTATGAAAAGTCCTGTCTTGGAACTATAGTTTCATACGCACGTTTTTAATATGAGTCCCTCAGCCTCTAGAATCGCATAGACACGTACGTGTGGAGAAGGCATAGTCGGTGTTGTGACTGTGTCTGTGCCGAGGAGAGGTGAATGAAATAAGGTATTTCTAAGAGGAAGAAACTATTTTAGCATTAAGAATAAATCAGAATATCATTTTAAAGGTTTAATATAATAAAAAGATAATATGAAGCAAATATTACTTTTTTGAGTTTCACTTATTAAAACAAGTGGATGCTGTATTATAAGTTCTTACATATTTTCTTATACTTATTTACACCTTGCCTATCGAAGGAAGGGGGTTTCTTTGGCATTTGTCTTTGAATTCACCATTACACCAACAACCTTGCCTTCCTGAAAGTGTAATAAGAGCCTCAGAGTTTTAACAACATCCATTCAGTCTTTACCTTAGGGCGTGAACGAGTGGAGGACAAAGATACCAGTCATTATAAGCAAGTCACACACATTCTGTGAGAATTTGAAAGTAGTAGGAAGCCATCTGAGAAACTGAGTTTCTGAGATCAGTAACAAAACGGAGTCCCAAGAAGATTCTGCAGAATTCACATTTGTGACCCTGGCGGCTTTGGAAGCTATGCTTCTCTGGCTGTCATTGCCCTGTTGCCAACGTGCAGACTCAGCAAGCTGCACGCCGTCGGGTCCAGGCTAGGGATGAGGGACTCGCGGGCCACCTGGCTCCAAGACACACAGTGTGGTCCACGATCAGCGTGGGACATTCAAAAGCTGCCTTGGTGTTGCTACTTCTCAGATGAGCCCAGATAAAAATATTTTAACAGCTCAAGATCAATGCCGATTTTTTTCATTGACAATAAAATGGATTGTTTAGTGTAAGAACCTTATATCCCATGGGACCAAATAAGCCCTTCTCGTTGTGAATGGTTGGGAAAAGGTAATCTTTATGCGCTCCTTTTTTTATATATATATAACTGAATTGGCTGTAGGCGGAAAATGGTTGCTCAGCACTGACCAAACCTGAAGTACTTTTTCAGGTTGTTAAAATGGTTATCTCTGCACCTCTATGTCTGGTTCTGCCCATAGACTCCCATTCCTGGCTCCACCACCCCGCACCCCCAGTTTGTAGTTCTCTCAGTCCTTGAAGTGCTAAGGATTCTGCATTATGAAAATGCTCCTCCTTCAACCTCTCTGATAAAACATTAGTAATCCCTTTCGCTTTTGTAATGTGTTGTTACATAGGTGTTGCAGGTCAGACTCCTCAGAAGGCAGATTCTGGGATGACGGTTTGCACGAAGAGAGCTTCCCAGGGAGTGCTCCTGAGGCGACCACCTTCAGGGAAGGAAAGGAAGCAGGATGGGGCAAGAGGGGAGTGTTGGGCTGCAGTGTAGTCGGAACAAGGGCTGCATGTGGCCAGCCTCCTGCGGAGCTCTGAAGCCGGGTGACCATTCAGAGTTGGAATGAGGGGCTGGGCCTTTCACCCCATCACTAACTGGTTATTGATGCTGCTGCCCCAGTGAAGGAGCCTAAGCCAAGGCAGTCGTTCAGCCCGTGTGTGTGCGCTGTGCACAGTAGGGACCAACAGCCGAGGGCAGAGTGCTGTCAACCAGTGACACACTCCTAGCAGCCCGAGAATTACTAGCCTTTCAGTCCCAAAGGGTCTGGGTGGCAGAGCACAGAGCCCGCTGTAATAGGTTATTTTAGGAGATCTCCCAGTCACTCAGAGTGGACGGAGAAGGCACTTAAAGCAGGTTAAAGATGAACAACTGAAGCTGAGTGACAGAAGCTTCTAGAAAGGAGCCGGAGCCCCTCATCCTTTCTGCTGTGTTAGGCCTGCCTAAATGTGTCCTTGGGTCTTTTCGATCAGAATAGCACACAATATGCAACAGTTTCCTCGCCCCACATTGAATCAAGGAAGGAAGGAAACTACACTTTTTCTGACTCAGAAATTTGGAGAAGGGAAAAGGAGAAGATTATTTCAGTGAATTTAAGCTGTCATGGGTAACATTTTTTCTACATATAGATTATTTTGCTCCCCACGAAACTTTCCATGTTTATAAGAATTCTTTTGAAAAATCATACTGCTTTATAAGAACCAAGTTGCTCCGTGCATTAAAGTTTCTCTTTTGTTTGTTGTTGTTGTTTTTCACTTAGATAATCAAACTAAATAGACGTCTACAACTTCTAGAAGAGGAGAACAAAGAGCGTGCTAAAAGAGAAATGGTCATGTATTCAATTACTGTAGCGTTCTGGCTGCTTAATAGCTGGCTCTGGTTTCGCCGCTAGAGGTAACCTCAGCTCTCAAAAATATTGTCTCAACAGCTGGAAATATAAAGAATTTGCAAACTTCTTTGTTTCTGTCTTTGCATTGTATGCCGTTTTATAGTCCATGCACTGAACATGTATTTCTTCCAGAAAGGAGGGGGGAAGGACTGATATTTGCAGAAGTGAAGGTGTATTTCTCTCACTCAGCTGTAGTCACTTTTACGCAGATCTGCAGTAACAAACACCTTAAAATTCTCCCTTTGCATGTTTTGTAAATAGGCTCTTGTTTGTTTTTTTAAAGGAATTTTTGCCTCATCAGCTCACACAATTAATTCTCTGAATGGGAGAGAGAGTGCATAGGAAATGGATTTAGAGAAGTATCTGTAGAAGAAAAATAGTAGTTTATTTTGTCCTGTTTCTCAAACACTGTTAGACTGAACAGTTTTGTTAATAGACACTTTTGCATCCATGTTTCAACATTAACACTTCTGAAGTCATGGTCTGGTGTTAGATTTGATAAAGTCAAGGCACTTCATGTTTTCCAGTCACCTCCATTACAGTAATTCCTAACATTTCCAGCAGTTTATCTAATATGTGTGTAAAATGTGTGTTCTTATTTTTATTTTAGTTTTGCAGATGGTTTTCTATAAAGTATGTTTTTACTAAGTCCCTGTGTGAATGATTTAAAAAACTACAGAATAAGGTACAAATGTAGTATATTTAATAAACTGTCAACTAAAGCAATGTTTGTCGAAAAATTTTATTTCATCATGTTGTGGTGTGAGCTGTATTTCATATCATATTACTGTGAATGAACCCGAGTCTTCCTGTCTCAGGAGGAGGTAATGCAATTAATGACTTGGCTGGTAGCAAGAACCTGCCGTGTTTCCTTTCCGATCTCCATCCTGTCAGCCTCCGGCGCTGGTAGCATTACAGGTGGTTTTCTAAGTCGTGGTATCTGCCAGGTGCTTCAGAGGAAAAGAGCTTGATTGGTGTATGCTTTTTGCATTGTAGTATTTAGCTAAGATACTAAATCTTGTGAGCTTTAAGTGTACCAATGAAACCAAATCCTGGGAGCCTTTAGCTCTCAGAATTATCCCCCCGATTTTGTATTCAGAAACAGATAGCATTTTAGTTAAATGTAGTATTCACCACACATCTTCAGTATCTCTCTGAGTGATCCTCCCAATTGCAACCACAAAAATGATAGAAATGGTGGGTAAAATTAGCACTTCTTTCGCTGGGCAGGCATGAAAAGGATTCTGCTAGGGCTAAAAATGAAATAAAAGCAGACATTCCAGGAGATAAGCGAATATGAAAGCTGTTTTCTCCTGTTAGTTTTTACCAAACCCTGGAGATCTAGAACTGTCTCCCTTAGTGGCTGTACGGAAGGCAGGAGAATACAGTCCCATGTCTTAGGCAAGGCACTAGCTGTGACAGGAGATTTCTGCATGAAGCTGGGACCCCAAAAGACTGTGCCCTCACTGAAAGGGTAAATAGGAAATCAACTTACCACCCAAAAGGGGACAATAAAGAAACGTGTCTTCGCCTTGTCACAGGTCTAAAAAATAGAAGAGCTTGAATCTCTCACTCCAAAGCCAAGCCCTGGTCCACCAGCCTCCCTCACCTGGAAGTTATTCATCATTGTAAGAAAGTGGTTTTGGAGTTCAGAGGAACAAATTCATTCCTGGTCAGGATGGTCAAGAAACACTTGCAGATATTTGAGCTGAACATTGAAATACATACTTACACACACACACGATTTCAAAAAGCAGAGAATGAAGAAAAGATTCCTGGGACAGGGAAGGTGGGAAAAGAGTTTACAGGTAGTTACAGTGCTCAACCTAACAGGCTAGTGTCATACAACTAAGTACAGAACTCTACCTAAGGGAGTTTCTTTTTTCTCTACTTCTGGGAATACTTACTGAAACAGTGGAAGGTTATTTACAGTTTGAGGGATAATTTTAGGAAAATACATTTGCAAGAGGAATTTCCTTTCTTGCATGAATGTCTGTTTTCTAGCTTCTTCATTATGTTTGACATTGAAATCGAACTCTTTTTCTGGGCCCCAAGTTCAGAAAGGTTTAATTTACCGTGACTGCTGTTTACTTACAATGTGTTGTTGTGTCACTAAGTGGAAACTCACTTGTGCACCACACCTCTGTAGTGAGCAGTTACAGCAGGGAGGCCACAAGCCCTGACCCTAAGGAACTGACAGATTCATGGAGGAGGGCGGGGGGAGGCTCATTAAAGAATTAGAGGATTATAAAAATGAGGAGGAACTTGAGATACAGGCTGAAGGATAGGGAGAGGAGAGTGTTTCGGATGGTGGACACAGCAAAAAAATGAAAGTGTAAAGATGCCACAGTGAGACTGAACATGGGGGCAGAAGTGAAAAAAAGATAAGTGAGCTTTGTAAATGACTAGATGTGGACTGTGTGTGTGTGTGTGTACCTACATTCATTTGTAAGTTTAGGTACCAGAGCAGAGATGGCATCACCCCAAAAGATCTTTAACCACCAGTGGCCCGTAGGCTTTAGCATTTAATCCATAGCAGTAGTGTCCACAAGACTAAAAGCAAAGAAATAACTTACCAGCCACTTCAGCTGATTGTGCTACTGCCAGCCAACCTCTCTTGTGCCCTCTGACACGAGAGGCTTAGGTTCCTGTCTCTTCATGACCTTGTGGAGAACCAGAATCATCTCACCCGTTTCCAAGGTGATGAGAAGAGTGGTTGCACCGTCACTGATCCTTGTATTGTTCAGTCAAGTCCATGAGCGGTCATGTTCGTTTCACTTGTGTTTTGATTTTATGGCTATTAGCAGTTTGGCATTGATTCAGTAAGCATTGAGTCTCACTAAAAGCTAAGTAAAAAAGATTCATTAATTCAACAAAATATTTATAATTACCTTACTCTGTATCAGGCACTGTATTTGGCCCCGAGGATACCAGGAGTGAGTAAAAGAAACATCTCTGCAATCATGGAGCTTATGGTCTTATGGGGGGAGAGTAAAATTTAAGAAACAAGCACAAATAAAAGTGCTGTTGCCATTGTGATGAGTACTATCAACGGCAGAATGCAAAAGGAGAAAATGAAGGGAAATCTTTATTCGGTGGTTAGGGAAGGCCCCTCAGAAAAACTTGATGGTTTTGCTGAAGTCTGAAGATGAAAAGGCCTTAGCCAGAGAGATGAGATGAGTGGGGGCTGGGGACTGGGCAGAGGAGAGACCTTGCTTGCTAAGGACAAGAAGCAACCAAGGGGTTCCTCAAAAAGTTAAAGATGGACACTACAACCCAGCAATTGCACTGCTAGGTGTTTATCCAAAGGATACAAAATAGTGATTCGAAGGGTACCTGCACCCCAGTGTTTATAGCAGTAATGTCCACAATAGCCAAAGTATGGAAAGAGTGCAGATGTCTGTCGACTGATGAATGGATAAAGAAGATGTGGGATGGATGGATGGGTGGATGGGTGGATACATACATACAATGGAATAGTATTCTGTACTCTGACAACTATAGAACACCTAAGAAAGAAACTGAAGAAGACACAAAGAAATGGAAAAACATTTCATGCTCCTGGATTGGAAGAACAAATATCTATAAATGTCTGTACTACCCGAAGCAATCTACACATTTAATGCAATCCCTATCAAAATAACACCAGCATTTTTCACAGAGATAGAACAAACAATTCTAAAATTTGTATGAAACCAGAAAAGACCTCGAATAGCCAAAGTAATGTTGAAAAAGAAAACCAAAGCTGGGGGCATCACAATTCCAGACTTTAAGCTGTATTACAAAGCTGTAATCATCAAGACAGTCTGGTACTGGCACAAAAACAGACACATAGATCAGTGGAACAGAATAGAGAGCCCAGAAATGGACCTTCAACTCTATGGTCAACTAACCTTCGACAAAGCAGGAAGGAATATCTAGCGGAAAAAAGGCCGTCTCTTCAGCAAATGGTGTTGGGAAAATTGGACAGCCACAAGCAAAAGAATGAAACTGGACCATTTCCTTACACTGCACACAAAAATAGACTCAAAATGGATGAAAGACCTAAACGTGAGACAGGAATTCATCAAAATCCTAGAGGAGAACACAGGCAGCAACCTCTTCGACCTCAGCCACGGCAACTCCTTAACACATCTCCAGAGGCAAGGGAAACAAAAGCAAAAATGAACTATTGGAAGTCAGCAGGATAAAAAGCTTCTGCACAGCAAAGGAAACAATCAACAAAACTAAATGGCAACCAACAGAATGAGAGAAGGTATTTGCAAATGACGTTGGATAAAGGTCTAGTATCCAGAATCTATAAAGAACTTACCAGACCTAACACCCCAAAAATAAAAAATCCAGTTAAAAACTAGACGACAGGAACAGACATTTCTCCAAAGAAGACATACAACTATGGCTAACAGACACATGAAAAAATGCTCAACATCACTCGGCATCAGGGCAATACAAATCAAAACCTCAATGAGAGACCACCTCACACCAGTCAGAATGGCTAAAATTAGCAACTCAGGAAACAGCAGATGTTGGCGGGGATGCGGAGAAAGGGGAACCCTCCCACACTGTTGGTGGGAATGCAAGCTGGTGCAGCCACTCTGGAAAACAGGTTCCTCAAAAAGTTAAAAATAGAACTACCCTATGACCCAGCAATTGCACTATTAGGTATTCACCCAAAGGATATAAAAATACTAATTCAGAGGGGCACGTGCACCCCAATGTTTATAGCAGTATTATCTACAATAGCCAAAATACAGAAAGAGCTCAAATGTCCATCAACAGATGAATGGATAAAGAAGATGTGGTATATACATACAATGGAATATTACTCAGGCATCAAAAAGGATGAAATCTTGCCAGTTGCAGCGACATGGATGGAACTAGAAGGTATTATGCTAAGCTAAATAAATCAGAGAAAGACAAATAGCATAAGATTTCACTCATGTGGGATTTAAGAAACAAAACAGATGAACATAGAAGAAGGGAGGAAAAATAGAATAAAAATAGAGTGGGAGGCAAACCAAAGGAGATTTTTAACTATAGGGAACAAACTGAGGGTTGCTGGAGGGGAGGGGGCGGGGAGATGGGGTAACTGGGTGGTGGGCATTAAGGAGGGCACGTGATGTAATGAGCACTGGGTGTTCTATGCAATTGATGAATCACTAAATTCTACCTCTGAAACTAATAATACACTTATACATTAACTCGAATTTAAATAAAATTTTTTAAAAGAGCTGATGAATAAATGGATGAGAAGGACGTGGTTCCTGTTCTCTCACATTTTCTGGTAGTAGTGGACACACAAACATTTATGTTACATTGTGACAGGTATGATAACAGTGGTCTGTGTAAGTGCTAACTTAGTTTGTTGGAATCCTGCACCCTGGGAAAGCTTTCTCAAGTGAGAGACACTGAAGCTAGACCTCAAGGATAAATAGGCCTATAAAGGAGTATAGGAAGGTCTTTATACAGCAAATGGATTCAGCAAAAAATGCCTCTGTGTCCTTGATGTTACTAATTTTGAGGGGAGTGGCTATATAGGTATTGAAAATTATTTCTAGAACTTAAGCCCAGAAAACATAAACAATTGAAATAAAATGCAGGAATGATCACATTCAGAAAATTGGATTTTCAGGGCGCCTGGGTGGCTCAGTTGGTTAAGCAACTGCCTTCAGCTCAGGTCATGATCCTGGAGTCCCTGGATTGAGTCCCGCATCGGGCTCCC